CTCATACTCAATTAGTTAATACTCGATGAAAATTTTACCAAGTGACTCTAATAAAAACTCGAGTGCTTTGCCTTTATCCCATTTGATGATAGGGCGAATTTCCAGAACCTGAAGTGATTATACCAAAACATAAACCCTTTAATTAATGAATTAAAACTTAGAAATTGATTAATCAATAATATGATTAATAACTTACTTTTCTTCCTTGAGTAAGACGGAGCTTAGGGTAGTCTTTCATGACTGCTCGAACTTGATGAGCCAGATCACTCCAGTTCTGTCAATATATACATGAATATATTAATTGGTTTGTTTTATTTATTATATTATATGAATAATACGAGAATATTAACATTAAATATCGTACATTTTCATCGACGCGTCGGAAGTGAACAGAGACGCAAAACTTATTGTTCTCTACGTTGGCTCCGGGGGTGAATTTTGTTTTTTCCACTAACTTTTTATAAACCTGAACAAATACATTTAAAATAAAAATAAATGTAAGTAAATTTTCTAGTACTTTTTAAATAAATGAGACTTAATCTTGAAGGAGAATGTGACCTCGTCGATCATGGGGAGGAACTCAGTAGCTGGCTGGCAAAGAAGAGACTCACTACCCTGTAATATTTTTATAAGAATAATTACAATGAAAAAAGAAATTAGATACCTTTTGTTTTTTTTTTTCAGTTTTTGAAGATGTATTTATATGCGAGTATAGAAAATCTTACTTCCTTATATTTGGAACCTTGCTCTGGTCCTTTAATATCCATTCCATGACTTCCAGCATAGTACAACTCAGTTAGTTTCACAAAATTATAAACCTGAAAAATAGTCAAAATTTTGATGATTAGCTTCAATATTTAATCACTACTGATTTATTCAGATTAGATTAAAATTGAACATACCTTTTCTCTGCATCTCCCACTTACTATGGCCGTGTGAAAACAGTTTGCTAGTTTCCTCACAGTCCTTCTCATCTAAAAATTAGACCAAAAAGGAATTAAGTTAAAACATTTTTTTGAATAAGTAGATTTTTTTACTGTATTTTTATATATTTGGGGGGTTTAGGAAATGAACCTTCTTGGACATGAAAGCTCGATCTGGATCATCAACAATGGGAGATAAAGTGCCATCATAATCCATAAACATAACGATTTGTTTTCCTTCAGAAACATGAAGAATATCTTCGAACATATCCAAAGCTGATGGATGTTCCGTCTGCAAAATTATATACACCCCTCATTTAATAAAAACAGAGATGTATATATAGAAATTAAACATAGCTTGATCAATGATAATACACGTACGAGCCAAGAGCTTTGTTTCATCAAAGATTTGAGATGAGTAGGAGAACAAGCTCTCATGGAATCAACCCATGAACTGATCAATCCTCCTCCATTGTTGATATGAAGATCTTGAAGAACTTTCTTCTTCGGGCGGTACATCAGTATTTGATTTGTTTTCTGTTTCTTTTTCCACGGTTTTTGTGTTTTCTTCAATGAATCTGACTGAAAATAACATAAAAAGAAAGACAAATAAGGATATGTAAAATATATATACGTGAATGTGTATTAATATAACAAGCTCAAGAATTTACCCATTTTTTGTTTGTAAATTTGAGTCGATAGAGAGAAGAGAAAATTTGAGTTGTGAAAACAGAGTGAGAATGTGTGGGCTTGAGAGAGACACAGACTGAGGTGTGGTATGGTCTGAATTTATAGGGAAGCTACAAATTATTGTAGAAAAGAAAAAGAGAAACTTTAGTTTTTGGGTAACATTTTAACTTCACTAAAAAAGAAAAAAGAAAACTCAGATATTGTGGTGTGTGTGAACGCTGGAACCCATTTGAGTGTGGGTCCCCACTATATGGTTAATGGGGCCCACAGAAGCGGCTTTCCCGCTCTCGCCGATCTTTAATTTAACGTTGCATCGTTCCCAGCAACCGCCACGTGGTCCCCTCGCATTAACAACAACACCATATGCTCTCTTTTCTTTCTTTATTTCTTCTTCTTCTTCTTCTGTTGTGTAATTAGATCAAGCAACAATAACTTTCGAAGTACGATAACAAATCAGAAAACCCATTCTCAATAACATTGTTCCACAGTTGAAAATTTTCGAAATGATTTGAAGGGATTATTTTATTTAGTTTTATAAAAATTCATCACGTTAGCTCATTTATTTTAACCGTTACTAATAAAGACTTTTGTATTGCATCAGCCAATCATGCTCTCTTGCATTATAATACGACATGCATCGAACATTTCCATTTATTAATTTCTTTTAGCTATAGTCTTTTTTATAGCATATAGCTGCTGAAATTTATTAAATGCCACGTGGTCAAGTAGTTCATCACTAACAGATATTCCTCACTCCTCAGAGAGTTCGAGTCACAGTTGTGTACAAAGTATTCATTCGGGTTTATTCCGTACGTCATGAGTTTGGAACCAATAAATCATCCAAAAGAAACAGATTCATCAATAATAACAGATTATGGATCAAATACGATACAACAGAAGTAATAAATCTATTAAGCATCCAAGTTGATCGGATACCATCCTGATTATGTGGCCACCCCCATGCATGCATCAGGATTTAATTATGAAATTTAGAAGAATCTGAATAGGGTTCTTAGTAACTTGTAGGAGAAAGGAACCTCATATAAAAAAATCGTGATTTTGGGACTAAAATAGTCTAAAATTATTCTCATGAGTCCCACTATTTCAGATAGTTCGTTTTACATTTGGTTGGAAGTTGGAACTCGCTAGTTATCAATTTATCATATTTTGGATAACAAAAAAAAAAATCAGACTTCAAACATATATAAGAAAATATCACATTTTGAAATTACTTGTGGCTGGTCCACGAAACATAATACTATAAATCATCATCCTCCAAAGTCCAAACTAAAGTACCACATACAGTTTTTAATTTAATTCCGGTTTGAACTACATCTACAGCACCTAAACAATTAGTGCATAAATATAAGTAAGGTTCATAATGTCATTGTGTAACAGATTCGATAAGGAGGTATACACAGTTATATGCTACATGCTACACACATGCACATATGTGTGTTAATTTGCGTTAAGGTAGTAACATTTAGGCAAGATTCAAAGCAAAATTCCGAACCGACACATCACGTGTAACGAATCAAGTGTGTCTCTACCCAACACGTGGATCCCTACGACGCATATATAACAGTATCATATGCAAATAATTGTCACAGTTACGTTAATCCCCTTTTATCGAATCCTTAATCAGGTCAAATCGGATGATTAATTTAAGCTGTCTGATCGGATAATCACGCTTGACCAAAGTACAAAACAAAGTTCGTGGCAAGATGATAATTTCATATATACTCGAGATAGATTTGAAAGTTATAACAATCCAATGAAAGTTAATTATCGAAATGGCAAATGTAAGACATAAGTTTGTTGCTAACGAACGATTGACATCATCCTCAATTATCATCGATCCTTTTGCGAATAAGTCAGTACTTTAAGAAAATCAAGCATAATGTCGCGCGTAGGCATGAGACATTTTCATATTCTTTGACCATATAATAATATATATCATCACATGACATTTTTGGATGCGACAAGCTTTTACTGTAAACCACCAAACGAGTAAATTCCAGGACTGTGCACTTTATGCAAAAGCACAGTATAATTCATAACCTGTCAGAAAGAAAAACACAAAACTAAAAATCTAATTTCAAAAATCATACAATTTTTTGTTCCTTTTTGGCTAAAACTAATAAAAGGAAAGTGAAAAATACACTAACAAGCTGAGTCAATGGCTTTGACTTAAACTGCTAACTCAAAGAAGATCTACCTTTAAGTAACAATATCATAAAACCCTTCTTAAAGATAGAAAAAGATAGCTATATTATATAGAACCCTTAAACTAGCAAAAAACAAATTTAACCACATAATCTACAATTTGTTACTTAGTAAATCTCTTCTGCCAAAAAGAAAAGAAAAGATAGTACGTCTCTTCAAATTCAAAGACGCAGTTGTGGATTCAAAATTAATTCTGAATAATTGATACTATTGTTAAAAACAGTTTTAAGAAACCAAACTTGTAAGATTTAAAAAAATATATATGCAGAAGCTAAAATTCCAATGAAGACGAGTGGCTAAACTTGCTGCCCCGTGAAACATTTTTGGAGTTAGGTCGAAACACTTGTGGTTACGAAACTATTTCAGCTAAAAATGGGTATACCACCGCCACCAACCAGTATGAAACTTATGTTGGTGAGCAGAAATTTCGACATGACTCGTCAACAAAGCTAAAAACTAAGGTTCAGAAAGAGAAAAAAAAAAAAAAACTTAAAAAGCTAAAAACTGACTAATAACAGTACTTAGAAAAAAGAAGAAGTTAAATACCAATCCATATTGTAGAACGAAATGCAAAGTATATACGGTTATGGATTGCTAACCCTGTTTTGCTGGCTGTGGTAGTTGGGAGACGAAAGATAGCTTATACAGAACCAAACTCATACATAGACGAAGATGTTTTATTATTTGACTTGACAGACAAAGGACATGTTTCATTAAATTTTCTAACATGACCAAAATTAAATTTCCCATACATTATTCGAGAAGATTGACCATTTGATTAGTCTAATCTTGTCTTTTTCACACTCAACTACACTCAACACTCAATACATAACGGCGCATTTGGTCAAACTTCCTACGATTTTAACAGTTAATGTTGGGTCAAAAATATAAGGGTAGTACTGTATATTACTATAGCTTTCAACAGAAATGTTAATTTAAGCATATTTGACTCTAAGAATTTTACTTCTGCGTATTTTATATTTGTCAATCATGTTTCCGAAACTACAGTAGTTTTAGAATCCATTGATAAAATAACATTTTATATGTTTGAATCCATGATTGTATATCCTTTTATTGTATATATGTCGTTGCCACCAATTTTCACTATAAATCAAACTACTCAAAATACAAAATTAAGCAGCTGTATATAAACTTAGCGTCTCAAACACGAACGACAAGAGGAGATGGCCGAGAGTCCTCAGAAGTCAACTTAAAGCTCTGAGAAACTGTTGAATTGCTGAGAGGATGTGTGATACCGAGATCATAGTCACCCTGGAAGAGTGAAGCTTCAAAGAATCCATCAGCGTCGGTGACACCTGTGGTTTGCCCACGAAACCCTCCCCACTCACGAATAAGTTTGTCCACAACGTCTCCTGTTGGTAGGTTCCTGAAGTTTCCATCAGTGAGACACATTCTGTAGCAACCCTTTGGAGAATAGCCTGTCCACGTCACCATTCCTTTCACTTGCGGATGCGCATGGCCTTCCCTTAAGACCTGCTCGAAATACCTGGCCTGCAAGAAATATAAACCGAACATCAGAACATAACGGAACCGAATGGGACAAGGTTTTGTGGCAGCCTTGATAAGAGAATTACGTACCCGGACATTGTCAGGAGCGTCAACGTCGACCTCAGTGAGCCAAATAGGCAAACCAGTGGCAGCAAAAGTGTCAAGAGCTGATCTCATATACGGAATGTTAGGAGTACTGAAATGAGACTCAAGACCGATCCCTAACGGGACGTATCCGGCAACCCTAATAGTTTGAAGCTCCCTAAGCTTCTGCAAATACCTTGCTGGAGTAGAAGCTGAGTCCCCGGGTTGCTCTAACGTATTGTATTCATTCATAAACATTGGTGTTCTTGGATCGACGGCATGTGCCTGGGCATAGATGTTGTAAGACGCTTTAGGACCCATCTTGCTCTCAAAGAAGTTGAAATGGAGCATCTCATTCACAACGTCCCAACCCAAAAGCTGGCCTTTGTACCTCGAGACCACCGAGACAATCCTTCGTTTCACGGCGTTGTATAAATCGGCACCGGACAGAGATTTCACCCATTCCGGTTGATACTTAGGGTCGGCCCATACAATGTTGTGGCCACGTACAGCGACACCGTGCTGCTTGAAGAATCTCAACATAGCGTCTGCGGTCGAGTAATCCTCTTTGCCTCTTATTCTTTCCGTGCTGTACCATTTCATCTCGTTCCCGAACGTTGTCACGGTGAATCTCTTTGTGAACCAGTTTTGGTATGCTTGGTTCCCAAGTATGTTGCTCTCTACCGCGCACCCGAATGGGAACCCTAGCCTGTTCTGCATGATGGAGACGGTTGCGTTTGGTATTGGCTCGCCCTTGCTGTTCACGGCTCTGATCCTCACGGCTCCCTTTCTCGCCTTTTCAATGCTCTGCTCGTGGTGAGAGTCCCACTCTTCTTGTGTGAATGGTTGAAGTGAGACGCTATCAACCCAAATCTCAACGGTCGTGCTCTCGCTCTACACATAACCACCGAAACAGGAACCATCAGAATGCGGAAAGGAAAACAAAAACCAAACGAACATTGTTTGTGGATAATGATACCTCGAAATAGAGATCGGCAGGGCCAGATTCATCAACGGTGAGACCACCTTTGAGCATGGACCAGCAATTGGATTCAGCAACAACAGAACCGGCATGCTTATATCCACCGTTCTGCTTGAAAACGGCACTCAAGGGAGCCGTTCTATTGGTCACTTGTAACCAAGCTACAAGTAACATATAAGAAATTTGATGATAATTGGCACAAGGCTTCTAAAATTCTGAAGAGTGTGATCCAAGAAACAATAATTTGGAAATTTTGTTATACCAGAGAAAGTGTAGAGGATTCCCTTTTCTAGAAAAACCTTCTGTGAGACACTGTCAGAAGATTGATTCCTCTCTCGTGCAACAACAAATTTATTGCCTCCAACATCTCTGAAATCCACTTTGGCGTTTCCGAATTGTGACCAGCCTTGTGTACCGTTTTCTAGGTCAGAATTCATGATGATCCCTCCATTGTACTGTGGTTTATTAGGGATCACTAGACACTGCACCCGAAACAAAACAGAGATAAATTAATGAAAAAAAGACTTACCAACGAACATATATGAAGTAAGACGAATAAACAGAGCATTGCTTACCGCTAGTGTTGCCGAATAATCATATGGTACGAACTTTTTTTCCTCACACCCTGCAAACGTTTTCGTAAAAAAAATGTTATATTAATTCTTTTTCTTTTGTTGATTCTAAGAGACTTAAGTGTTGTTTATCACGTAAAAACATAAAACCTTATTGTAGATTTAATAAAAATAACAACGAATTGGTATAGATTAATCAGAGGATAAGATGGAGAACAAATTACTTGATAGAGAAAGGCTGCAGAAAGCAAGCAACAGCAGGAGCAGAAGCTTCATTGCGGAACTAAAGAATTACTTGTGAATCTGTAAGGATTAAGGGTTTCCAATAATATATATACTATTTTTTATGGTCTTTGATTTAATTAATTAACATAAACAGAATTTTGACTGTTTTACTTTTATGAATTGCAACATGGAAAGCAATCCTAGTCAATAGCACAAATTCTAGTCAATAGTCAATAGATATGTCAGCTCAAAGAAACAAATTTGGGGGTGTTATTCAATCATGGTTTTTAATAGAGCTTAAATCTAACAGTATCATTGTTATTCAATCATGATTTTAAATCTTCTAACAAAATCTGCTGTTACTGGTTTTAGTGATTTTTCAAAGATTTTCAACTTTTTTTTAGAGTGGCGGATATAGTCGTAGCATACATATAAGCAAACAAATATAGCCAAGAATTAATAGTCGCTAGATACGTAAACCGTAAAGTTAATGATATACGCATAATAGCACCATAAATATTTTTCTGTGAGCCATTTTTATCAAAAATTATTTTGTTTTCTCTATTGTAATTGATTTTTTTTTTCATAGCAAGAAAAAGGATTCCATTATGCTTTTTTGTCTTTTTGTATTCTAGGAAAGAAAAACTGTCGTACTTAGCAACATAGCAATTCAGACTTTGAGACACTTCGAAGTAAACATGTTTTGATTCTTAAGCACGCGCAATAGAAAATCTGAATAAGGGCCCTATTGTTGGCTAAAGCTTCCGGCAGTATATTCTTCAGTAACAACAATTCTATTGTGATTTGTGAATGAATCCGATCAATTAAGCAAATAATGGCAGAACAAAGATTGGGGGTAGAACTAATAAATTCAACAGCTCAAAAATCCATATCGAAATAGTTCAATGTTGATAGATCCATTACACTAATCAAGGCATAAACTTTAGAAAAAAACGCAAAAAGACACAATGCTCCTGCTTAAACGACATCGATCTTCAACGGTACTGCAAAGAAATGGAAAATATAACATCATGGGTGCGGTCAATCAAATCCCAATGGAGACACAATTAGTGATATCATTAACATATAGTAATATTTACCTTAATGAATCCGATTTCCTTGGCGTTGCTGCGGAAGCACTGTCTACAGCAGTTGAGCGCATACTTCCTGATTAATCCATGCGAGTTTCCGCACACACGGCTACACAAATCAACAACATACAGTTAGATCTATCAACGTGCAACGTATTCTCAATGTATTAACAAAAGATAGATTATTCCTTTGCACAGGGCAGTTTTGACATCACCATAGGTCTTACTCAAGTCGCTTAATCTCTAAGAGCTAAACAGAATTAAAGAAAAATGAGACAGAGGGGAAGAAGATGACAGTACCAGGTGCGAGATCCAGGACCGTATTTCTTCGGATGAGAGTTCCAGACATCGTTGTGACCCATGATCGACTAACTTCTTTGTTCACAGCAGAAAGCGAGAGACGAAATATGTGCGGCGAGAGCGAGTGAGATGATGAGTTTGTAAAACCTAGCTAGGCCTAAATGGTGGTCTTAAAATATATGTATATATATATGGGCCAAATTACACGGGCCCGCATATCTAACCAATTTTCAATAGAGTTGGGTCTAATAAATCATTCTCAATACTTTCGTCAAAATGTTTAGTGCCTAGCATTTTCTGTCATCAAGAATATACTAACACAGTCTATGAGTCAAAGCCAAGATGCAGCAAAAAAAGGTGTTTCTCAATGAAGGACTATGATTTTACAAGAAAAAACATTGAATCTAGAAGATTTTACAAATGCCTTCTCCTCAAAGGTCAAATCAAACCCCACCAACTTTACTTGGGTTTATATACATCAAGTTTGAGCTTATCAAACCAATATTGGGAAACAGAACGTAATATGGAAACAACAAAGTGAGAAAGAAAAGGGATAAAAGAGACGATCACTTCCTGGGGAGGACTTTTGAGCAGCTTGTTCTGATTTGACCCAGAGGACCAGTCAATACATGGTAATTTGACAGTTTCATCATCGCCATGGCAAAGTCTTTGCGGAACAACATTGAATCAGAAGCGTATGCTCTCACCCATATCTCTGTCTCTTCTCTACCCGTTAGCTGCTGATCAGAATACATGAGCCCTTTCTTCTGCAAAAGTCTTCTGTAGTAGCGTGTTCCGAAGTTTTCATCACCTCCCTCATTGTTGTAGCTCAGGTCGATCACTGCATCATTCCCGTTTTCTGAGCTCATACCATAGCTCTGAGAAGAATGTGATGCAGGTAAGGTTGGTGCTAAACCTGTGCCAGGAGATGGAGAAGGAGACGACGCCGATGCAGAGAACGGGCATTTGGTCTTCAGTTCTTGAAGGAACCCTGTATTGATTTCAGGGTCTGGCTTTCCGGTTCCTGAGAAGTTGTAGAGCCGATCCTTAAAGAATGTGCAGTGAGTGATGCCTATGCTGTGTGCTCCTGCATTATCAACAATCCCAAGAAAATATATCATGACCAATTACCATTTAGCAAAGCAGAGAGAGAGATGTTGACATGGCGACACTAAGAAGTGAGTGAGGAATACCGAATAAACTGACTGTCTCTCGCTCGTTGAATCCTCTGGAAGAGAAACTTGCAAGAATTACGGAGAGAGAAGCTTGTGGTGAAGGAAGCTCTCGGTCTGCAATTTCCCTGAAGGCAACTACACTATCTCTTCTTCCAGTTTCCAGAGGATAAAATGGACCACCAGCCTGAGAGTTCCAGTGACATATGATTCAAGCTTTCCAGGAATATTAACATCGAGAAACAAGAAGAAAGAGAGAGTAAAGGGATTTACCACAAGGACGGCTTCTCTAGCAGCCAATACAAGAAGATCAGCGCAGGAAACAATTCCGGGACATATATTCTCTAGCTCAGACTTGATAGCCTCAATCACATCAAACCCTTTCAAAGAAAGATTAGGAGCTGCTCCCTTTTCAGTAGTAAGAGATTCATCTACGTCTAGAAGGACTGAAGCATCACATCCCTGTACACAAACACAATTTCCCAAATTGCAGCATGAGCAACTTCAAGAAGTAATACTAAATGAAACACAAAGTTTGATCCAAAAAGTATCAACACTTATGATCACATTCACATATTCTCTGGTTTGACAAATCCGAAGCATCGAGATAGCGCACAACGTTTGATTCAGTATGCTAATGCTAACGCATGAAATCAGAAGATCAAACAAATAGTTTCATTGCCAGGATTTAAGAAATAAACAGCCAGAAAATCAATTGACCAAGCAGAATTCCATTGACGGATACGATCTTAAATCGGAAACAGAGATATCGCAATAGATTACTCGCAATTGTTTGAAGTTTTCACAAACGATCTTCCATAGATGTATCGTAAGCAACTTCAAGAAGTAATACTAAATGAAACACAAAGTTTGATCCAAAAAGTATCAACACTTATGATCACATTCACATATTCTCTGGTTTGACAAATCCGAAGCATCGAGATAGCGCACAACGTTTGATTCAGTATGCTAATGCTAACGCATGAAATCAGAAGATCAAACAAATAGTTTCATTGCCAGGATTTAAGAAATAAACAGCCAGAAAATCAATTGACCAAGCAGAATTCCATTGACGGATACGATCTTAAATCGGAAACAGAGATATCGCAATAGATTACTCGCAATTGTTTGAAGTTTTCACAAACGATCTTCCATAGATGTATCGTACTAGTGAGACATCAAAAGATTACTCCGATAAAATCAAAGACGACGAGATTAGGAATGCAAAAAATCAGAAAGTCTGACCTCGACGAAGCAATCGTGAAAGAGGAGGCGGATGAGAGCCGGAGCTACGCTGGGCCTGGCATTGTAGATCTCTCTGATGGTTTTAGCGATGATTTTATCGGCGGAAGGGCAAGATTCTCGGTAGAAATCGTAGTGGAGCGAGTAGGATTGATCGATTTCTTCTGCGATAGACATGTACATAGAATTGAGATCCTCGTCGAAGGGAGATTTCTCGGAATCCCAACCGCCGGTACGATTATCCGGTGATTTTCTCGCGAGACGGAGAGCACGGAGAATGGCGTTGTCGAATCGGAGACCGTAAAGCGCGACGTAGATGCTGAGAGCAATAACGGAGCAGGTGACGAAAGCGAACTTGTAATTTCCGAGATTCCTCATCATCTCTCTCTCTCTCTCTCTCTATCTCTCTTCGTCTCTCTTTCTTCGTCTCTCTTTCTTCTGGTTTTCTTCTGTGAACTCCGAGGGAAGTGAAATTGGAGATGATGAGTAAAAGAGTGAAAGAAGCGGGAAGTCGATACGCAATGACGAATATGCCCTTGTTCGGAGAGTTGTTGTTGGTTCGGCGATTTGTTAGAGACGGTTAAGCTTACGTGCGGTTTCGCTCGTCCGCGAGGTGGTTGGAGGAATCTAGTGTTTCGCGAACACGGTACACTAATGACAAGTTGCAATGATATATGGGCCCAAGAATGAGATATTTGGCTATGTGGGCTTTATGATTAACACGGAAAGATCCACTAGTTGGCACACAAATTGGACCAATAGATTATTAGATTTGATTCTTATGATTATAAAAAATGAATTGAGTATATTTTAGAGAGGGCACAAACTTGAGTTTATTATTCCAAAATTTTACCATTATAAAATATGAAGAATTTGAAAATAAATTATAAACGATAAAACAAAAGTACAGATGAAGAAACAGTCGCCATTTATGGCTTTCGTATGATATGATCAACGGATCTTTATATAATTCTTGTTTGTATATACTTTTTTTTTTTTTTGAACGCCTAATTGTTTGTATATACTTTCTTCAATAATCAAAGTGTAGGTCGGATATCAGAAAAGTAATATGACTTGTTCCAACTTTGTAATGGTGTATAAATTGTAAAACAAATTAATTGAAAGAATGACATTTTGCCTGTACCTGTTAACGTCAAAAATAATTCAACCATAAAAATGTATTCATATACCATGAACCTGTTGACAAAATTATAAAAATATAACATGAACTCAAGTCAACCGATAGTTTAAGAAGGGGAAGTGACCTAAAGCCAAAGTCAAATTCTACTTTAATAGCTATCATGTCAATTTTTACAACTTGTTCTGACAAATATACAATTTTACAAGTTACATCACTTGATTTGTTGTATATCTGTGTCCTACATGGATTAAAGTTATTATAACTTTAAAATTAGTTGACCTTTGTTTAAAATAGTTCAATCTTTTTTGTTATGCTTTTCTTTTAATTACAACCATAAGCTAATATATATATATATATATATCTTAGCTTTTCAACAGACTTCCTTTATATCAAATAAATTCTTAAAAATTTAATGTTTATAAATATATTTCCTATTCACCATTTGAATTTGGCTAAAGTTGTAGCACTATAATCTTGATGTCACGAAATTATAAATAAGAAACTGATTGAAGTTTGATGATATAAAGAATTAAAATTGCAAAATAATAGTTCAAAATTATCTTAAATATGAAGCAGAGATAACTAAAAATTATATATTATATTGATTGCCACGAATAAGATTGATTGCGATAATATTCTAGTGGAAAAAATGGATATGCTATTCTAGTTACTATTAAATGTTTTGGGCTATGATTTTAAAATCTGAAAATATTTATTAATTTTCTCTTATATTTGATATTCGAACTCTTGTCCAGGAATAATTGTTATCTTTAATTATATGAAAGATGGTCTAAACACAGCTATTGCATGGGAACAATTATATTTTTTAAAATCGGAAATGCGGAAAACCAAATGCGCAGAAACAGTACTGAATATTCCATTGTAAAAACTATAAACTATACATGAACTATGAGTTGGTCTTATTCACGAATACGTGTGAGAATGAAAATGTTGTGGCCGAAGTTTTTTAACAATGAACTTATTTCAACCTTTATAAATGTTTGGTAAGTTTGATGTATGTAAACGATTTTTTTTTTTTTCGTTTGGACGACTGTAGTTATTCCAATATGAAATTTCATTTGGTTTGGTTATTTCATTATGAGATGCGCCAATTATATATACTTGTAGTGGGATGTAACCAAATCTGTAATATACATGCTTAGTTAATAACGTAAAAATAAAAACAAATGCCAAAATAGTTTAAGTGCACCTATTAATCTCTATCGTGAATTCGTGATAGTCAACGAATCCTTGAAACTGACAATATCATGTTCGCTAGGTCTTGCTGGATCATTCAGTAAACATACGGCTCATGAAGTACGGCAACATTTGTAAGCCGTGGTCCGTGGAAGAAGAGCTGATCGTAAAGTCGGACATGGAATATTATGCTAGTTTACATATTTCTTGGTGTGGTACGAAAATGAAAAAATTAGTACGCACTCATATACGTCCTCTAGAGAATGGAAATTTCGATGAGCTACACTACACCGTCCGTGCCATCTTCGGCTGCAAGCCTGCAAAACATATTCTGACAAATTGACAACATAGTTAATTAGTTAGGAGCTCCACAGTGGCTTAATTCGTCATGTCCCTCTTGCAACGATCTTATGATCATTCCGCTTTCCGTGTTCGTACCACACCAAGAAATGCAAACTAGCATAATATTTAGAAATTAATATCTTATTATTAGATATTTTATTTATTATACCGTCGTTATCAATGACACGACACCATTGAATAAACGGTGATCATACATTGAACGATATGCCTAAATCAAAGGGTTAAATTATAATATGATGACAACCGTATTGAATTGATTGTCTGATATCAAGGACTCCGCAACCAAGAACATCAACATCTAAAAGACTAAAACAATATGTAAAAAATGGCTCAAATTTTTGAAAGAATGGAATGTGATATTTAAAAATATTCGAATGTGACTCTCCATTTCTCTTTTATATTGAACATCGTACGAGAAATTATAATCGAACTCGTCCGAAGGCGGAGAATGTTAAAAAGGAAAAAGAATTTTACATTTTAGGTTATACATAAGAAAAAAAAAATCCAACTAAATTCACAAGTTCCGCGCATCATCTCGGTGAGTTAAGGCCAATGTCCATTCCGTTGAAAGCAATCGGCGCATACATCCATAGATCATCGGAGCTCAATAACTGCGAAATAATAATTTTAAACTCAAATTAGTTCACTTTCATATATCTCATAAATGTATACGTAAATCGTTGAAATTAAAACCCTTTGCGTACCTTAATTTGGAGCTGCAAAAATTTGACGTAATGAACCGCTTCCTCAAGCATCGTACTGATATCGACCTGTAGTATATTTGTTTGGAAATTTAGTTATCATTTGTTATAAAATAAAAATGCATGTAAGGAATCATATCGTCTACATGTTTAAACGTGTGCATTGATTTTTTACCTTTGTTCCATTAGGGACGAGGTTTTGCAAAATCCTTAGTCTCTCGTTTATTCTTTCTCTTCTTTTCTGCACAACCAAAGAAAAATCTGAATTTAGTCGCTTGCATACCTAGAACGTATATGTTCCAAATATAAAGAAACTATTGATAAAAACAAAAAACTTTGACGTTTTTTTTAAAAAAATTACCCTTGCGTAAAGGCTTTGAAGTAAATGGTAACATTTTGAGGAAATCCGAATCAGTTATGAACCTAAAACCGGTACGTAAAACTTACTTCAGCTGATGTAGCACGCGATCTCTTCTTGGAACCGGTGAGAGATTTCTGATGATCAGTAGTAGTCACAGAAATTTCGGATTGCAACATGCTTTCCTCCTCATCGTGGTTCTCCACGACGGTTTCCAAGGGCAGAGCAGTCTTTCCAGATGAGTATTTCTCAACATCACATTCACTTGTCTCCTCACCAACAAGGTAAGAGTTTGTGTTGATTGTCACATCTTCCATACCAAAGTCGATTGGCCCATTGTTATTCTCTTCAACCGGGGGTGGGACCGCCACCGCGTAGTACCCGCTGTTTCCAGCGCTGTAGCTGCTGCTCTCTTGAGAGAAACAGAAACTACTTGCTTCAGGCATGAGGGTAAGGTGGTTTTGATGAGAACCAAGGCTCCAATACATGGCCTGGTGGTCTCCACCGGCTGTGCCAGAGGATGAGCCGGTGCCGGGATGATCGTAGGAGGCGAGGAGCTGGTTCATGAAATCGGCTTCTTCGGTTGCGTAGGTGTACATTCCTGCGAGATTGTTGCTCCATTCTCCCATGGCTTCCATTTTTTGTATGTTATTAACTTAAGCGTCTTAATTAAGAAATAAATCTTAATTAAGAAGATTGGTTAGTATTGTTTGTTGGAAGTCCTGTGAGAAGTGAGGGAATGAGGAAGAGAAGTTGGGATGTATATATATAGAGAACATGAGAGATAGTGGATAAATGTCAACACTTGAGACAACAATTACGATCATATTTCTAATTAATTTATAAATAACCAAGTCTGGGATACCCTTAGATATGGACAGCTAATTATGGTGGGCTATATACAACTTGGTCTTCGAAACATGAGTTTAGCATATTGTTTTTTTGTCGTTTGTCGTTTATGACTCAATGCATTTCTGCTTATCTATTACTTAACATATTCTTACATATTTGCTAAATACATGAATCACTACCAATATGATATATAATGAAATATGAAATATGTTTTTTGCGGCATTCACAGCATATATGGTTTTTTTTTTCCAATACAGATTTGGGATCAAAATTGAAGAAGCTCTTAGCTCATTAGTTTGTTCGACTTCAGTGTCGAATATATCTTAGTTGTTGAGTATGGAAAATACAATTAGGATGCGTTAATCCATTTTCGAAAAATACTTATGAGTTATGATTACCTTCAAATATTTTCCTATAATAATAGACATATAGTTCATTCTGCCATGATATAGCGAAGACTTGTTTTATTTTAATAGCAACTTTTTTAATCTATAATATTCTACATATCGCAGAATATTCCTATCTATTGATAAAATATAAATGTATTTTACTTAAAATCTCAATAACGATATAGTGTATTATTCAATTTTTTACTTTACACAAATAATTAGCAAACCATCGGGAAAAAATGTGGTTTTCTATAATTTATATAATTTTGTCAGCTGTGTATTTCGAATATGCACTGAATAACTTGTGTGCTAGTGTTTTATAAATACAATACAAAGTAATCCAAACTATGTGGACCTTAGGCATGTATATGGTTCTCGTCTATTATGTAATACCTTGAAATAATCAACGGTGGATTAAACAATACGAGAGAAAATGGTTTCTGTGTATTATGACAATAATTGGATTATTCTATTTTCATTTGTAACTTAAAAAAGACATATATATGCACTATTCCATTTTCATATATATGCATAATTGTGATAGTATAACTTTTGATATTAAGAGGTGTGTGACAACACAAAGACATACAAATGCTGAAATGCATATGAAAAACTCTACCCTATATTTTGGAAAGCGCGTAACTTGTAGTGACCTAAAAACTGGCCGTTTTTTGTGATTGATTTGTGACTGATTTATATGTTTTCTAGCTAGTTTTTTTTATCTAATACCTGATTTATTCACACTAACAACAAAAACTGTTGTGATCGATGGTACTAGTTTTAGTAGTAAAAGGCTTAGAGCCTGAGGGATGTTAATAGTTAGCGACATTGTATTGTATGTAATTAAATTTTAGGCTCTTCTCATAATATTATCTTCTGCATTATTTAATTTTCCTACGCAAGAATTTGAAATCTTAGAATACTAACTTGTTTTTATTTTGAATAAATTATCATCTAAATATGAATCGAACTCTTCCGTCTGTTGCTTAACTTTGCAGAAAATGAATAGTTTGTGAGTTGGAGAACGAGAATGAAAGAGAGAGAGAGAGAGATCGATGTAAAGTGGAGAATCAGAGACCTGGTTGTTGAACGTGACAGTTTTTGTGTCATAATAAAGTTTTTTAAATGAGAAAAATAAAGGAATGAAATTGAGTTATATGTTTAACTGTATTAAGTAATAATTGATTAGGTTGAGTCAACCACTGGACGGCAGATCGTGCGCGTGGAATGTCCATAAGCTCATAAGCCATTCTTAAGGATCTTTTTTTTAGACCCAAAGCACACACTCTCTCTCAGTTAATATATAGCTTTGCACCCAAATAACTTTTTCTTCGTTATGAGTTTGAAAATTTAAAACTTAAGCTTACCCTGGCAGATACGACAAACTAAAGGATGTAATCATGGTCCAGAAGTAGGTAGTAGAACTTTTTTTTTTTCTTAAAAAAAAAAATCGAAAAATGGGCAAAGAAAGACCGCAATATGCAAAGTAAAGGAAGGTATATCACATCTTTTTGATCGGGTTGTCCCATTACACCCATTGAGCTGAAACCATAATTTATGTGTAGTAGATCGGTTTATATAATTCGCTGAACAATTTTCGACATAATAAATTCAAAAGAAAAATGTCCCTAGCCAAAGCACAAAATATAATACTGGAACTTAAGTAAAGTTGTTACATTTTGTTGGTTGAGAGAAGAAGACATTTTCATAGGAAAGCTATAAACGCTAATATCCTAACTTAGCTTTTTATCATAACCTTTTGGGATATGCAGGAAGCGCCAAAGAAGTTAAAAAAACTTTTGGGTGACTGGAAGCTAATTAAATGACGTAATCATATCAAACAAGAAACAGAAATATCGACCCTTATGCATAATTAAATTGGTTCCAGTTTCTTACTACTATTCAAGGTAAACCCTTCTTCACCTGAGCAAGACAGCTAATAATGTGCTTTACGAAGTATTAAGAGCAATTAGGAACCTTTTTTAAGACTCTGAAACATAAGTGCTAACTTATGCAATAGAGTTTAAAATCACATTTGTTACCTATGTGACATAGGCTATGTCCAATATTATTCAATACACATATTAAAATAGTTTGCATAAATTTATATTTTATTGTGGATTCAGTAGAATAAAATCTATGTACACAGCTCGAAAGACCCAATTGGTTAATCAGATATGATTTTTCCCTATACTATTAGATTATAATTATATTGCTTGAACTATTTACTCAGTATTTTTTGGGAGATTACTTTCTAGAAGCAATCCTTGCTCGCACGATCAACCATTTTCATATCGAAAAGTATTATTGTGAATTATTAATTGTTCTTGCAACATTTCTGTTGGGTAGTTAGCTGGCAGTTTGATGCCCTCTTTAGAATTAAAAAGACCGAACGACCACCTATTCTTCATAAAATTGTCGTTTCAGTTAACACGGACGCTATTTTGTCATTTTAATTAAACGTACTTCTTTCTGCTAGTACTATTTTGTGGATATTAATCCCAAAAATAAATACCGGAAATATATAAAAATTCAATATAACAGCTTTTCTTGTTTCCAATAATGAAGAATTTCTATAATGTTTATTTGACTGAGTTGCTTATGAAGTGCACAATTTAATGTCTAATATGTTTAAACATGAACTAACTTATGCTGGTCTAAAATTAATATTTCGATTGAGGAAGAGGTACAAAGGTTCTACTATGGATCTTTTAGATTGCAAAATATCAGAATTTACTCTATGTTTCGGCATGAGACTTTATGGTTATATTAACATTTACCTTTTTGTTACCATAGTTAAATCTGTGTGGTAACAAAACAACAACATCGTTTGACAAAAAAAAAAAGAAAAAACACAATTCAACAACATAAATATGAGTACAAAAATGAGTAAACGACTAAACTAGATGTAAAAATGGATCAATCCTATTTTGGTGTTTTTTTTTGTCGCCCAATCCTATGTTGTTTTAAGTAAGTATTTATTGTATCATTGATCAAATCTGTAAGTTTATATATTAAAATCAATAATTTGCAATAAAGGGGTAAATGAAGAGAATCCTACCAAACACAATTAGAGATCAAGGTGCAACGTGTGTCGGATATTCCTGAGCATCATTTATTCATATTAAACTCATAACGTATGTGTTTAGACACTTAAATACAGACGTCGATGCAAACCACACGCATATATTAGAAAAAGGAGAAGCGCTAGCTGCGCTACCCAATAATTAATCATCGGAAAATCACATATGTTAGTATTAACTGGAAATGCGAAAAGGACACAACTCATGATTACTTCATAACTGTTAATTTTTCGTTCCATTTGACATGTAGTTAAAACCCAAATGTTTTTTTATGACGCCGAACTTTTCTGTAAGTGCATTTGGATTTTTCTCTACCTTCAACCGTTGTATTTGAAAATATTAATTCACATTATATACATTTATGAATGAACAGATTGTGTCCTCTTATCTGATCCTACCGTTGTAAAATGACAATATAATCCGACATCTAATTATCGTTTAGATAGTCTTCTAAATCGGGTATTAAAAAACCAAAAAATGTAAAAAAAGAAAAAAAAAAAAAAAAAAAAAAAAAAAAAAAACTAATATCTTGGCTAAGCATATCAATAAAGGGCAATTATTGATGTACCTTGATTAAATTTGATTCGGCTGACGATTGGTAGGTGAAGAGAATGTCTTTATTCAATTATCTATATCATTATTGACAAATGGTGTCATAATAATCGTATAGATCTCTCTTCTCTTCTCTTCTTTCTATATGGTTTCCTGATTTGATAATACTTAAGTATATGATCATTACCATAATGTTTAATATCATATTAAAACGGTTGTTACGGTTTGCGTCCGCCTCGTGCATTCGGATTTTTCTTTTTTTATTAAACTTGGACGTTTGGTGCATTGATTGATGTAGGACAAACAAAATATGACAACAATAGTCTACAGGCAACAAGTAACACTAACATTATTTAATGAATATAAGAAATGAATTATACATAACATAAGAATGAATTTTGATCAACTCAAAGACCAGAAGAATATGATCTATATATTAATTTTCCTAATGTAGTTAATATAATGAGCGTAGGTTGCGTCTGTAGGTCTCTTTCTTATTGTACTTTGTCTCGTAATTTTTTACGAGCAACTGCTCGTTATGAATGGAGTGTGTCTATACTAAATAAATGTCATTCAACAATAATGTATTTTCAAATTTACTAATAGTTATAATTTCTAAATGGTTCTATATAAAGAGCCTTACATTATTTGAAATACTTTTGACATAAAGTTAGTTTTGTACAAATGATACGTTTAGTACGGTTATTTTGACACAAGTTTGGAAGTTTTCTTTTCATATCCAAATGCTTTTAACTGTCTTGTAAAATTACTTTATGGATCTTGACAGCATTTCCTGATAAATTATTAGGTTAACTTCTGAAAATGAAATACATAAGAACATGCATATATCAAAAAATTAATATGGTGTACATTGGATATTCTTCAGCAATTAGTTCTATATTTTGACATTTTGGGTTTTCGTAACCTGTTAAATTACAATTGACTTTGGCTTTTTTTATCTCCCATTAAATTAGAATTGACATTGGTTCAAGGTATATTCAAATATATTTTTGTTTTGTTTTTTTTTTTTGATGTAAACAGCTAAGGCGGAAATCATATGTTTTTTTAATCAAATGATCAAACTGAACAGAAAATAAAAATTCGAATAATAATACGGGGACGGGAAAAGTCATTTTCATTTTCCATATCTCCTGGTATTTGGAAACTTATAACAGTCATAGTCAATTTGTATTTCATTTTGTTTATCATTTGACACCAAAGCTGATATATGTGACTGTTCCTATTTCATTATATATTTCTCTGTCGTTTTCTTAACTTCTTCTTCTAATATTTGACAGTTTTTTTTACAAATATAAAAGATTTGCAATCGCATAGAATCAATCAGAAATAGTTTTACAACTATTCTGAAATCTTTCCGACATCATATAGTTTTGTCTGAAAATTAGTATTTTCCTAATGTAAAAAAAGTATAACGGATTTTTATTTTTATTTTGGGTTAAAAGGTATATCATTTAGCTAGCTCCGTATCACTTTTAAACTCGGTGTCTGTACATGGACTATATGCATGTATTTATATTTTGAAAGATATGTCTAGAAAACACGCTATCAAATAAATGGTCTAAAGTTGGTAATATTGGCAAACATGTATGTTTTGATCATCATGAATTATGAATGAATATTATGGACATTAATGAATACTTGAAGGATATATTATATATCCAATTCCAATTTTGAATCTACACATATATACTTGTTAGTTGTTCCATCCATCATATTATGTAAAATATAAATAATTTTAACCTAAGCGGGTGGCATTTCTACGTTAAATATGTTGCACGTATTACTCCAGAATTAAACATTTACATTACATATATTGATCATTGGTACTTTAAAATTACCATCTGAGTTTAGCTTTACTGCTTTAGCATCTTCTGAAATTGCCAACGTATATACGTATAAACATAAGAGTAAACGGATAGAAAAAATTATATTCAAAAGCACTTTTCTAGTTTCTAATTACATTCAAAGGCACTTTGTGATACAAGGTGACTTTGTCCAAAAAACAAGAGAGAAAAATTCCAAAGATGCCTTTTGTTAAGTTTGCTTCGATCTCCTTTTACGATTGAAGACATTTTTTTACCGTGGGTGCCGCAGTAACTTTATCTAATCTGAAGTCAGATGAACTCGCCGGAATGACTTTGGTCGTACGTCGGAAAAACTTAGATCGGAGGGAAAAAACCATAGCAAAGCTAAGAAGAACATATGTTAGATCTGGAAAAAAATCTGCTCTTATTAGATAAATTTGGGTTCACTCGCAATCTGGAAAAATTGCTGCTGTTATTAGAAGAAGAGCTATTGGATCTGGAAAAATATTCAATTTCGTTGAAATTTGGAGAAGATGAATCTGAGTTAATTTGTAGAAGATGAATCTGAGAAATTTTGCGAAGATGAATCTCAGAAATTTGGAGAAGATGAATCTGAGAAATCTCAGTTTTGTCCACATCTACATGTACACGCACTCGTGTACATGTCGCGATGCGTCCGGTGGACGCCTTTCTTTGGATAACTGTTTTGGGATATGAATGGATATGGCATGACATAAACCTCATCATCAAATTGGTATGTGTGACAAGTTTTGAGAGTCTTATACGAACAATGTCTATACAATCATATCCAGATTAATGTCTATACAATAACATATACATATTATCATATGAACATAAAACCATGAATACCATCAAAAACAACAAATCATGGATACAATCTTCTTTCATCAACATATATGTTTTATTGAATGCACAAATGCATTATGTTTAACAATGGTGATAAAAACAACAAATTCTCTTGTATTACATATTTTCAATTAATGAGAGTCAAATAATTAAAAATCATATTCATACAAACCCGTCCACGAGTCATAATCGACAGAAAATGATGTAGTGGTCACATTTGAATTCAATTTCATGGACTGCTCAGCGTAGATACGTCGCAAACACGCCTAGATTTTTACCCCTTCATGGAGGGATGGGCAATGTTCATGACTAATACGTAATAAATGGGATGGATTGTTGTATATGAGTGAGGGGATATTGGACATCCGAGATGACCTAAAAATGAATGCATATACATACACCACAATTGGACAGAGCCATATGGATGGATCCGTTTGGATATAGAAAACAATCAACTAATCTTAATGCAATAGATCTATGAGATTCACTAAACCTACTAAAATCACGAAGAGTCCATGACTTTGTGTCCACACAGTCATGTACACGAAGACATGTCCACATACACATCTCATTAAAGATGCCAAAATTTAAACATTTTTTGCTAGTTTCTATCAAATAATTCCTTCATAAACGTATTTGTTTATGCTAGTTGTGTCCACGCAACCGCATCCATGTGGATAGGTATTCATTTCTTTGTATAATACACTGCTTTCATCCATTGATTCTTGCATAACTGCATCTATTCATGTCTTCTATGTCATTTATAAGAAAATAGGAAAAAAAAATTCATTGGTAAATATGAATAATAGTGAAAGAGAATAAATATTAGGTTTCTGTGGATGGGGGTTCTGTACAATTAGGCTTACCAACGACATCAACCTTAGGCACTTAGAGTTCGCCGTCCATGGACTGCTGTCTATCAAGGTCACTGTTCCCATCCACATCATCCGGTCCACTAATGACCATGTTCGTGTCATAGCTGCCAGATACGACACTATCTACCGCCGGCAATGCAGCATGTATGCCTCCACTTCTGCCTCCACTTCTTCTCCTCCTTGGATGGGCAAGTCTGGATGGGGGTGTGTGGACAGTGTGAATATAATAATTTATGTTCACCATCTGCAGTATATAGTACTGTATTGTCTCCCATGAAATCATAATACTATAGGCGGATAGTTAGAAAGTACAATCCACATGGCTAACTATGTTACAACTATCATCTATCTATTCTTTAATAAACGCATATGTCCATGTTAGTGTCATCCATATAAACGCATATGTCCATGTTAGTGTCATCCATGACACTGCATCCATTTTTCAAATATCATAGATAAGTTATCTGTCAATACAAATATATAATAGACAAGTTATCTGTCATATAAGAGCGGCTAATAACAAGAAATTGATACAATAGTGATACCGACAGAGGGAGCGGTAGAGATGAACAATTGTGTTTTCACATGGACAAGTGAACCCATTAGCAGATATGTATTCTGTTTCATACAGACAAGAAAACGACGAGATTAATTCAGAGAAGGAGTCCCACTTATGCTGCTAGTTGGACAGGGGACTATGTACAAGAAGGCTTAACCACACAAGACTTCTTCGGAAGTTCGAGATCTTCGTCCATGGACTGCTGTACATTTTGATCATTAATCTTATCCACATCCACCTCACTAAGCGATTTTAGTGTGGATATCCGAATGTATGTCATGGATATGATTTTGTGGACACAAAGATAATTAACAATTGAGCGAGTGTTTGTTGAGTTGTTGTTTATCGCCTAGACTATTCCATAGAACCGTATCCATATGATTGTGTCCATACATCAATATCCATATGGATATAACACATGTGTCCATATCAAAGTGTAAATATAGTTCTGAAATTAGTTCTCAGTATATCCAAAACTCAACACACAAACTTTACAGGAAAGACCAATAGCCACATGAAGTCGTGGACATAATACTGTGGATATGAAGTCGTGGACAAGATAACATGTACATATTTAGCTCTTATATGGACGATAATATATGGACGAGCTTCATCAGTTAATACACATAACTAATCTTACAAGTATGGTGTACAATGGATAGAAAAGTGAAAATATACTAGCATAAGAGATCGGTTAATCCAACTAACAGTTTTTCATAAATATTGTTCATATTCCAAACAATTAAAATTGAAAACAAAAATGAAAATGAGGGGTGGCTCACCAAAAACACTAATTAATGTATTGACAGGTTAAAGTAGACATGAAATTGAGAAGCGATGTAAAACGCCAAAGCTAAAGCTAGCAACATAAAAACTTTCAAATACAATGACATAGCCATGACAAAAAATTTCATCGATGTGCATTTGTGCGTTCAATAAAACGTATAATGTTGATGAAAGAAAACTTAATCCACGATATATTGTTCTTCATTATACTATGAGATGGTCATCGTACTATAAAAAACTGAGTCTTGTTATATAGATGTCACATCATATTAGTTACTTTTTGTAAAAACACCCATAAGGCAGTTCTTAGGGTGGATGTCCATATGAACGGCTTCACATGGACAAGGAAATGACGGGAGGGCACAACTGCTTAATTCAGAGAAGGAGTCCCACTTTTGCTGCTAGTTGGACCGGGGACTCTGTACAAGAAGTCTTATCCACGCAAGATTCCTTCGAAAGTTTGAGGTCCTCGTCCATGGACTGTTGTACACTTAAATCACCAATCTTATCCCCATCAACCTGACCAAGTGGTTTAAGCGTGGATATCCGAATGTATGTCATGAATATACATGTTATAAATGGATACAGATGATAACCATTACAACATACAAAAACGGTTGCCATCCTATTCTGCACCTGACGGATGGCCAACCACATGTGGCCAAGATTACATGGACAGCTGAACGTGGCTAAAATAAGTTTTCCACCCATCTTTCTCCGTCAGCTTATCGATTATCGAATCTTTGACAGAAACTTCAATTCCTATGAGAAACCAGAAAAAAATTAAAGACATCTACACCATTTTTCCTTCTAAACTTATGATAATTCCAATAGTAAATAGAGCGACAGATTAGAATCACCTTCTATAGCTTTTCTTGTATCCTCTTCTTTCAAAACACACAAAGAGACGACGGGATTCCTATGGGATAGCTGTCCTTCGAATAGAGAAACCTCGTCGGAAGAAATCTTTGGTTAGAGTGGTTGAAAACTCAACAATGGATACGATGGTGGTACCGGCAGCGTGAACGGCGAGAAATTACGACGGTAAATTTTAGGGTTATTCTGTTTTGGCTATTTAAGTTTCTGATTTGTAGAAAAAAAGGTAAAATGTGGAAGAAGGTGAAACGGTGGAATTCACATTAAAAGTAAAGAGAAGAGTTTTTGGTCTTTCTATTAGCCCAAAGTCACCATGGAAGCACAAAGTGCCTTTATTGTAAGAATGAAACTCATAAGTCTATGAGTATAAATCACTCTTATCTCAATCGTGTGTGTTTGGGCTATGACTATAAAAATTGGGCCTAGACAAAACTTAATTCATTTTCTAATGCAGTCAAACTAGAATCACTACCTAGTAAAACTTAGGGACTCCAAAGAGTAACTTCACCGGTGTAAAACGACAGTGAAGCGAAACGAAATAATACTCGCACGTGTGGATTTATGTCCAAAAAGTCCAACACGGTCTTAAGTTCACACGTACGAAGACGAACCCGGAGAAACAAAAAATCAAAAAACAAAAGAGAAGCGAAGCGAACGAAAATCCCTTTGCCTTTAGGGCACAAAGGGGAAGCCTTTCAGGAGATTAAACTAAAAAGAGATCCCTTTTACTGTGTAAGTTCCTTCCTTCTCTAATCATCTTCCTTCCCTCGCTTCGATTCCTCAATCTCTGTTTATCTTCGCTCAATTTCGTTTTCTCGATTCCACTGTTTCCTTCGCGAATTTCATCTCTCTATGCTATCTCATCGAAGTGTTTTGTGTGAATAATTGAATGGTACAGTAGTTTGATTTCTCTTGATTAATTCCCGGAAAATTGCGATGCTTGATTCCTCTTACTTCAATTTCTCAGTTCGTAGTTCGCAATTGATTGTTTATGTTTACTCCACTTCAATTTTTTTCCGAATTTTGGATAATTGAGCTTGATTCTATAATTCTGAATTTTTCCAGGTATGTGTTGAGAAATGGGGTTTTAGGTATCCTCCGCAATCTGGGATCTTTACTTTGAAGCTACCGGATGTGGTTTCAAGTCCAATAGAGTAATTTCTGGGTTTGAATTCAGCTTGAAGATGGGATCCGATCAAGCTTCTTCCCGGTTGGATACGTTAGAGATAAGATCCCTCATTTTCCGGGAAATCGGGCATCAGAGAGCTGAGAGTTACTTCGAGCAGCTCGGAAGATTCTTCGCCTCGAGGATCTCCAAATCTGAGTTCGACAAGTTCTGCATCAAGACGATCGGTAGGCAAAACATCCATCTCCACAACCGTCTGATACGTTCGATCATCAAGAACGCGAGCGTCGCCAAATCTCCGCCGTTGATGAATCAGAAGAAAGGTGGGAACTTTGTCAGTTTCGGTAATGGGAAGCCGAAGAGCAATCAAAAGGATTCTGCATTCTCTCCTTCGACTACTCGGAAATGCAGGTCGAGGAAGTTGAGAGACAGGCCGAGTCCGCTTGGTCCACTTGGGAAGCCTCAGAGTGTAACCACTACGAAGGAGTCCATGTCAAAGGCACAAAGTGCTACTGAGCTGCTTTCTCTGGGAAGTAGACCTCTTGTGGAAGTTGTATCTGTGGAGGAAGGAGAAGAGGTTGAACAAAGAGCTGGAAGTCCAAGCGTGCAGAGCCGGAGTCCTGTAACTGCTCCGCTTGGTGTTTCCATGAACCTTAGGGGTGGATTCAGTAGAAAGTCTGCTTCAAATGTATCGGTTGGAGAGGAGACATGTCAGAGCAGCGGTGAGCTACCGGATACAAGAACGCTGAGGAATCGGTTGGAGAGGAGATTGGAGATGGAAGGGCTTAAGGTATCTATGGACTCTGTGAGTCTTCTGAATAGCGGATTGGATGCGTTTATGAGAAGGTTGATTGAGCCTTGTTTGAGTTTGGCCAACACTCGGTGTGGGAATGGAGGAATGAGAGAGATGAATGTCCAGTACGCACAGCAGAGAAGAAGGAGGGTTTCGTGTGTGTCGATGTCTGATTTTCGAGCTGGTGTGGAGCTGAATCCTCAGATTCTTGGAGAAGAGTGGCCTATACTTCTGGAGAAGATGTGTTCTCGTGGTTTAGACGAATAAAGAGATTTTAGCAGAAAACGCCATAGTTTAGCTTCTATACATCATTACATAGCATTTGATTTTGACTCATTTTGGGTATACTTGAAATCTGAAATTCTTTCCTGGAATTTTGGGGTTTGTGAAGAGTTTTCTGGTTTGGTTTGTTGAGATGGTTCAAGTTTCAGAAGGAAGAAGCTTTGGAGAGGAACAAGATGGGTCTTGGTGTTGTATTAGTTCTTTTAGTAGAGTGAGATTTTAGTTGAGGTTTAAATGTAAACTCCCATTTTGTTTAGCTGATTTGTTTTACTTTTACCCTCCTGTGTATTTGTTTTCTTTTTACATGTCTGCTCTCTGATGTAACAAAGTTAATAATGAAAGCAAAAATGAAAAAATCAGTTTCGCTTGTTGAATAGACCCATCTTTGTAATTTGAAAGTCAAAAGTTGATTACATTTCACTAAATATTACATGGAGTGATAAAGACGCAGAAGTGAGTTTAAAAGCAAAGTGTGCAGGACAGAGAATGGTGTAGTTCTTCTTCGAGGACTCTTTACATTTTACTCTCTGAAAAAACTACAGAGAGGAAACAAAGAATGTTGAAGAATAAATGCTCTGCTTCTAAGCTTCTAGGCTGCCTTTTCTTCATTGCTGGATCACATGATTGAAATCTCCACGTAGATATAACTGAGCGTGTTAAAAAGGGTTTGCAAGAGAGATGTTTCAGCCTGCAATGTCAGCTGGTTTCTCGCGGCCTGCCATGTAAGTTATGTAGATTGTCCATAGATACGAAAACGAGTTGCTCACAAGTGGCTGCGGACAAAAAGAAACCATCATTCCGTTATTAACCGAAACTTAAGACATCAAAAGTGAGGCCAAATTGAAAATAAAGTGGAAGTAATGAAGCATACAAACCTGTAAATGAACTGGGAAGAACTTGAATGTAATAAAATCACAAATGGGCCAATACATGGCACCATTAAGCATCGTGGGAAGTAGGTCCCTTTTCAATCTAGCAACTATCTCTGTACCATTTTCACCTGCAAAAAAAAAAACATTCAACAATCAGACTTGTATGTTTTTAGGACAAGCCTAAGATCAAAAGTTAACAACAATCCCACCAAAAGATAAACGTCCTCAAGACTTTTCAAGGTAAACGGCACTAACAACAATCCTAACTACTCAAACAAACTTCTCAATAATCTACAAAATTGCAAATACAAAAGATCTAGAATTGAGACTTTGCGAAATGTGAAGCTTACCCTGTAAGGCTGCATTCAATGAGAAGAAAACAACATTCATGCAAGGCCCGAAGACCGCTTGTCCCATGACAATTTTCTTAAATGTTGAGATCAAATCTCGCTTTGGGAAGAGTCTCGACATGAGATTGAACCAGTGGTGAAGTGTAGGACCTAAGATCAATAACCCATATCCTGCCATCCTTGCTGTTCTTACCAAATCATAAGACTCCACCGAAGCTTGCGGAATTGTCTGTGGAAATATCCAATTCATTAGCTCCAAGTCCCATTAATCAATAGGCTACGAAACACAACAACGATACAAGCACAAAGAAACGTCGCAAATATAACAACTCAAATCACATGAAACTGCAAAAACAATACTTGAAAAATCGAAATCGTTTCCATTTTTCAGTGATTGCATTTTACAGACATAAGTACATAACACCCAAAAACGAGGAAATTCGCGAAATTACCTGTGAAGATAAATCAGCGGCGATGTAAATAAGCGACGACGTGATGGATTTAGTCAAAATCGGCCGCGATTTCACCATAGCCAGATACCATCCGATGAATCCCGCTTTCGCAAACGACGCCGTAGAGGCGGTAGAGGCCGTAGAAGTAGACGAAGAGCAGAAACCGGAGATCAATGAATAAGGAGAGACTCCGGTTCCCTTTGCTTTCCCGAGAAACTGTGGCGTGCGAAAATAAGGCCTCGACTGAAATCGCCGGATGTCTCCTCTCGGTAAAGGGTCGAGCTTTCCGAAAGGATTCGCCGTCGCTGTTCTGTGTGACCGTAAGATCCGAGCGGCGTCGGACGCAGCGTTTCTAAACAATGCTCCGGTCATTATTTTCTCTCGGTAGCTCCGAGAGTTTCGGGGCTGGTGGTGTGTTCAGGTCAGGGTTTATATATAACGGCGGAGGAGAAGAAAACAAAACAGAGCTCTCTGTTTTGAAACTTTTCCAATTTTTTATTTATTTTTAAAAAATAAAGAGTTAACCAGACTCAATATTTTCGCGAGTACATGTATGTATTTTTACTCGCGCCTTGTACCATAAATGGTTCTTAATAAATCATTAGTATAATGCATTTTCTAGGTGCAGAAGATTGAGGAATTCCCGGGATCTTCCCAACAGAAAATGGCATTATAATTTTGAATTCTGTTGTGTCAATAAATCATTAAATTGACATACACAACAAATCAACTTTTATTGAAGGGTGTAAATGCCATCGTGCAAAGCGCGTGACAGCAAAAAGTTGGGTGGGTCAAAAATCTTACGTCCCCAAACTCATTTTTGTTGTGTAGTTTTCTTGGGTTTGTCTAGACGTCGAGTTCACATTGGCTTGGGTCGATGTCACCGTTTCTGACACGTACAACTTTTCATTGTGAGTTTTGTGACGCTACTGACTAGCAGTAGCCACGTGTTACGTTCGTGTCCCACGTTCCCAACTTTGAGCCACTTTTGTTCACTCTTTACCTTTTTTAAAATCTGTACCAAAAGTCCAAAACATTGGAATAATTTCTTTTGTTGTTGTTAATAAACAAACCACTGGAAGATGTCGATGTCAAGGAAACCAATAGCAGTTTATCATTCATTCGTATACACAAACACAATTCGGGTGAAAAGACACTCAAAATTTGATCCACAATTCTCATTTCTCTCGTGTTACTCTTATAAACTCGTATTAAAAAATTGTATGTTTCTTATACTGAAATAACAAACAATACGAAACGACTAGTCATAAGTAATGAGTAATATATTTTTAGCTATTTATGCTTCATCAGATTTCAGTTTCTGTATCATTCACATGCACATCATTAGAAAACTCAATGGTTAACACTGTTTTGGCCAAGAACTGTACATAATGGACCCGGCAGCAGATCTTTCTCAGACAAAAGACAGAATCTGTGAGATATATGGAAAGAAAACACACTTCAGTCTTGCTGTATTTGGTCTCTGATCCATTTGGTGGCTACCCATTTCTCTCCTTTGGTCACCGGACAACTCCCGTGAAGCGAAGTCTTCAAAAGCCATTCCAACCAATAAAGAAGAGAGCTACTATTAGCATGAACTAACCGCAGCTGTTTAATCTAATCCAAGATCCAAGGAATTTATATATGTTTCAGAAATTGTTTTACCTGATCAATTGTTCCATTAGGAAACACGGAGTAAAAAAGAAGACCATCTCCTCTCCGAGGCTTTACTTTCAGACCGATACATTTCACGTAGTCATATCCAATGCCCATATTAGCACCGTTCTAGCAAAATCAGAAGTGTTTGAAAGAAAATCAATGAACAAAACGGTTTGAATATGTGTAAAACTGAAAATATGCAATGCTATGTTATAAAAGTAACTGACCTCAAATGGGAACATGGTTTCGCCACCTTCTTCTACATCAGATAAGTACAACAGGAAGGAAGCAATCTGTGTAAAAAAAAAAAGCCAATGAGACCTCAGGTTCTAAAGAAAGCTGTAAAACATGACAGATAAAAAGGATCTTTACCCTTTGGCTGGATTGTGGTCCGTATTCTGTTGGATTGAAAACATCATAGTGTGAATCATACTTTTGGCCAATTTCATACCGTAAAACATTGAATGACTGCCAATAACCAAAAACAAAAAAATCAAATCTCTTGTTACTCTTTATGAAACTCACCACTCTTTTTTCAAAATGATGCTTAAATGGTAATCAAAACAATATGCCAATTTGTTATGAACCACAATAGATTGGGAAGCAGAAATTAAAACCTCTCCATGGGTCCTTGGGATCATTGTAGCTCTTGCAATCTTTCTTTCAACAAATTCCAGAGTACCAGTACTCTCTTCCGAAGCACTAACAAAAGTCCCTGAGCTGTAACAACACACCAGCCAAAAACAATGAGGCTACTAATGAATGTTTGATTGAAGAAAACTCTTTAAAGAAAAAGGTGACTCTTTCTGCAAAATGCAAAATGAAACTTAAAAACACCTTGTTCTAGTGCCCTTGGTGCTCTCAGCAGATTCTCCTTTTCGGAGAGCCAAAGCAGAAGGTTTCAGATTAACCTTTGCCCTCTCAATAATAGTTTTGCATTGCTCTGCTGTTGCAAAATTCGGAAAATATATAGCCCTCGGTTTCCAACTTAACACCTGCCATTTCCATACCAAATGATCCAAAAGCATCAATTTTCAAGTGACACTAATCTCACACTCACACACTTGGCCAGAAAACAATGTTAAATTCGTTCAATTTTGCCCTAACTATTCGTTAGGCCAAAATTAGCAACAAAAGGGTCACCTGAAACGGAATCGATCCAACGGATTCATCTCCGGTAACACCATGAGGCATCGAGCCAGCTTCTTCTTCCCCATCTTTCACCAACTCCAACTTTCTCAACTTGGGTCTAATTCCAGGCACATTCTGCTCCCTCCCAAAGCATTAAACCATCGATTAGTCACAAAACCGAAACCATGTAACTAAAATGCAGATCTCGACGCGTCTTCAAAGAATTGCAGAGTTAGATCAGTGGGTTTTTCCACACCTGAGAAAGTATAGTGGAGCCGTAGAAGCCGACGAGGAAACAGAGAGAACAGAAGACGATGACTGTGGCTAACCCTAGCTTCTTCCTCTTGTAACTCTTCAACCTGCTCTTCATCGAGCCCCTCTTCTTCCGCGTCCGATCTGAAAAGTTATCCGATGGATCCTTCTCCGGCGTTACGAAATCTCTCAAGGCCGGACGCTTTTCTTCGATTTAATGATGATGACACCAGAGTTTTTGTCGTTTTTGTACAGAACTCAAGTAATAATAGTACCCTTTTTTTTAATATATGTTGAGATTAAAATCCGTTGACCAATTTTGCTTCTATAGACTGGTCAACCCATACCATACCAAGTTACCAACAATGCGCCCAGTTATCTTTAAGACTTTATGGTTGTGTTTGGTTACATAATTACAGTTAAACTTTTGAGGTCAGTTTGGTAGATTGTTAAGTGTGTGGGTTTGGTCCGATGAATGAAACTTCAAACTTAATGTGATTTTGATTTGATTGCTTCTTTTGGGTTGTTTTGGTAGAGTCGCTTCTTTCAAGACTTTAAGGTATCCATAAATGGGTTAGTAATCGATATGAGAATGTAAGGTAGGTGGATGTCAAGTGAAACATATTGCGTGTGATTGATACAAAAATATAATTGCGTCTATATGTGTATTTCAGCCAACTTTTCTGTTAACTTACAATCGTTGAATGAAACATTAAATATTCATATACATCTTATCATCCGAATTGGACAGCCAATGAAAAAATCGTATTATATAAATCATAGTATTTGGTTGATAAAAACAAAAAAAATTAAAACTACCAAAAGAGGTTTTTGTTAACGTAACTTTTGAAAATTGTTTGTTGCTCGTCATTTCATTGCACCATATTTCGTTGCTCGTGATTCTTTTTGTTTGCTCTTTATTTTTTCTTCATGATAATTATCAATGTTATAAGAAAATGTGCAATTTGGAAACACATCTGGCAGTGTATAACCACCATTAAGGTATTTGGAAAACACTCCTACCCAAAAACGAAAAAAACTAAATATGTGGGATGGGAATAGTATTACATGTCTTCGTCAAAAGAGTTCAACAACTTGGGCCAATGTGTTTCTACTTTCTAGCTGCCACCGCGTATCTTCATACAAGTCCGTCCACGTCAGTTTATTAACTAAACTACACAACTTCTTCGTGATGACCGAATAAAATGCACAACTTGCAAATAATTTAAAGAAAATAAAAACTAATCGGTTGTACTATATTCACCATTTTGATCAATTCTCTAGAACAAAACACAGAGTTTGACAATAAAGATTAAAGATTCTTAAAATGGAAACAATAACGTGACGATAAAACTAGCTTAGATACCAAGTGTGTACGATGAGTAGATTAGCCAGTAGTTATCCGTCTTTCTTAGCCGACAAGCAAGTATATCAGCTTACACGTTGGCTACAGCGTTACTCACCGTTACTCGTTCTCTTATTACACGGTCCATGTTCCCACTATAGTAAGTAAAATACAAAAATATATTATTTTCATTCTTTTTGTTTACCAAAGAAGAATTTACTTATTCTACTACTTGTAGAATGTAGACTACTAAACTGTAATGAAATAATAACTAAGAGATCCACCTCATTTCATTTCGTGTTATTCTGAACAATTCAATTGCTCGTTAACTAATTCTATATGTTTTTTTCTGCGACTTATTTTTGATTCTGCTCATATTCTTAGACATGAGTTAAGATCCAAATGGGTCTATTTTTTTGTCTAAATAATGTTTGAACATTGACGCCGTAAAATGTCATACAAATATAATTATCTTACACTAAATTACATTAAAGTAGCTGTTGATATCACATATTTTGTTTCTTCTCATTCTAGAATACAATACAGTAGCTGTTGGTTGCTATTAAATTGAATTTTGTGAGACATCAGACTATCAGAGTAGATATTTTTATGGCTGGCCCACCTCCCAACTTAATTTTTTTAAATTGTCTCCTGAAGAAAGATATTTATTAAAATATAGGTAAAATATAAGGGAAATAATTTTATGTTTATTTTTTGTCCCCCCAAATTTGGGTTATTTCTGGAGAAATTTGCCAAATGGAGAAGGAAATTAATTAAAAAAACGCGTTGGCCAAAAACTGCAGAAAAAAAAAGGAGAGGATATGGATTGAAATTGAAAAAGCACGGGAAAAGATAAAACCAAACGACGCGTAGTCTACGTAGGTTAATTAAGAACGGCAGAGTCCAAGTCATCTGTCATATTCTTCTTCTTCTTCTTCTTCACGCGGTTTTCTTTTACCAACTCAACACACATACACACACACAATCCCTTAAAACCGATCAGATCAAACAAACCAACGGATCAAAAAATTCGTCGACAATCAAATCAAAGACCTCCGATTTCATTCCAATTCGAATCAAATTCCGTTTGATAATTTCTTCTCTACTCATACACTTCGAATAGAGTTTCTATAAGATAACCCTATGTTGCGAGCTTTAGCGAGGCCTCTCGAACGGTGTCTGGGTAGCAGAGCGAGCGGCGATGGTTTACTCTGGCAATCGGAATTGAGACCACACGCCGGCGGAGATTATTCGATCGCGGTGGTTCAAGCTAATTCCAGGCTGGAGGATCAGAGCCAGGTGTTCACCTCCTCATCTGCTACTTACGTCGGCGTCTACGATGGCCATGGCGGACCTGAAGCTTCTAGATTCGTTAATCGACACCTCTTTCCTTATATGCACAGTAATAATCCTACTTCCTTCTCCAAAGTCAAAACTCAGTTTTAGATTTTCATTTTGACTCTTTGACTGCGTTTTTGATCTTAATTTTCCCATTTTGTTGCTCATGATCCTTGATAGCGAATTTAACAGTTGTGTATTACGATTGCAGAATTCGCAAAAGAACAAGGAGGACTATCCGCAGATGTGATAAAAAAAGCATTCAAAGAGACTGAAGAGGATTTTTGCCATATGGTGAAACGATCCCTACCGATGAAACCGCAAATGGCCACTGTAGGATCTTGCTGCCTTTTCGGTGCCATCTCTAATGGCACACTCTATGTTGCGAATCTTGGGGACTCAAGAGCCGTTCTTGGGAGTGTTGTTGCAGGGGATAATAATAGTAGCAGTAATAGTAACAAGAGTGCTGCAGCAGCTGAACGTTTATCCACTGATCATAACGTTGCTGTTGAAGAAGTGAGAAAGGAGGTTAAGGCACTTAACCCTGATGATTCACAGATCGTCATTTACACTCGTGGAGTTTGGAGGATCAAAGGCATTATTCAGGTATAAACATTGTTTCACTTGCTTGCTTGCGTGGTATGTTAGCATCTATGATGAAGTTTTATGATTGTGTTTGTATGCATAAAAGGTGTAGGCTCCTGCAACGTTTCTTCCTCAGTGAGTTTTGTGCTCTACATGATAATGAAGGGACATGCTTTTTTGGTTGCTTGCATTAGCTAATGACATTTCCATGAATATTGAAGCTGATTTTTTTTTTGTGTGCATGCGCATCTTGTAGGTATCGAGATCAATTGGGGATGTGTACTTGAAAAAACCAGAGTTCTACAGAGATCCGATTTTCCAGCAGCATGGAACTCCCATTCCTTTGAGGAGACCCGCGATGACAGCGGAACCGTCCATTATAGTAAGGAAGCTTAAGCCACAGGACTTGTTTCTGATATTTGCATCAGATGGTCTCTGGGAACATCTTAGTGATGAAAGAGCCGTAGAAATCGTCCTCAACCATCCAAGAACAGTAAGTTTGCCCTTAAACTCAGAGCCTGTGTCGTCTTTTCTCTTTGTGTTTAGCTACTTTGATTTCTAACTCTCTGGGATTTCTACAGGGGATTGCACGTAGACTTGTAAGAGCAGCTCTAGAAGAAGCTGCGAAGAAGAGAGAAATGAGATACGGAGATATAAAGAAAATCGCGAAAGGAATCCGACGACATTTCCATGACGACATAAGCGTCATTGTTGTTTATCTCGATCAGCACAAATCAGCCTCGTCGAGCGGTAAATTGGTCCAGCAAGGAGGCATCACCGCTCCGCCGGATATCTACTCGCTACGGTCTGATGAAGCGGAGCAACGACGGTTACTGAATGTGTTATACTGACTCTCTCTGGTTTATAGTAAAGGATATGAATAGGGAGAAAAGTTGTTTACAAATATTTGTTTATTTGCTTTCGGTTTACGAAGAATGTCTTCGAAGTTGAATTTGTATATTCTTTTAGCAGCAAAGTAACGAAAACCCTTTTCTTTTGGGGTAATACAGTTTTGGTTTTGACAAACAATGCCTCTGTAAGAAATCTAGTGAAACCGTTTGAGACTTTGTAGATTGTTGTTTGATGATTTCTAGAGATCAGTCTTTTGTACTCAATACTTTAACAGGCCAATGTACGTATTCCAAAACCTTCAAATGTAACCAAAATGTACCAAAAATTTCCTCAACATTGGTAGTTCCAGAACCGAACACTTTCTATAACTTTAACATGTTTAATTCGTAAACCGACCAAATCGAAACTCCAAATGTCCAGCCTTAACCGAACCTATTGAATCGAATTTGAGAATAGGCGAGATTTTTCTACTGCAACATTTCAGAAGACGCGCACACAGAAAATCCCCCAAGGAAAGATGAGCGTAACCATTTCGGTCGCAGACGCCGTCTGGTCGAATATCGAATCTACCGGCTCTGGTACTTCACCGGTTTACTTCTTCTCTCTCTCTCTCTCTCTCTTTACTTTCCTTGTTTACGATCATTTATTCGTTGATTTTACCATTTTATTTGCAGTAACTGAAGAACAGCTCTCAGTGTCAGTTCTCCCGAATCCTAATTCGCTCTTATACGTGATAGATGAGCTTAAATCTGATTATTTTTCAATTCTCTATTGATTTTGCTTAGTCGTTTACATGGCAAAAACGTATATCATGGGAATTTTGAATTGGAAATTTATAAGTGTTTGTTTGCAAAATCCAGCTTGCATCAGTTGTTTGGTAAGAATCTTGAGAAAGCAACAAGAATAGTCGACAAGAGAGGCGTGAAGAAAATCTCTGGCTTACCAAGTGGAAGATCCATCTTTCAGGTCTCATCATCATCATCAATCTTCCACCTTTGTAATTGTCTACTTAAAAAATGATTTTTTTTTGCTTGTCTTGTTGGCAGGTGGTGGGAGAATCACAAAAGAGGGAAGAGTATCTTTGCTTCCCAGGAGATTACTGTGGTTGCTATTCTTTCTTCTATGATGTTGTTAGCAGAGGAGAGCAACAATGTGTAAGCTCTTTTTTTTCTTTTTTTTTTGAACTGCCCAATGTGTAAGCTCTTTTATCATTTATTAACTACATCCTTTTAGGCTTAAAGTTTGTATATACTGTATTACTCACTTTCTTCTACTCTTTTGTGTGTGTGTGGCAAAGTGTAAACACCAATTGGCTGCGAGGTTGGCTTCTTCTTTAGGTACATACAGCGAAATCGAGGTCTCAGATGAGCATCTTGCCTTAATGCTCTCAAAGATCTGAACTTTTCAATGCAGTACATATGCCACAAGTATGTCTCCTGTGATCAAGTATGCCACAACTTTGTTGAACAATTTTGCTTCATTTGTTCTGTTTTACTTACATTAACAATCAACAATGGAGTTGTTTGTTTAAGCTTGTAGGTTAATGGCCTAGTAGTTTGTAATTTCTGCATTTTTGTTCTCTTTCAGAATTATTTGAGTAACACAAAAAGTATATATCTATTTGATCAAATTGAATTTGAAATTCATAAAATATTTCCAATAAACGTATATGGCCTACAAGAAAGTTTTGTCTGACTTTTAAATTTGGTGTTTTCTTCATATCGAGTCGGATCTAATTAGACACTTGTCATTAATTTTCAATACTTTGATCCAGTATTTGACATCTGTCCACCTTTAATCAAAGTTACGGCAGTTAAAAATAATTAAAGTCCAAGTACCTTTAATCTAACTACTGCGAAATTATTCATTTGCCCTAAATTTGGTCGTTACTTCCTGATAATAGCAAGGATAAAACGGTCATTCACATTTTTTGGATCACACGCTTTGAATTTTGTCCTGATAAAACTGTTTGTAATTTGGGAAATCTAATTTACTCATTTCGTAAAATTGGATTCTTCACGAGAGTGACGAAACGGAGAAAGAGTCTAGAGAAGAGGTTTGGAAGTAAGTCTGCAGCAAGCAATGGAGGTAACAACCGGCCCGGTGAATGCTGCGGTGGCGGAAATTCCTGATCGGGACGAGCTCGTGGAAGCGCCGAACGCCATCGTGCTTGCTGACGGAGTCGTGTCGGCTGAGGAGACGAATACTGAAACGGATAATAGTGAAGAGTGGAAGACAGAGAGCGAGACGCCTCCGGAGGATGATCGTTGCCCGATCTGTTTCAGCTCCTTCACGGTTCCGTGTCGAGGGAATTGCGGCCATTGGTATTGCGGTTAGTGTTTTCATTTCTCTTCCTCTTCTCTCTTCTCTTCTCATGACTATTCTGAGTCATTTCGTCTTACAATGAAGTATCACGCTTGTTTACTTTTGGGATAATTCTTCTCGCCAGAAGAAAATTCGAAACTTGATAATTGCTTTTCTGATATAATTAAACGTCATTTGCTGGGTTTGGAATTGATTTAGGGTTCCAGTAATTGGGATTCCTGGAAAAGAGCTTTCTTAGTGATATAAGTTGGTGCCGTTTGCTGATTACTGCTGCCGGATTATACACAGGAGGTTGCATCTTGCAGTACTGGAACTATGCAGCGATATCAAGGCCTTGCAAGTGTCCCATGTGTGTGCGATACATCACTAAGCTCTCACCAGAAGCATCATTGCAACAGTGCCAGGAGCGAGAGGTGAAGGAGGTTCTTGCTAAGATCCGTAGGTATAACCGTCTCTTTGTTGGAGGTCTCACTGGCTTTGTTCAGGTTGGTGATTTTTGGGTCTCTTAACTGTTTGGTGCATTTCTCCTTTTTGTGCCTTGACAAAAACCACCATCTTTTGGAATATTATCAGAAGATGCATGAGCTGCCTTTCCTAATGAAGAGAATGGTGTGGCACATGATGGATCCAGATGCAAACACTCTGTACTTTCACGAAGTGCGCATCTTTGCAGTTAAGAACAAAACTTTATCATGTAAACTTTGATCATCACAGTAGTAAAAGACTGTTGCCTTCTCGCATTGGAGGATGAGTAACTAAGTTTCTTCTGGTGTTTGCAGATGTTCATGAGTACGCTTTACACTGCTGCAGAGTTCAACTTCATCCCAACGGGTAAGTTTCCTCACAAGTTCTAAACAAGCAATGACGGGTTAAAGATTGAAAGATTCTTAGACATGCCTCTGGAAGAATAGTTTTGACACCTCAATATTCTCAGTTCGAGATTGTGTGATAAAATTGACGATTGATGTTCTCCCATTTTGTACAGGGGGTTTCAAAATAGTGACAGTGTTCGACTATGCTGCAATTGCAATGATCCTGATTCTGCGCTTGGTGGGGATTTACCGGAGGAGACGACTTGCTCAGCGGGTTAGGCATCTTGCAGCTGCAGTGCAAGAACTTGAACCGGAGTGAGAGTGACGTAAGGGGAGCTTATTACACACGAAAACAAACAAAAAAGTTGATGTAGTTAACAATATGAGAAGCGTTTGTTCCTTGTGGATAGGTTTGGTAGATCATATTAGAAACCGTGAGTCTTGTGCAGTTTTTACGGAGAATAAGCAACCAGATGCGTCGTTATATATGTAGATCCGCTTCTCTAAATACCAAATCTTCTGTATTAGAGTCATTTAGCTTTGTTTGTTTACCAAGTTGATCCTTATTTGATTGATTCTAAGAAAGTTTTATTCGTGATTATATATCAATATTCTGGACTTGAAAACCCAAATGACATCTCTACATCATGTGTTAAGAGAACTAACCGATATGAGGAGAAGAAAATAACGAGACCCGGTTAGCTGTTCTTTAACAAATTAATTACAAGTTGAAAATACAATAAGGTTATAAATGGTACCGGTTTTTTATTCTGTCTTGTCACAAAAGTTAGGGCCGGCTCTGTTATAGAAGCTTCTTGCTCGTTGCTACTTTGGTCTGCCGAATTTGGTAACACTCTGCTTTGTTCTTCTTCTGGTTGTTTGCTTTCTAAATCGTTTTTTCTTGACACTATTCCAATGTTGTATTTGATTAGGGTTTCGATAAGTTTCTGAAAAAAGGGTTGCAATTGTATGATCTAGATCGAATCTTTGTTGATCAAGGTTCCTTACTTGATGTTCCGAGTCTTGAAAATCATATTTTGTAAGTGGTAATACTTTTGAGACACTAGAGAGATTCAATGATGTTTTGATTTGTGATGAACATTTAGATCAATCTCAAACCATGGCCATGGGTGGGAGAAGAGCACATTATGTGCGTTTATACGAGATCTCTCTCCTGGACGCCTTTCATAAGCAACCTTCTGCATATAAAAAGTTTTATGAACTTATTAACGATACCAAGGAACGTAGGTATGAGAAAAGTTTCCACTCCTCCTACTCTAAACAAGAAGCACAGATATGTTACTTGATCCTCATGTTACTTGTCTTTTTTTGTAGAGTCAGTCCACGAGATAGCTTGATAAAGGTGGAAGAAATCGTGAAAGATTACCCCAAGTTGATTCTTGGTTTTAGTGTCTTCGCTACCGGAGTTTACAGAGGAATCCTTGATAGTGATGACGAGGCTAACAAAGGGTTAGGCCAGTTTCAGACCACTCAAACCATGGTTGGCAAAAGAGTTGCACCATCACCATCACAATCATCATCACCAACTATGGATTATGCGCTCAGATACATGATTTCTGTGGAAGAAGCATTTTTTAATGAACCCGCCAAATATGACGAGTTTGTCAGGCTAATGCTTTTATCTCAGACGTATGAATTGAATTATTTTTCTCCATTTGGTTTCAACTCCCAAACTGTACAACGAAAGTAGATAAATGTGAATTGATTCTCATGATTTTTTATTTTTTTTGTGTGCGTGTGTGTAGAATCGGTGAAAGTATTGCAATCGCAAAGGTGGAAAAACTCACGAAAGACCACCGGAATCTACTTGTGGGGTTCAGTGTCTTCCTTTCAGAGGAAAATAAGATGAGCTTCTTCCCAAACAAAAGAATACGTACTCATGAGTCTCATGGAGCGGAGGATTTCACCAACAAGCGTAAGGTATATAGGATGATCAAATGGTAAAACTATTCCAAATTAAACCATTTCTGTTATGCTGACTTATAACGATTTCTTTCATCTTGCAGACAAGGTCACAGGGCCTCCGTGATGCTATTGCAGCTGCACAAGCGGATTTCGCTTTGTGATTTTTTTTTTTCCTTATTTTCAATAACAAGAGTTCAGTCTGTAGAAACAGATTGACTTGAGATCTTGTCTGCACTGACATTTTACTTTTCACAGTTTTATTGTAAACTTCTTTTTTTTATCTCTTTCAATAAATCTTGTTGTCATTCGTTGTCTGTACTCTGTACTAATTACCAAGCAAGACTAGACATCTCAAACTCTGTGTGATCATCTTAAAATGGTACAACAGTGCCTGTGGGTAATACGACACCGTCCTAGACGCTGAAAAAAACACCTTCCAAAATTACACATCAGCGCGTCACTAGAGAGATGTACGAACGGCTTCGTGTAAATGTTCCACAAACGACGTCGTAATTGCATCGTCTTAAATTGTTACAAAACGTCGTCGTTTCTAGTGTCACTCTCTTCATTGAGTTGGGGGTTTTCCGATTTCACAGAGATTTATATATTTCACTTGCCCCTTTCTACTTCTGGGCACAATTTTGAACAATCAACCGGAGATTATATATTCCGACGAAATCGAAGGCGGCGGAGCAAGGAAAATGGCAGTCCGTGCGATATCCCAGGAGGCATTCGACGATCTCGTAAGGGAAAATGTGGAAGATCTCGGAATGGAACCTTCCGAAGCTCTCGAAGACGCTCTCTACACACTCAAACTCCAAGGCGTCGATCTCTCCGGTCAGTTTAAATTCTCTCCTTTGTGTTGCTTTTCTCAAACTGGATTTTATAGTTAGGTTAGGAGGTAATGAGTCTGCAGCTAGTTTCAATCGTGTGTGCTTATTTGTTGCTACAGGGATCATCACATGCGTTCCAGGAGAAAGCGTGAAGGACAATCCGGTGATTGCGTGTTTAGATAGACTCAAAGAATTCGATAGTGTTTCTAAAGATGGACTCCTTCGAGATGAGGATCTGGATGAGATATCGAGTTTGTTCGACAAGCTTGAAGAGCTTTGTAGCAGCCCAGAATCTGGTAACGCGGCGATTGCGATGAAGCACGGTTCTGTGGAATCAACATGCTCGATTTGCTCGAAAATCAAAACAGCCACCGGAAGTAATCGGATCCTTGTTCCTTGTTTAAAAGCTTTGGCCTCCTTGATCCGTGGTATGACTTACTTTCTGGAATTAGACTTCTAGGTGTTCGTCATAAGTCCTGACTATGTATAGTTTAAGTGTTTAACTTTGATTGATGTTTCTTTGTTCATGACTTGTGACTATGAGTATGTGTGATCCAATTGCAGACATTCAGAGCACAGAGGCATTCAGGAATGCTTCTGGACCAAGGATTGTGGTTGGTCTCTTAAGGGATTCCAGCTCCGATTCTGATTTATTAGATGCTGGTTTTGGGGTTGTTGCTGCAGCAGCAGCTGGTAACGAAGTCGTCAAACAGTTATTCATGGAGCTGAAAGTCGATGAACTTATTCTTCAAGTGCTGAATCAGCAGAGTAAAATCACTATTAAAGCTTTGTACGATGCCATTCGTGTGATTTTGACTCCAGATGATAACCGTGTGGTTGCTTCCCAAGTAAGTAGGATTAAACTCATTTGGTTTTATATAAAACATGTAGAATACTTGTTTTTGCTTTGCTGAAATCATGCCAATAGTCTTTTTCTGTGGTCGTTAGTGGACCTGCTTTGAGAACTCTTGCTTTCATATGTGTTAGGTTTATGGTTATGCACGGACTTTCGCCAAATTAGGGATTGCAAGAGCCCTCACGGAAGCATTACAGGCAGGGATTGGCTCTGATAGCTTGGTGTCAGCAAGTATTGCGTTAAAATCAATTGCTGTAAACGTAAGTCTCCTAGTAGAAGTCGCTCTGTCATAACATTTATCTTGTTAGGTGATAGGTCACTGCAAATTTCTCATCTCAGAGGCTGCACATGTCATATTTTCTTGGTTGTAATTTGTAAACAGGATGAAATATGTAAATCTATTGCTGAAGCTGGTGGAATAGATACACTTCTTCGATGTATTGATGATAGCGGTGAACAAGGCAACAAAACTGCTGCTAAGACGTGCTGTTCGCTTTTGTCTAAGGTGTGTAGCTTCTAAACTGTTCTGCAAGCTGCCTCTATAGTCTTGAACGCCTTCATTTGTAGTCATGCGTGAGAAATGATTGTCTAAAATATGTCTTTTGAATCTCTAGTTGGCAGGAAGTGACTCTAACAAGAGTACCATAGTTGAGAAGCGGGGTCTTGACAAGCTAATCAAACTTGCACAACGATTCTCTGACGATCCTCTAGTCATACAAGAGGTAAGTAAAACCAAAACAAAACCCTTTTACAACACTATACCATTTTTCAATTTTCTTGTCTAGAGAAGATGCTTATGACTACAGGTCACATAATATCTAGTGCATAATCCGTTGTGGTTGACCCAAGATATACTGATTTGGTTCAGGTCATGTCGATAATCGCTATAATCTGCCTGAGATCACCAGACCATGCAGCCAGTGCTATAGAAGCCGGAGCTGGTGATCTGGCGGTCCAAGCTATGAAGAGGTTCCCAACAGCGGCTCAAATGCAGAGAAACGCTTGCAACATGATACGGAACATTGCTGTAAGAAGTGCAGAGAACAGGTAACGAAACTATTATTCCAATTTTCGTATCCGACAATATGCACATATGGCAAAAACTCTGTAACATGTCTTGTTCTGTCTGCACGGTACAGAACTCATCTGCTTGCCATTGGAATTGAGAAGCTGATAAGGACTGCGAAGGCCAACAATGAGACATGCAGAGAGTCTGCAACTGATGCACTGAGAGACCTTGGCCTTGATAACTACAATAGCTAAGCCCAATCTTCTCCATTTCTACATTCGTGCAAACTACTATTCTGCGTACTCTTATGCGCCATTCAAGCAAAAAGAGGAAATCAGGAAGATCTTGTAACAATTTGCGTTGAGTTTATCTTTCTGATAGAAAACATTGCAAATTTGCAATCTATAAGTTTTTTTGCAACAATTTGTTTTTGTTCGAATGAGTACTTCTTTTTATGTGCTCTACAATTTGTTTACTCTCTTCTCCACCAAAACCTGGACCAAAGAGTTTAGATTTTTCTTAAAAATCTAAGTTTTGTCTTCTTCGTCTTCTACTGAAAACAACACAAACTAGTTTTTTGTTTTGCATTTACATGATTGAAGAAACTATTACCGACGGGTTAAAATAATGTAATTACATGAACTAAACATGGGCTTATATTGGGCTTGTGTAGAAGTCGGTAATTAGTTGGTGAACCTTTATTTTTTCCTAACTCGAATTTACAAGACTTTAAGCAAGGATGAAATGTTTTGACGATTTTTTGTTAACACGATGTGAAAAAAAAAAAATCCACGACTAGTTGATCTCTAGAAGAGTGTATTCGGGAATATTATGTACGGAAATAATATTTTAAGATGATTAAAAAAGTGTTGCGTCATGTGGTGGCGCATTCACACTTTTTATAATATAATCAGGCGATGGGCTATGAGCCTATGATGAAATGCATCTCTATCGGTATCTACTTTTAGGTGAAGATCGGACAAATATAGCCACTAATATTTCGACATATGTGGTAACCTTTTTCTTTCCTTTCCCTTTTAAAATGTAGAAATACTTTTTAAACACGGAAGAGGAAAGTATTTTCTAAATGTAGATTAACACATTGACCTCAATTAGATAGAGATTTCTATGATTAACCCATACGGTTGTTAATGCGAGTATGTTTCTCAGTCATCAAGTTTATATAAGAGACTACTCTAGAAACTAAACTCTGTTTTTAATTTAATCAAAAAATGTGAGATTTACATTAATTTAACAAAAACTTCAAACATTTATCATTGTTATATTTTTATCTATATTTTGTTACAATATACTTTGCATTTACATTTTATATTACTAAACATGGGGATGAGATATGAGAATCATAAATTTATGTAAGATTTATATTACCTATGTTATGGTCCTTCAATTGTTCATATATTTAACAAACGGTAGGTCCCATTTTTTGTCAAAAAAAACTGTCAACTGTGACATCGTTTCTGTTGAAAGAAAGAAGGCTGTTCCGTCATTTCATCAATCTCCCGTAATTTTGACAAATCACATTTTAACATGTCACAAAATGTGAAAGCACCTTTTCTCTCTCCTGCTGGCTTTAGCTTCCTTCAAGCTGTGGTTTAAACAGAACAGAGAGCTGTTTTTGTACGAGAACTGATAGAGAGAGAGAGAGAGAGAGAGAAACAGAGCTCACGATCACGAGCTTTTCTTCCTCTTCTTCTTCTTCATAATCATAAAAAAAAAAAAGAGAGCGATCAAAGGAACAAAAAGGATCTCAAGAAACCCACTTGTTGATGGTTAGAGATTTCACGGGTCTCAAAATCTCTGAAAAGTCTCTTTCCCCACACCCATAACCTCATCATCCTCATCATCACCATCACCCACTCTTGCTTCCCTGTCTCAACGGCCCAAATTCCTCCACGTCACCGTCCTTCGTTTCCTAGGATGTCGTGTTGACAGTAGTAATGTCCAGTCTTTGTCTTTGTTAGATGTTTATCTCCCTACCACCACCTGATCTGATCTTCGCCTGCCTGAGATAGAGAAGTTCAAAAAGGGAACTAAGCCATGGATCGGCAAGCAGTGAGTGGTCCTATGGATTTGCCGATTATGCACGATAGTGATAGGTACGAGCTCGTTAAGGATATTGGTTCCGGTAATTTCGGAGTTGCAAGATTGATGAGAGACAAGCAGAGTAACGAGCTTGTTGCTGTCAAATATATCGAGAGAGGTGAGAAGGTCAGTGTCTTTCTTATATATCTTTAATCCAGTCTTAAGTTGTGTTTCAGTTCCTCTGAGTTCTTGAATTTTTTTTTAAATAAATCATTTTTTTTTAATGAGTTTCATCATCCAATGAGAGATGTATGCTTGATGGCTTATGTAAATGAAGGCTGCTCTAATTATGGTTATGAATTGGTATTGATCATCGATGCTGAAATTAGTACATGATCTTGATTTCTCTGTTCTGCTATGTATTTTGATAATTCGCATGTGGACCTTGATATTAATGGTAGGAGGGAGTTTTATTTTGAAATTTTGCCTCCCTTTTATTTACAGATAGATGAAAATGTAAAAAGAGAGATAATTAACCACAGGTCCTTAAGGCATCCTAATATCGTAAGATTCAAAGAGGTTTGTTTCGTTTCAACTCTCTTAAGCTCCTTCTTATTGTTAAAATCAATCAAAAGAGAATTTTTCAGGTTAATTTGCTTTCAGGTCATATTGACACCAACACATTTGGCCATTGTTATGGAATATGCATCTGGAGGAGAACTTTTCGAGCGAATCTGCAATGCAGGCCGGTTCAGCGAAGACGAGGTTTTTACTTTTTTTATCTCATTAAAAACAAGATTTCTTGCTTTCATGGTTAAATCTAATCTTCAAAATGCTTAGATTAATATAAATTTAATCGGTTAATGATTATCGTGTAGGCGAGGTTTTTCTTCCAGCAACTCATTTCAGGAGTTAGTTACTGTCATGCTATGGTAATGAGTAACGACAAAATATTGTGTTTTATCAAAACCAATGCTTCTTCCTCTGTGAAGCTAACTCTCATCATGTGATTCACTTTGATTTTTGTAGCAAGTATGTCACCGAGATTTAAAGCTTGAGAATACGTTACTAGATGGTAGCCCTGCTCCTCGCCTAAAGATATGTGATTTTGGATATTCTAAGGTATATTTACTTTGTCAAAAACAATACCAAATTTTATCTTTCATGCGTAAAGTTTTGACTAAGCATCTACGATAGGGTCACTAGTTACTTGAGTGACAATCTTTTGTTAATACTGTCTTCAATTTTTTTTTTTGACCTTTGTGTATGTATGCTTTTGGTTGTTTTTTTCAGTCATCGGTGTTACATTCGCAGCCAAAATCAACTGTTGGAACCCCTGCTTATATCGCTCCCGAGGTTTTGCTAAAGAAAGAATACGATGGAAAGGTACTCCATTTTCATAGCTTTCCACAAAAGTATAGTTACAATGTACACTAAATTACATAGTAACAATCTTTCTCTACTTTAATTTATCGAATATTCTTGGTTGAATTGGTGAAATGCATCGTTTCTTCACTTCAGGTTGCAGATGTTTGGTCTTGTGGGGTAACTCTGTACGTCATGCTCGTTGGAGCATATCCTTTTGAAGATCCCGACGAGCCTAAGAATTTCAGGAAAACTATACATGTGAGCTTTCTTTCTTCATTCTTCCATATAGCTTCATTTTTTATGAAAAAAGAAATCTAGCTAAACATTTTGTTCTGTTTCTGTTCTCAAAATGCTTTCAGAGAATCTTGAATGTTCAGTACGCTATTCCGGATTATGTTCACATATCTCCTGAATGTCGCCATCTCATCTCAAGAATATTTGTTGCTGACCCTGCAAAGGTATAAAACTGCTTCAAAGCTACATTTGTTGAATTTTCTTTGTGGTGTGATCGAAAAAGACTTACATTTTTGTATGTTTCTTATGTGTTGCAGAGGATATCAATTCCTGAAATAAGGAACCACGAATGGTTTCTGAAAAATCTGCCAGCAGATCTCATGAACGATAACGCCATGAACAGTCAGTTTGATGAATCGGATCAACCAGGTCAAAGCATCGAAGAGATCATGCAGATCATTGCAGAGGCTACTGTTCCTCCTGCTGGCGCTCAGAGTCTGAACCATTATCTCACAGGTAAATACTGAAACAACACATGACAAAACATAAAAAAAAATAAGAACACTTTTCAGTTTCTTGTTTCTCTAGTTTTCAAAGTTTGAAAAGGTTCTCAATAATGGACAAACAGGAAGCTTGGACATAGACGATGACATGGAGGAAGATCTAGAGAGCGACTTGGATGATCTTGACATTGACAGTAGCGGAGAGATTGTGTACGCAATGTGAGACGATCTCGTATGGTTTCTGGTACAAAAATGTTCAAAAAAAGAAGGTTAAAAGAAGAACGAAGAATAAGGTGTGTTGTTTGCTATTCAGATTTCCCCAACTCTGTCTCAATGGCCACACTTTGAATCTTTGATATGCAAAAGACGGAAAAATTTAGATGGGTGGCTAGAAAACTTGAAACAGAACATATTCATCAATAAATATTATATATTTTAAGAACAAAACCTCATTTGACATTAGATAAATACTTCAAATTACAATTTGTAGAAGATTATGCCTGTTTTCTTTTCGGCTCAAAAACTATTCGGGATGGGCTCGTGCTCTCGTGCTCCTAGTATTATTAGGTACACCGTACACACATACACATTTTCGCCTGATTAAAATTAATAAAGAGAAGATAATAGAAGACCGATCACTCGATCAGTGCATCATCACGTTAAATGTTCAGAAAAGCGAAGCATCAATAATCAAGAATGGTATTTGTCTGCTAAGTGCTAAGAAAGTGACAAGAATTTGCAGATTCTCGAGATGATATTCATCCAACATGCATAGTTGCATACAATTAATCCCAAATGAAAATTAAAAAGTTCTTTAAAAAAAAAAAACAAGCAGACAATAAGCGTTTTGTACATTGTAGATAAGGCCAAGGCCAAAAGGGACTGCTATATACGTGTCGCTTTTATATTAGCTGTCTGGTTGTCCCGCTCTCTTACTTTTATTTTTCGCTTTCGATTTTTTTTTAGTATTTGCGAATATTAATATATAGTATTTTATGCAAATAAAGGGAATATAGATACAAGCAATTGCATTGTTTATATTTAAATTATTGAAGCATGCATGGACCTATGTAAAACAGTGTCTCTTGTTACTGTAACATAATCTGAATAATTTTGAGCTATAAATGAGATCTGTCTACCTTATCATATTCACTTATTTGGTTATATATGTATACACACACGTTTATTCAACGATCAAAAGTTTAATCGTCGACGGATATTGATATATATAAAGGTCATTAATGTTTATCAAGACGTTTGAAAATGACTAATTTATGGCGTGGCTTGGATTATACGACATCGTGTGGGACTGTGGGGGATGGGTCTGTATTATAAGGATGATGATGAGACGTACCGTTTTGGAGCAATTGTCTTGATGTTGAGTGTGTCCATACGAAAACGATTAGCGACAAGCTAATGAAGACCTAATCCCGTTCATGTTACATTCTTTCTTGTTTTGGTAAAGTTGATTTAACAGGAGGTTAAACTAACATATCTTTTCAAAGTAGTTGAAGTTCGCTTTAAGCTTTCAACTAATTTGTCGGAGAAGTATATTTCACTCAATACAGGTGCAATGATTTTCTTGGGGCAAGTTCGAATTTTATACATTTGGGACCAAGATATTAAGATGTTGTGTTTCATGTATAGATGATTGCTTTTAATTATTTGAAACCACTCACAGTTGAATATTCTTTTCCAACGCGCTAAATTTGAATCATAAATACGAGTTACATTAAATATAGATCAACTAATAAAAATCTGTATCTAGAGCTTAAGGTCAAACATTAGTATAACACTCCAAACGATTTGGATGTGATTATCCAAATGCACACATCTCTCTCTTCATTGTCGGTCGTTTAGAGAGAGCGGCGTGCCTCGTGGGTTTAAAAAGTTCGACCTTTGAGACCGTCCAAAAGCCACATGATTAACGTTTATACAAACAAGAAAACAAAAAGGTCGATCTAAGTTTAACCCTATGAATTTATATGATACGAGCTTATATAACTTCAGAATTTGGTACTTTTCTTTCCATGAAACTATTGGGTAAAATAATTCCCATTACAGAAGAAGAAAGAAAAATTTATACATTTGTTATACATTTTGTTCCTCTGGAGCTGCAATCGATGGGGGATTAAAGCAAAAGAGAAAAAGAAAAAGAAAAATAGATATTCTGTACATTTCTTTAATTTTTCACGGGTAAACGCTTTTCTTTTCATTTCTTGTTTCTCTTAAGTCTCTATCAAAAGAAACAAAAATAAACGACTAATTATTAACGCAGGTGGAGTATGGATGCATCTAAAGTTTTGTTGATATAAATACAAAGGAGATAAGTGAAAGTTAAAGAACAGAAAGATATTTTTAAAAAAAAAAAACAGAGAAACATGGTGATAAAAAAGATAGAGCTTTGCATAGTGTTTGTGAAGATAAGTATGGAGTTCGTGGTAGTGGTGGCTGAAGCCATAAAGACTGTATTGCGGCAACAGATCAACCACCGTACTCCTATGCCTCCTCCGCATCTCCACCGTCGTGGCCTCCTCCCTTATCCCCCTTCTTATCCTTCTCCATTTCTCTTTGGATTTCTCCCTTGAAATTCTCTCTATCTCTCTTCCTTTTGTGAAATTATTTTACCCCTCTCTCTCTCTCTTTCTTATTTTGTAGATTTCTAGATGTAATTTTTGTCGATTCTTGTAACTCTGTAAATTACTGTTAGCTTTTCAATCAGATTTGCTGTTTTCTGTTAAATTGTTCTTCTTCTTGATCCCCATTCCGCTGGATTATCTTTGAACAAACTATTTGTAGAGTAAAATTGATAATCAAGTGGGAAGTTTGGTTGGAGAAGAAGACGTGCAGAGGAAACAATTTGCACCCTAATGTCAAAGATTCAACCAAATTGTTAAAGTTGCCATGTTCGGTCAAAGTAAGTCTAAGTACTTCAAGATATTCATAATTTTGAATAGTGTTGGGAAATGCCTTGGGACTCTTTCATAAAGTTGAGGAAAGGGCAAGAAAACATTTGAAGCAAAAACTTAGAAGATGATTCGTTAAACCGTTAATGTATATCCCCAAATGAGTACCTAGGGATTAGCGCAATTGATTTGTCTTGGGGTAAACGCTATTATTTCACAAAAAAATAGCTTGCAAGGAATATTCTTTATCTTAAAAGGATTAGCATCCAATAAAAAGTCAAAAGTGTAACCATTAACTAGTTTCGGTTAAAATAATAGTATTCGAACTGTTTTAGTAGGAGCTAATAACAGTTTTGTCTCATAGACGTTAAGTACCAAAAATAGGTGACGTGAACTTGTTATACAACTCTTTAAAGCGAAGGGTAAGTTGGTCTGATGGGAACATCGACTGAATTATTTTTAAGTTGGGAGGGGAGATGTAACTTAATTAATGCTATTATCATGTCTTTCTCAACTAACACCATATCCTTTTGCTGCCCAATATTTGAAATGTTAGCTGATACATGGCTATCTATATATTAAAATGAGTTATCGGTTTATGAATTAATGAGTTGACTCCACTTGAATTATCGGTTTATATATAGCACATTTAACCTTTAAAAATTGTGTTACAACATGTGTTGAAATTCGATCGAATACGATGGTTCACTGGTGAAAAGTTCGTTTGTTGGTCCAACCACATGGAATGTTATAAAATACACAAATATCAGGCTCTATGCAAGGTTTTCGATGTGGGACATTATAGTATTATTGAGAACACTGGGATCGCTTGTGAACTAACAAAACTATGCGTAGTTCAAGTTTCTACCTAAAGCAATGCGTCTATATGTAACATTAGACACAGTTTTAGTACTTCCAATTCACAAATTTATTATTGCCAACTCATATTCATATTATAATATTGACAGAAGTATGTATTAAGAAACTAATACATGTCATGCAACACAACATATCACATTCATGAAGTTAGTTGGCTGACAATATGACAAACTGTTCAGTCGTTATCAATTCGAATTTATTTTACATAATTCCAGAGAATAATTGTTGAAAAAGCCACATAAAGCGGTAGTGTTAAAATAAGTGGTGCGAATAAATACCTCGGCTACTAAGTAGGTCAAAATGTATCACTGCCAGAAGAGAGAGCTCTTAACCGTTAGTCTTTTAGTCTTAGAACAAATGTTAATTATTGTGTAATACTTTAGTGTGTTTTTTAATTGAGATTGGTTTCTGCTTAAAATGATTAGTTAAGGGATAAATAATGATGTAGACGGGAAGCCATCCGTATTTGATATTCCCGAACAAGCAAGATGATTGCCGCATTAATGAAAGTAATGAACGTGGATGAGAAACTGAGGCAGATACAATCTAAATATAATAGCAAACTCACTTTTTGTGTTCGCTGATGTCAGCATTTTTTTGTAGGAAAAGAAAAGTTGCATCCAATGGTTGATATTGCTTTGCGTCTCTAATCTAATGGTTGAGATGTTGTTTTAATCTAAAGGCTGACGTCGTCATCCTTCTTAAGAAATAGTGTAGTGTCTTTTTCGAAACATCACATCTCTACCACTACAAAGTACAAACCCTTTGACTAGCACCTTTTTACAAATATTAAAAATTACATAAACATATATCTTTTCAGGGTAAAGACGTATCTTTTGATTCTTTTCAATTAGAGATGCATGAGTGCATCAACTCACAATTATATAACGATGCTAACTTTTTTCTCCTAAAGCATCGTTTATTTGTTTATCTGTTTCATCTGTGAAAAATTCCGGCAACGATTTCAATTAATTGTTCTCTCTGTGAATCAATTCCGCCTACGATTTCAATTCAGCCTACGATTTCAATTAATTGTTCTCTCTGTGAATCAATTCCGCCTACGATTTCAAATATTAAAAATTACATAAACATATATCTTTTCACGGTGGAGACGTATCTTTTGATTCTTTTCAATTAGAGATGCATGAGTGCATCAACTCACAATTATATAACGATGCTAACTTTTTTCTTCTAAAGCATCGTTTATTTGTTTACCTGTTTCATCTGTGAAAAATTCCGGCAACGATTTCAATTAATTGTTCTTTCTGTGAATCAATTCCGCCTACGATTTCAATTCAGCCTCTCTTCTTGTCCTTCTTTTAGAGGTAAGTGTCTCTTATTGTTCCCCAAGCTACTGTTTATCGATAGATTTTTTAAATATAATTTATTTGTTATCCGTAAAGATTATTGCTAATTGTTCTTCGTATATGATCTAATCCCTACGTTCTCTTTACGCTAGCAACATGTTTTCAGGTAGTATAATTGATTTACTAGGGAAAGAGAAAAAAACAAGACGGGACCAAAACTAGGTTTTGCTTAGAATATTGATCGTAGATCGGAGACTTTGTTCAACGATGAACACTTCCACAACCACAACAACGTCAATCACGTACTCTCTTTTCCTTCCCATGTTGCGTCGTATCAACTAATTGCTTTAAGTCTGTTTACCGAAAAGGTATAATTTGTAAATAGGTGCAATCAGAAAACGTCATGTCTTTTGCCATGCCATTCAACGAACGCTTCTCTTCAATTGCAAACAATAGTGGCATCTTTTCACAATTTATATATAGAACGCATTGCATTAGTTTAAGATTTAAAAATCACTCTCACAAGTGTTGTTGTTAGTTTATAGATTTTCGATTCTCAATCACTTAATCAGTTGGTCTTGTTCCTAATCCGTTGCGTCTGTCACCACATCTCTCCTCTCTTATTATTTCTTCATCGTTTGTCATCGTTATACGTTATTATTCTCGCTATTTTTCTGATCTACAAAATCTTGAATCATAATCACAATCTGCTTGACATTGTCGTAATCATTGGTTTGCTGTTCCCTTTCTCTCATCGTCTTTGTGGTCTCATGTTGAATATAGGATTGAAGATTCAAGGCAAAGACGCACATGTAAACGTGGAGATGACGTATTCAAGCTTAAGGAACATATTGTAGGACCACATTGCAGGAGCCGTCTGTCGCTCCTCTGATAAAACAAAACAAATCTGTTTTGTCGCACAAGAGCAAGTTTCATTTAAACGAATGAAACCGTGCAAGATGGCGTCAGCGTCGTGGTGCAGCGTTGTTGGCAATTAGTTTCCTGTGTTTCTATATAAATAGCTGAATACATCTATAAAGATTAGAGAGAGATACGAAATTGAGAAGAAAGAGTGATAGTTTAAAATGGAAATATGTTTATGGTTCTTGGGCAAACAGGGGAAAGAGATCAATAAAGTGTGAATCTTGTAAATGGTCTTGTCATCTTCATCTCTTTGTTAGCCTATGAATCTGATATAGTGTATTTTGGGATGAATCGTGGCGATATGTTGTGATATTAACGCATGCACTCGTTGAATCTCGGCTGGCTCCTTACATATGTGATGTTCGCATTGCGCTGGACCGAAAGTGGCCACGACTTTAGGTTTCTCTCCTTGTCCTTTTCTTCGGAAAGTTTTCTAATTGTCACGCAACTTTACATAATTAGAAACAGAGAGATCTCATAAAAAACGAACAACGTCTTGACATTTACAAAGCCGCAGGAATAAAGTACAATATGCGTTTATTTTAAAAGGCACTTAAATATTACACATCCATGTAACTACACTGTAAATATACAAAGAATGTGGATTTTCCTAAGTTGTTCTATAAGTGGTCCTAAAAATGTGTATATAAACTCCTCATCTTGACCAAATATATACATTTTTTCCAGTTATATATGAGAAGTAATTCCTCTTCTTGTGCATATATCTTAATCGGAAGAATAAACCACATTGGGTTGTTAATCGAAGAATATTTATAAATCCAGTTTGGTTTCTCTTGTTTTATTGTTTTATATATTGCATAAACAAATATTAAGGTGTTACAAAAAGGAACAAAGAAAATAAATCTCATCGCTTAAAATTTGTCATGGACAAGTTGACGAAACAGAGAAGAACAGATCTTTACATTTACATATTATTATGTCATGCTCATACATCGCGCGTATGAATATGAAAAGAACTAGCTAACTACATTTTTCTTTGAATAGAAGTTGAAAATGTATGCTATTTTTTTTATTAGAGACGCTTAATTAGTCGAAAAACTGTTATATATGGATTATTTTTTTTTTTGAATGACTGAAATATTAATTCAACAAAAAAAACAGTTTTAGAATTACTGTAGCTTTGTTTGAAAATATGTAAAGATTGAGATTCATAAAAACAAAAACAAAAAAATTGTATATGTAATTACAGAAATCTCATGTTTAGTTTAGTTTGTAAAATTATTCTTATTATTATCATAAATTTATTATATTATTATTAAATAATAGTTTAAATTTGTTCAATTTACCGCGCGTTGATGCGCGGGTTCATTTCCTAGTTTCACATAAAGACAAAAATCATGTTTGTTTCTATCAGTGATTAAAAAAGTTAACAACTAGATCAACTATAAGGTCTTAAATGGAATTTCATATTTTGAACAATAGGTCGGAATTTTTGTAAGATTAATCTGCGCATATTTAATGTCAAAAATGAAAAATCATTAATCATTCATTCATTTGATAGTATTTGGAACTTGGAACCGTCTGGTTAGATCATAACCTTGCTAGTTGCTTTGTAGCAGATTTTACATGATTAATATAGTTAAAGCAATTATAAAGCAAATATATGTAATTAGAAGGAGATCGAGAGTGAAAACAACTCTTTTTTGCATAGAAGTATAAATTATTATCGACCATGAGAAGTTGTAAATGTACAAATTCTTACGAACTGTGGTAAGAAGTTTGTGTTTCCCTTACTCATATACATTAACCCTTTTCTTTTTCTTCCTCAAATTGTCTTTTCTTTTGCTTTACAACTTTAGTGCAAGACGATACAGCAGCTTTTTAGTTCTTTTAAAATTTATTGACTTCTTCTCTCTTCGATCGATTTTAGTATCCCGCGAACATTGGAGGTGGTGGCGATGCGTATTGGTGGCCAATGAACTTTGGTATGTCGAACTCTTCACTTGGAGCTGGTGCTTGTGCCGCCGGCGTCTCTTTCTTCTCTACCGGAGCTTTTGGTGGTCTTGGCGGAGGAGAGTAGACTACTGGCGGAGGTGGTGAGTGGACAGGTGGTGGTGGTGAATTAACCGGTGGAGGTGGTGGCGAGTGAGCAGGTGGCGGTGGTGAGTTAACCGGAGGAGGTGGTGGTGGAGAATGGACTGGTGGTGGCGGGGAATGGACTGGCGGTGGAGGTGGTGGGGAATATACCGGTGGTGGTGGTGGTGGTGAGTAGATTGGAGGCGGTGGTGAAAAGACGGGCGGGGGAGGAGAGTAGACAGGGGGCGGCGGTGGCGAATACACCGGTGGTGGTGGTGGTGAAAAGACAGGCGGTGGTGGAGAGTAGACAGGTGGCGGCGGTGGCGAATACACCGGTGGTGGTGGTGGAGAGTGGACCGGTGGTGGAGGAGAGTGAACTGGTGGTGGTGGAGAGTGAACCGGTGGTGGAGGAGAGTGGACAGGTGGTGGTGGAGAGTTAACCGGAGCCGGAGGAGGGCTACGCCGTTTGGTCACTGGTGACTGATCAAAGGGATCATCAGGTTTGTGAACCGGTGATGGCTGTGGTTTGTGAACCGGTGATGGCTTGTGAACCGGCGAAGGTTTGTGAACTGGTGTAGTGGGAACCGGAGATGGCTTGTGAACCGGCGAAGGTTTGTGAACTGGTTTAGTGGGAACCGGTGATGGCTTGTGAACTGGCGAAGGTTTGTGAACTGGTTTAGTGGGAACCGGAGAAGGTTTGGATGGAGTAGAGGAGCCACCACCACCAGCGCACTTGTCCTTGCTACAATCAACCGGACGGTTAATTACGACCGCACATTCTTCAGCGGACCGTTGGTCAGGTCGGTTAGGCAAACAATTACGAATATCGTCCATCGCAATCTGTTTCTGACCAGGAACACACGAACCACCTTGTCCATTGAAGTAATTGTACGAATAAGTGAAATTCACCAAATTAGGCAAACCGCAAATGTTATCCGCTACTAAACCGGTGAGTTTATTCCTTGAGATATCGATTTCCTCCACACCCGTTAAACCGGAAAAGCTAGTCGGCAAACGACCGATGAACGAGTTCTTGCTCGCGTCGAAAACCGTCACGTTCGATAACTTTCCGATCTCAGACGGGAAACAACCGCCCAAACCATTGTCCATGAAGACAATCTCGTTGAGATTCTTCATGTTTCCGATACTCTTGGGGATGCATCCAACGAATTTGTTGTTAGCGAAAGTCACAACCGAGGCCGGAGATTCTCCAAGATTCTCCGGAATCACGGATGTAAACCTATTGTTGTTCAAGAAGATGGCGTCGAGCTCTTTCTTGAAAAGCTCTGGAGGGACTTCACCTTCGAAATCATTGAACCTGAGGTCAAAGTATTTAACGTCAGGCCAAGAGAGAGCCACGTGAGGGAAAGGTCCAACGAAACGGTTGTTGCTAACGTCGAACTCGTGCATGAGCTTCAGCTTCTCAAAGCTCTTTGGTATGATTCCGCAGAACCGGTTTGAATTCAAATGGAACATAGCCACATCCGTCATCAAACCAAGCTCAACAGGCAAATGCCCTGCGATATCCGCACCGTTGAGGTCGACACCGGCTACAACCGTGACCTCTGAGTCATCAAGAGCCGGAGCACAGACCACACCGGTGTAGCCGCAAACGTGCGGGCCATGCCAGTTCCCTGTGGTGTTAAACGGGTCTGAGAAGATGGCTTTCTTCCATGCCTGGAGAGCAATGTAAGCTCTCTTGAGCCTTGTGTTTGCAAATGTAGCCTTGAGGTTAACCTCGTATTCGATATCGACAGGAAGGTCGCCGTCGTTTGTGAACGTCAAGAGCTGCCGCTGCACGATGAAGGCAGCTTCTGTATCGGTTAGGGCATGGGAGACAAAGGAAGAGGATAAGAAGACGAAGAAAAAGATGGAGAGGAAGCAGCCAAAGGACAGAGGTTTAGCCATGGCTAAAACAGAGACCTTGGAGAAGACCCAAGGCTGCTTATAGAAGGGCATGAGAGGGTTCACGGAGGAAGACACAAAGGTGTATTATTAATAAGCCAACGGTTTTCATTTTGCAATCACCAACGGTTTGCCTTAACATACTTGCTCTATATTTAGGGACAGCTCTTTTGTTTTCAAGGATTTTGCTTCAGATCCGGAGGGTGTATTATCAAGAATAGAAATTGTGGTTAAAGAAAGGAAAAACAAGTAAAATAGAGCTAAGCAGAATCTCTGAAATGTCTTTGTTGTCAAAACCGGTTTCAAGGCTTGTTGATTCTTTTGCCGAACATAGCGGAATGACACGAACCCTATTTGTCTCTCGCTGCCTTCTTACGTGTGATACAAGATATGTCACCTAAGGGATTACACTGTTCACAATGCTACACTCAAAAAACTCTGCAAATCCAGGAATCATGAAACCAACAAATGGTAAATACATTGTTTTCTTCAAAAGATGCTCTCTTGCAAGGCAATCTCTTCTCTTCTTCAGCTCTAAAGGCTTCAATTCGTTGAAATTAAAGTTAATTCCGAAGAATCGATCAGCCACATTTCCCTGGCTCCCGTTGAATTATATATACACCGACACTCACTGGTAAGTTGTAACATAATAAAACGACGACATTCAGATTAAGAATGCATTACTACATAGTACGTACATACATAGAAAATCGTTATTTATTACAAGACATTCGTTAGTTGTACTTTTGTGTACATGTTTCCAATGTAAATCTCTCTTGAACAGTAGAACCAAAACAAATAAAAAATCAGTTACAATTAAAAGAATTTTTAGAATTCATAACAAACTCTAGAAAATGAAGACATAGAAGAAAGTTGATTTTATGAAATAAAATAAAATAATTAAAAGATTTGAGAAGCAAGGAAGACAAAGCGGATCCTGCTAAAAGTAATACTATCAAGCTTTTTTGCCTAGACAAAATTTAACAAAACAAAAAATAAATCCTAATATCATCTCCTTCGACCCCTTTATAAGGCTCTCTTTAGCCTCGTTCTATACAACAAACAAAACCTCGCCAACATTCTTGATTCTCCACCCACACTTTCTATTTCTTGTTTATCTCTATCCATCGTAAATTTCATCTACACTTCCTATTTGCCTTCTATCGTTTTCACATTCTGGTCTTCACCATCCTTACGGCACAACCTGAGAATATGCAGTAGCCTCGTTAGCAAAACACAAGTGAAGTTGTTTAATATGTGTTTTTTTCTTTTCTTCTGTATTTACCTGATCATTCAGTGAACTATCATCAAAATTCGCTTCTCTTTTGCGTTTTCTGCACACCTCTGAATTACGTCCCTTCTCTTCTTCTTCTCCACTGAAATTCTGCCCTGACGCCTCTGCAGATGCAAAAATGGAGGCTAGAGTTTAGAGTTTAGGACTGAAACTAGTTATACTATAAAGCAGGTGAGCACACAAGTTCTAAGCAAAGCACATTCATATCAAACCAGTTCTCATACATGTCCTTTGGAGCAACAATCATTTCTTTGACCCTCTCAAGTCATACAGCAAGGCTTCTAAAAGCCAAATGCAGATTTAATTGTAAGTATGGATCTAATCAACAGTATCAGCCTAGTTCGCAATGTATAGTCTAATACTCTAATTGGTACCAAAAACCAGAAGACAGAAAGGAACGATTGTTAAACTCCAAAGAGAAGTTCGATTAAACAAGCCTATGCAAATTTTACCTGCACTGCTTTGAGCTGGATACTCATGCCCCAAAGAACATCTCATGGATGTTCTAGTAAAAGCCTTAGCACCGGAGTTTTTTATTTCCTCGTTGCACAATACATGTCCAGTGGGAATTTCAGGGTTGCTTCTCGGTGAACTTTTCTGAGACTGAAACTCAGATGACGTCTCTAATCGAACTCGTTTCTTTCCAAAGTTAACCTTCTGCCAGCATCCATTCTGTAGGACGGTAAACTGCAAAATGAGGATGTCGTTAGTTTCACCAGAAGACTACAAAATAAATGGGCCACAGAAGAAACAGTAAGAAACCTCAAAACTACCTGATCAGTCGATTTGTGAGATTTGGACTGCACATCACGAGTTGTAGACACTCTCTGAGCCTCTTCTCCAAGTAAGGAGTACAACTGCTTAACAAAGGAGTTCTCTAAGTAATCAAGGTACGAGTTGTGTTTCTCATTCGTCCAAGCAGCTGCAGCACATTCATCCTGCAAAAAAAATAGTTTCCCAAGAAATGAGAATCAAATAAAGAGTAAGACTTGTCATTAAACTAAACCATTAACAATCAGTTGGTCTCATAGAATTTGCTATGCCTGAGGCAAACCACTGATTACGGACTCTAATTTACTTTGAAGAAGATACAAATTCGTTTAAAGCGATTTGGCCATTTGGAATGGTTTTGATTGATTAGTTATAGATCTTAGCATCAGCATCTCATTGCCTCAGCGTCCAAGACTCCTTGAACAATCGAAATCTTCTGCTAATAAGCGTCAAGGAAAAAAAGAAACCCAAGCAATGGCACTTTAGCAAACAACGAGAAATTCAACGGCTAATTTCGTTGAAGAATGACAATTCGCAACATCTGTTTTCGCTTTTCCAGAATCAGATTCGATAAAATACAAATCTGAAGTTTGACCTAATCGTAGTAGCATCAGATCTGAACTTTCCTCCCATATATAACAGCTAAACTACATAAGTTTCTAAATCGATAAGAGCAAGTGAATAAGCGAGGAGATATTTTTGATTTTGGGTTTGGTTGCTTCTTTCGTTACGCAAACAGCTAAAACTACGATAGGAGAAGCAAAATATCAAATCCAAATTATCAGAGAAGTGAAGGAATTAATATACGAATCAATCAAGTTAACGTATGAGTCGAAGAATCAAACGAGACCCAGAAAATCTCTCTCTTATGACTCAAAATGAAACAATAAAAACGAGCATAAACAAAGGAAGTTTCTAATACCAGTTTCGAATCAGCATCGCCACGCGAGCTCTCAACCGTAATACCGGACTCGAGCGAGTTCGATAGAGTCGACTCAACCGATGCCTCCGCCTCCGCCTCCGCGGCACCGCGATCCATCTCGAGAGAAACAATATTCACCCTATAATCATTCTCCATCGGTCCTCTCCGATGCGTCTCCACACACAAAAATAATATCTGCGTCTCTTAAAGGAAGAAGATTTGTTCGTCTTCAAAAAAAGGCCAAAATGAGACCTTAAAGAGAGAGAGAGGAATGAAGAGGGAGAGAGGGGGATGAAATGGAAGAAAAAAGAATAAAGAGAAAGAAGAAAGGTCCACATGGCGTCGCTTTTACACGTGTCAGAGTAGTGCCACGTCATCTGAGGCCATAGATAATATCTCGGACAAATATCAGCCAGATATTTTAGAAGGAGGAGGTTTCTTTTTAATTTAATCTCTTCTTAAGTCAACTTAAAGATAATCGATGCTCTCGTGTCGTCCCAATTAAATACGTCACAACTTCGATTTCCTCATATTATTTTGGTTTCTTATCTTTATGACATAAAATATAGTATCTTTTTCATTTTTTTTTTCTTATTTGACTTTTTGATTGAAATGAGATCTGATCAGACATTGAATGAATTTAAGAACTACAGATAACAAACATACATTAACCATGATAAGAATCACATGTAAGTGCTAACAACATATAATCCGGATCGAATGCAGTCTGATGCGGTCTAAACATGATATAAAAGTATTTTCCTTATATTTTGTCATTATTATTCTAGTTGCATGTTCGTTATCGTGAGAAAAATGTGTGTTTGACGATATAGTTATGATTTATTTTTCTCATTTTTTTGTAGTGGTGATACGCATATGATATTCGGTTAATTTGTAACATCTCAAATACTTCCAGACTGAGATAAAAAGGAATTGGTCAGTTGAAGAAGTTAGTGAACTTTATTTATTGTTACAATTTCTTTTGGATAATGAGATAACGTCAAAGAAAACTAAACATCATCATCTAATATCCAATATAAAAGAATTATTAGTTGAGAGCATAAATCTGTAAGAAGAAAAAAACCTCAATTAAAATTAGCCATCCGTTTCGCATAGGGATATATATTTGCGATATATGATTGAGATACTTGCTGACGTGGGCAGTGGGTTACATCAAAATATCTGCCGCCTCTTTTCTTTCAAACAAAAATATCTGTCCTTTTTTTATTACAACCAAAATAAATATCTCGCGATCTTGTAGACCGCTTTTTAAAATGCTATTACTAGGTTGCTTTGCCATTACAGCTGTGGATTCGAGTGAAAATGGTCATCGAGTTTTCTAACTATTAAGTATGCAAATTAAATATCTAAACGAACGTTAATCATAGTTTCGTAATTTTATAATGTGAAAAAAATGTTAAATCCAGGTCTAATTGCAGGATCTTCAGCTAGTGTTACCAATTATAGATATGTGAGAACATCTTTTGCTTTCTCAACATGACGTAATGCGAACATCTTCTGCTCCCTCAACCTAATATTTACGTAATTGTTCTAGAAAATATCTTTTCAGCTGTTTTGGAATTTTGGTATATGTTAAACTTGTGCTAATAATGCAGAATATGAATATCTTCATCCCTTGCAACTGTGTCGGTCATTGTGTGTTTTGTCATTTTGATTAGTCTCGAATTAATAAATTTGCCACAGATTTATTATACTCCATGCAATTCCATCTAAAATAACAAATTATCTAATAGTCGACAAAAAAAAAAAAAAAATTATCTAAACATGTCTTAAGATTTCCGTCACAGGATCAAATGCGACCATTTTGTGAACTTTACTAAAGAGCAAACCAGACGTCCACATATATAAATGGTTATTTTTATAATATGATCAAAACAAAATCACTTTTCAACCAAACACATTTGTTCACTAGCAACAGAATTGCCATGGTTGCTAAATGGTCCTAATATAAATTCAAGCTTTAGAGTGTATCCTAAAGCATCTCGTTATATAGCTTCTCGATTTCACGCCTAAACACGTTTCTTAAAATTTGATTATACATCAAACTATAGTAAAATATTGATACTATAGTCATGAGATACTTTTAAAATATTTCACTGATAAAGCAATGTTGTAAGAGATGCTCTAAGGCTTAAATTCATATCCTCAGAGTTTGAGAGATTGGAAAAAAAGAAAACAAAAAATGTCGACCAAATTACCAAATCAGCATCCATAGTACCAAATTTACTTGCACACACACACACACACAAAATAACGAACATTTGCTGAAATTTCGCATTGAAAAAGAAAGTAGCTCATAGTTTTTGACTTTTTGGTTAACCATTAGAGTCTAAATTGAATTTCTAAAATCGTAGCTATTTTACAAAACTGTCATTCCTCTGTAGTCTGTACAACACATCAGAACAAAAAAAAACAATAATTTCTCAAGAGACAATAAAGAAAATACGGAAGGATATTCATTAATCATTATATGATTCAACATCAATTTGGTTCGCCGGAAAATTGTCGCACCGAACAAGCAACCACCTGAGCCCATTGCTTCAGCCTTAGCTTCATCGTCTCCGGATCATCACCTTCACATATTTTTCCCAATTCGCCGTCAAATCAAAATCACATAATTCAAAATCACTAAAAAGATTTCAGAAATTCAAATTTCACATACCTTGATCGACGATCGTCGTGCTCGAATTGCTCACTTCACCTTCCGATGCGATCGACGACAGAGACGACGTCCGGGACAATCTGCTGCTATACTGTTTGTTGACGGCGCAGTATAACCCAAGAGCTGGAAGAGTTTCCGAGAGTCTCGGATCTAAATCCGGCGAATCTGGCTCGAACCCGAATCCCAGCTCGATGCAGCCCTTGAGCTCTTCCAGATCTTCGTCTGTGACGCTCTTACTCCGACCGAGTCGGCCCGATGGCTGTTTTCCCTTCTTCCGACGCCAAGCCTCTTCACGATCGGCGTCCGGCGACCATGAGTGCTGCTTTACCAGCGGTCTAGGCGGCGGTTGCGACGGCGGTGCGTTGCGTTTTGACATTGGAACGGCTAGGTTTTGGTTTGGGGGCTTAATCCCTCCTCTCTCGGTGTTTTAATTCCATACGAAAAACGCGTGCGGAGCACTTCTTAAATATATGTAGACATTTATTTAATTTTTAAATTGTAAATCTGCCCCTAACTTTATTGTTTTAACTCAAATTGGTATCATTTACTTTTTTTTTGTCGGCTTTGGTATCATGTAATTAATGATAAGATACATTTCCATAAATATAAATGGGTAATTGCCATTTATACGAAAAATATAACGGAATTAATACTTTTTGGTTGTCCAATACATTAAATGGTTAAAATTTGCAAATGGCTGTTTATTTTCAAGTGTCTGAATCTTACATTACCGACTTTTTACTTTTAATATGTTGACGGTCACAATGTCAGTGTGGTATTGCATGAAAAGAAAAAAAGACAAGGACCAAATCGGAAACTTAATACATAGTATAATCCAATAATGGCAATCGTTGACGGCAGCAGAAGTAGGAATGTAAATTTAACAGAGAGGAAAAAGCGACTCTGACAAAAGCAGCCAATTGGGTCAACCGGATCCGGTCCACAGCTGGTAACATCTAAGTCTCTAACAAACTTGATAATAATAATGTTTCCTCATTCTCTTTCAATAATTATTGAGATTTGCTGTTCATATATTATAATCACCATAGAAACTATTGCAGTTGTCATATTCATATTCATTTCTACTAAATATAAGAAAACCGAGAGCATATAATATCATTTGATCGAACAGCTTTGATGTGTGTTAATGACAATTATTACTTAGGACAAATGAACTAATTAACAGAAATAAATTACTTTATTATTATTAGATCATCTTAACAAAAATAGTTCAGAAAAGAGGGGGAAAAGTTCCTTATTTTCTGTAAAATAATACAATAACCGAACACATTCAGGATCCAACGACTGAAAGTTGAAACCGTTCACACATGTATCGCCGTGTTCTGTCCTTTTTGCGAGTGACTTTCTGCTAAAGTAATCATAAGCTGTCCACATGACAACGACAGGCTGTGCCATGGCGCGGGAATAAAGAAGCTTTCTTTGTTGAGACTTTCACTTCGTAAGCAAAGTTGGAATCTTTTTCCCACCCAAATTCCTCCACCAGATAAACCGCTTTGATTGGAAACCGGTTTGATTAAATAAATGATGACTCATCGGTTTAAAAAATCACCAGTAATCACCACAAGAGCAGACTCCATCCTTGAAATGATGAAACCGGTTCGAATCCCTCACAATGATCTCTCTCTCCGTAATCCTCGATATGAACTTTGTCACGTTATGGCAATCACCACACACCCTCAAGTTCTTGAAAATCCGAATCGTCGTCTTCGGAGGCGTGGCAACAAGTCCATACGCAATAGCTAATCTTTCACTATGACTCATCAATATCTGCTCCTTCTCATCGTCTTCAACGTCCTGCAGCACAAACCTATGGTCTGCCACGTAACCAATCATCTTCATTTTCGCAAGCAGCGTCGTTAACTCTCTGCACATCTCTTCATACATCGGATGCGTTTGGTTCCCAGTGTAAAAGACTTCCACTTTGTTGTCCACTTCCATTGAGCTCCAACCTGGTGTCTTCCTCAAACCTTTCCCTCTAGCAACGGACCGTATCTCATCGACTCCTTCCCATTTTCCAGCACTAGCATACATGTTCGACAGCAGAACGTGATAACCAACATGCTCTGGCTCAACCTCGAACAGATTTTCAGACGCGACCTTCCCCAAATCGACGTTTCCGTGGACTCTACAAGCGCTGAGAAGAGCTCCCCAAATAGATGCATCAGGCTTAACCGGCATGCTTTTGATAAACTCATACGCGGTTTGTAACTGACCGGCACGACCAAACAAATCCACCATACAACCGTAATGCTTCAAGCTCGGTGTGATCCCGTAATCCGTTTGCATCATCTCAAAGCACCACTGACCTTCCTCTACTAGACCAGAATGGCTACAAGCTGATAACAAAGTCACAAATGTGATGTGATCCGGCTTCACTCCATCATCAAGCATTTCTCTAAACAGCTTCATTGCTCTCTCTCCATGCCCGTGAAACCCGTGACAAGCTATTAGTGTGTTCCATGGAACAGAGCTGACTCTAGGGATTTGATAAAACAAAGAGAGCGCATCGTCTAGTCTCCCACATTTCCCATACATATCAGCAAGGCTTGTTCCTATAAAAACATCCAAATAAAGACCATTCTTCAACAGACGGCCATGGATCTTCATACCTTGACGCAACGCTCCAGCCTGAGAGCAAGCAGGCAAAACGCTCACCCAAGTCCCTTGGTTAGCGTTTATCTCTCCACCTTCTTCCTCCTCCATAATGTTATACATCTCAATCGCTTCACTAGCGAAACCGTTTTGAGCATAACCAGATATTACTGTATTCCAAGAAATCACATCTTTATGCGGTAGCCAGTTAAACACTGCTCGTGCTGAATCAACAAGGCCAAGCTTTGCATACATATCAACAACCGCGTTCCCGATGGTAATATCTTCCAAGAACCATCCTTTCCTCAAAGTGAAGCCCTGCACAGCCCTACCACCACGAACATCCCCTATCTGTGCAAGTACAGAAGCCAAACTAATCAAAGTAAGACAATCCGGTTGAATCCTGCTTAACTTCATCTCCTGAAACAACGAAAGCGCTCTAACCGGCTGATCATTCAGCTCATAAGCCTTAATCATCGAGTTCCAAGAAATCAAATCCTTCACAACCATCCTCTCAAAAACCTCCTGACAACCTCTGAGGTCACCACATTCAGCATACATATCAATCAGCTTGTTGGACACAAACAACTCAGAGTCCAAACCATGTTTAATAGAGTATAAATGAATCATAACTCCTCTCTTGAAATCACCAGCCTCTGTGCAAGCAGAAAGGAGACTTACAATAGTAACTGAATCCATACCACTCAGCTCATTAGATAGAGTCAAAGCCTCTTTAGCATTTCCGCTTTGACAATAACCAGAAAGCATTGCATTCCAAGACCCCATGTCTTTAACAGGCATCTCGTTAAAGAGCCTGCGTGCATTCTCCACCACTCCATACCGGCAATACAAATGAACTAACGACGCAGCGACGAAGACGTCCCAAACAAATCCAAACTTCAAAGCCAAGCAATGAATCTTCATCCCATCGAGCATGTTCCTACAAGCTTTCAAGACTGATGGGAAAGTGCGGTAATCAGGTTGGAGTCCTGAAGTGGACATGAAGAGACTAAAACACTTGATAACTTCTGAGGAGTTTCCCAAGCGGCCATAGCCAGAAATCATCGAATTCCAGGCGTAGACATCTCTGTTCTGGATATGATCGAAAGCGAACCTAGCAAACGCGACATTCCCAAGGTAACAGTAGAGGTTAACAAGTTTAGCTGAGATGCAGACGTTTTGGATTGCGTTGGAGATGACGAGACGTGCGTGGAGGCATTTGGCTGACTGCAAATTAGTGCAATATCTGAAAAGCATGTGAACATCATCACTCTTGATTTCATTCCCATCTTTCCAAGAATCTTGCAAAGCATTTGCAGGTGCTGAGTATTCTCTAAGAAGTGCTCCGGCAGACTGCAAAACTCCTGCAAAGCGCCCACCTTTGCAGGTCGGAATCAGTCTGGAGGAGAAAATTCGAAATACGTAAATGACATGAATTTTCGATTTAAGAAGATAATACTCAGAGAAATATTTAAACTGCATTCATCTATACCTCAACATACATGCAATTTGGGTCTTCAAAGCTTCAGACGATTTCCACGAAAAAGGCTTCAGTTAAAGAATCACATGAAAATGTTTCCAGAGATGTTTGCTACTCAGAGTATTCGACCTGTATAATTTGAAATTGGACATCAAAATGTTTTCTGAAGCAGAAGTTGTAAAATAGTGAGACGAGCTCACACAAAACTACTGCATATGTAATCAATTTAATAGACACTTAAAAATTTCAGCTTTCAAGTATATGAAGTAAGAAGGAAACGCATCAGGTGGAAGCCGTCAAAAGAAGATAACAAAACAAAATCCAAGGAACAATGCAATTTTGAATCGAGTATCTCACACAAGAAATGAAAAATCACAAATTGCGATAAGGGGATTAGGGATGGTAGGATCAGCGAGGCGATATTTTTTAAGGTAACTAGAATCGAGAGAGGGAGCGGAGAAGCGGCGAAGGTGGCCGGAGATACGATTACTCTGGACGGAGGATTTAGTAGAATAAAGAGACCGGTCCATAGGTTTTGGAATTACAGACCCGGTTATACTAAACCGTGCGGTCCAGCTATTGAATTTAAGCCCACTTCTCAAATAAGGCCCACATTTAAGTAGTTGCCTTTCAAATTGACTTTTTTGGGGTGTCTCGAAACGTTTAGAAACTGAATAAACGTAAAAGTGTGCATAGACTGTTAACCAGTTGAGTTGAGAATACGAAAGAAAACACAAATATATATGCACTTGAAGCTTTTTAGGCAAAGCATATAATCTGACATAGACATTGGTAAAGCAGGACTAATAAATAGTTGACTACAATCATCTTATATGAAAACCTAAGGAAGATCTTTAGTCCACATGATTGGAATGCGTGTAAGTGTGCAATAGCCTTCGAGCTCACATGATTCGCCCATTCACTCCACATGTATTTGCTACTACGAGAATAATGTTAATTTTATTACATTAGACTCACAATCTTGCTATGTCTCAAAGTTTTCTCCCAACCATAATTAACATATAGGTTGTTTATTCCAAAAATCTCCAATCAATTAGACCTCTTTCCAAGAGTTCAACTACTCTTAACAACTTTATTTTTGTATACACGATTTAAAACAATGAAACATATATATGCATCTCAATATGTCATATCTCACGTATGAGACATGTATTCTTTTTCTTTTTCTTTAACAAAGGCTTTGTGGTCTAGGTTCTTGAATCTTGATCTATTTTCTTGTCTAGTTGATTTATCCTGCCATCGACTAAAACAAAAACAAATTATTTCAAAACTTATCCTACATTTAATTTTTTAACGTTTAAAAAAAAATCTATATAGTTTAATACTTTATAACTTTTGAAAAAATTGAGTACGAATCCATCTACAGAACAATCTCTTTGAATTGTAGGACGAGAAAGAAGGTTATAAGTTTGCTGGTGTTGCGTTTCTTCGATTTGCTGGTTTTGTATTCCAGATTCGTAAAATAAGGTTATAAAAATTTGTGGGGTGTCTACACGACCTTAAAGTAGTAACTTAAGTTTTATAAAATCTGATTTAGGAAAGAACACGCCTCCAACGACTGGAGTCGGGTCCATGTGAACTCTGTAAACGATTTCATTAATTAAACTCACGATTTCACCATTTTTAATGTAAAGTAGAGAAGACTTGCCTAATCCAGTAGATTCTTTAAGAAAAATGTTAAAATATTATTGAAAATAGAAATAAAAAGATGGGAGACACGAAGGGTCACTTGTATTGTACCCAGTCAGAGATAAGAGTCCATAATGAGGAAGAAACATTTATTAAAAAAAGTTATGAGAAACACTAATAAATTAAAGCGTAGATCACATCACATGTGAAGATCAAACACAAAGGATTATGGAGTAATGGGACACCAATTGTAATATTAAAAATTATGTTGCATCATTTCAATTAATTTTTAATTGTTTAAGAGGGCGTCCAGTGCGCCACGTGGCCTATGTCCATCTTTTGTAGTTGAAGCAAACGTGATAAAGATTCCCGACTTATTCACCCGATCCCTTCTCCACCATTTTTTTTTACTATGGTTTTCTTAACTATTCTGAAACTGATTAGTCAATTTTCAAGTTTCCAACATTTTTATACTAAAGTTTATGCAATTTTTGTGTTCCATAACTTTTGGAGGTTAGGAAAAAAAACCAGATTTTACACTAATCTGCCAAATAAATCCTTAGAAACATTATGTTCATATTTAATTCGGAGGTGTAACTCGGTCTCGTTATTGATGACGCCGTTTAGAAAATCTAACGGCCAAAAATCCTTCCACTTTTCGGATTGCTATTGGTGGGACGCAAATGTCTCGATAATGATTTGGGAAAGCAGCGTTCGCTCATTGGACCACGTTGTCCAATACCTTTGGCTCACGCACGATCTGACGTCAAATGAGAGAGCATTGGATCTTTATAACCTTATCGGGAATAAAATAATCTCCGCGTCCAAACAAAACTCAACCACCTTTTATATCATGACGAGTGTCTCGCCATGGACACTTGTCGACCTCTCCCTCTCTACTTCTCTCTCTCTCTCTGACCCTTTCAGGTTTTTTTCTTTCTCAAAAAGGAAATATCGATTTTCCGTAACAAAGAAAAAAAAAAATTTCAAAGGTGAGGAAAATAAAAACTTTTTTTTTTTCTTTCTTTGTTAGTTTTGTGTGACTGAGCTGCTTAATTTGTTTATTTGTTCTGAAAATGGATTTTTTTTGTTTGGTTGATGAATTGATTTTGTACTCCATTAGTGAATGATTGGTCTCTTGTTCATATTCATTGATTCGATCAGAATCATGAATTTTCCCGCCGAGAATAAGCATATGATTGGGTGTTTTGGAGAATCGTTGTTTCCTGATGGAGACTCTTTTCACTGTTTGCTCTGTTTCTTCATTGTACATATTTATTTCAGATTGTTTTTGTTTTCTTTTGTCGGTGTCTGTTATCTTTTGTAGGTGGTTAGAGACAGATTTAGCTTCGAACTGATAAAAATCTGAGCTTTTTTGACGGATATAGCTTCTGGATTCGGATGCTGATTCTGCTTCCTAGATTTTGATTTCTGGGGAAGAAGAACTCATAACCTCTGCTTGTTTGTTTACAAACAGGGGAGGTTTTGGATTTCATAGCTTGATTTGAGAAGAAAGTAAAATGGGGTCTCGATTAAACTTTGTTGATGGTGTGAGTGATGAAGTGACTAACCCAAAGCTGCCAACTTTGGGGAGTAGTGGTCTTCTTCCATTGACGAGACAGAACTCGGTGTTCTCGTTAACCTTTGATGAGTTTCAGAACTCATGGGGTGGTGGAATCGGGAAGGATTTTGGATCGATGAACATGGATGAGCTCTTGAAGAACATATGGACAGCTGAGGAAAGCCATTCAATGATGGGAAACAACAACAGCACCAATTTCAACAACATCAATAATGGTGGCAGTAGCGGAAACACTGTTGTTAACAGCGGTAACAACAACAACAATGGGGTTTTACCTGTTGGTGTGGGAGGTGAAAGTAGTGGTTTTTACTCTGGTGGGAGCTTGCAGAGACAAGGGTCGATTACTTTGCCTCGTACGATTAGTCAGAAGAGGGTTGATGATGTCTGGAAGGAGCTGATGAAGGAGGATGACATTGGAAATGGTGTTGTTAATGGAGGAACTACAAGTGGAATCCCGCAGAGGCAACAAACATTGGGAGAGATGACTCTGGAGGAGTTTTTGTTCAGGGCAGGTGTGGTTAGGGAGGAGTCTCAAGCTCAACCGGTGGAGAGGCTTGATAACTTCAATGGTGGGTTCTACGGTTTTGGCAGTAATGGAGGTCTCGGGTCAGCTCGAAATGGGTTTGGCTCTAACCAGCCTCATGACTTTTCTGGAAATGGAGCAGCGGTGAGACCTGATCTGCTGGCACCTCAAGCTCAACCACTGCAGATGCAGCAGCCACAGAAGGTGCAGCAGCCGCAACAACTGATACAGAAGCAGGAGAGACCGTTTGCCACACAGACCACTATCACGTTTTCCAACACTGTTGATGCAGACAACTGTTCTCAACCTGCAATACAGGTGATTAAGATTAACAACCTGTAGTTTTCCTGTTTGAGGATTAAGCCTGCTTTTGGATCTTCAAGTATGTTTTAGTTATTTGATCATGACTTGTTTTTGCTGTGCCAGGAAGTGAAGCCTTCAATTCTTGGAATTCGGGACCATGCTACTATGAACAACAATCTGCTGCAAGCTGTTGATTTCAAAACAGGTGTTACGGTTGCAGCAGTATCTCCTGGAAGCCAGATGTCTCCTGATCTGACTCCAAAGAGCGCCATGGATGCATCTTTGTCACCTGTTCCTTATATGTTTGGCCGAGTAAGAAAAACTGGTGCAGTTCTGGAGAAAGTGATTGAGAGAAGGCAAAAGAGGATGATAAAGAATAGGGAGTCAGCTGCAAGATCTCGCGCTCGCAAGCAGGTGAGTCTTCATTTAAAATTTTGGAGACTGATGAAACCTTAAAAGTTATTTACTTTTTTTCACTTTGTCTGGCTGCCTCACAGGCATATACCTTGGAGTTGGAAGCAGAAGTTGCGCAGCTTAAAGAGTTGAATGATGAGTTGCAGAGAAAACAAGTTTGTCTCGCTTCTTCCTCATCACATTAAAGAATCTCAAGATCTTTCTGTTGAGCTATTTTGATATCTTCTTGAGTTTCTGATTACTGACCAAATGTTTCACGCAGGTTGAAATCTTGGAAAAGCAGAAAAAACAGGTACTGTCTTTTGTATTCTTGATTTGCATTGTTGGCTAGGCTTCTAAACTCTTTGACTGCCAAATGAATTACACTTGGACAGTACTCTAAGCTTTTAGTCTAATAGTGTAAGCAACACAATGTAGTGATTATATCATCACATCTTAAATGTCTCACTCTGCTTAAAGTTCGATGCGAATTTGGATATTTTGCAAGACTAATCCCATTGAGCATTGATTTAATAGAAATTTGTGTCATTTGTTGCTGCAGCTTCTGGAGCCAATTCGACAGTCATGGGGATGCAAAAGGCAGTGCTTGCGAAGGACATTGACTGGTCCCTGGTAGAGCTTATAACGGTGTGCAGTGAACTCAACAAAGAGCAGAAAGTTATAGATCAAGACAGCAAATAGAAAGCTAGCTTTGTATGTAATTTAGACAGGTGTTTCTGTGGGTGATTGTGAAAATCATGACGTGTGGCCGATTTGACAGTGATAGATCAACACTCTTTTGTTCTGTTTCCTGAAGCATATTTTGGTTTTATCGTCCTCATGTAATGGTTCTAGGTTTTGCTTTATAGGACGTGTCATTGTCTTGAACATCTTTGTAACTTAACAGAGAGTGGATTTCTTTTATGGACCCTTTATATTACTAGTCTGCACCTCTTCTTCCCAACGACAGCTTTGGGGATCAAATCAACAACAATATAAGAGACAATGAATAGATTGATGGAAACATCTAATTTAGCATCAACATCTGGAATCCCCAACTGTGTATACAAGATTAGATACAAAACTAACTTAAATGGCAAAATTTCTTGTACATTATACAAGATTTCTTAATCTTGAACACTCAAAAGATCAGCAATGTGATATCTTCTAACTGTGTTTCTCAATCAAGATAGCTTCAAGACGGCGTCAAATGCCTTGGATACTCATGCACAAGCCCTTCTGAAACGCTCCTTGCTCTACCGTGCCCAAACAGCTTGCTAACAATGGCCAGAGAGAAATTGGTAACAGTTGCGAGCCCCAAACTTGTAATCAAATTTCCATCTACAACAACTTCTGCCCCATCGACCATTTGTTGATTCATAGGCCCTTCTGTGTCTAAAGCGTACACAGCTGTTCTCTTATCCTGCAACAGGATTCAAACTCTGTTCAGCAATTGTTCATGCCTACGTCAAAGAAAAGAACAATAAGTTTCTTCAATCTACCTTGAGTAAACCGTGCTTGTGCAGGACGGTAGCTGAAGAGTTAGTAGCTCCATATATTCGACCAGTTTCATGTTGTTCCTTGAGTAGTTTCTTGAGAATTTTTGACTTCTGCAGACGCTCTGAGCCAGTATGTCCTCCCTACGGAATTTCCATCAAAGTAAAGAACACTGATCAAGATTTATCTAAAAGTTGTAGTTCGTCTAAGCTTTTCCTAAGAACACTGATCAAGACTTATATAAGAAGTTGTGAACTAGCTAAAGAGTATGAGATTGATGAGAGGCATGCAGGCTAGAAAAGTAGCTCTTGTTTGTAGTGCCTTACCGGAAGAATGATTAGATCATATGAAGATTCAGCAGATTCACCAATCAATTTGTCGGTGATAATTTTGGTGCCTTGGGATGCTGTAATGCGCAAAGATCTTTCAACTGATGCAACCGTGACATCTACTTTGGCTCGTCTAAGAACATCTGCAACTATGACCACTTCAACCTCTTCAGACCCGTTGGCTACCGGGATTAGAACCTGGATTTTTGTTGCATCATTAAACCCATTTCAACAGATTGTACAAGAATCTAACAACTTCCTCATGAGATTACATGGAAATGCGTTGGTCATAGTTTCATATGACTTACACGAGGTGTGTGGTTTAGAGACCAGTCCATGCTATTGAACTCTTCCCTCTTAGGATTCTGGTGATCATCGCGTAGAAGCTGGAGAAATGATTGGAAACGAAGACTATGAGAAGACTGTTGCATATTAAGATAAAATAGAGAAAGATAGTATATAGAGTAAATACAGACCAAAAACTCTTCAACAGACTTGGCTGTGGTTTCTCCAACGAGCTGCTTCGCCAAGGAAAGAGCAAACTGAAAAGAAGTGCCAGGTCCACGGCTAGTTGTAAGCTCCCCTGAGATCTGAATGTTTGTCTTAACAGCCCAAAATGTAGGAAGCTTCCCGAAAAAAGCAGGATGTCCAGTTGTCTTGCACGATGAACTACACCAAGTTTAGATATCAAAACGTTGAGAGATTAGTTACTAGCTAACATACGATCCAAGCCTTGTGATTTATACCTTCTTTCTTGTCAAAAGTCCCCATGGAAGAAGAGTCATAGCTGGAGCCATGGATATAGCTCCGTATAACCGCTTATCTTCAGCTTGTCTCTTCATGATCTTCTCCAGAATTTCACTGTCTCTTAACCTTACAGCACCAGGCATGCCTCCCTTCACAATTTCCATTTCCAGAACCATTACATTAGAGCTCAGTGAAACCAATATTGTTCATGAATCAGCAAAAGCAGAACAGCAGAAGAAGATTAATACAGTCTAATTCAATAAAGTAACTCACCGGCAAAGCCACTAGATCAAAAACTTGTTCAGCACATTTTGAGATTAGAACATCAGCAAGCAATCTGGTCCCTGAGGATGCTTCAACCTCTAGCTTCTGCTCCACCGAGGCAACGGTGACCTCTGCACCAGCTCGCCGTAGAACATCAACTAACACAACAGCTTCTATCTCCTCCGTACCGTATCCAATCGGAACAAGCACCTATAATTTATCAATTTCCTTCAATCTCTCTGTACACAAAACCAGAAGGGAACTCTAAATTCTCAGATGAAAAGAATAAATAGAGACCTTTTTAGATTTTGTAGAAGACACGACGCTGCCAACATCTGAGTCCGGCGTTGTTTCGATACTTGGTGACGCAGAAGATCTAAACACTAAACTTTGAGCTCTCCTTTTTGTCCCAGGTGAAGAAACCACAGAGACTGAAGACAAATTCGAAGCAGCAATCGTCGAGAAATAACCCATTGAAGAGATAAGCCTCGGCTCCGTCACCGTTGGACTCGGCGAAGCTATCATTGAAAACGAAAATCCAAAAGACCCCATTGACGATTTGCTAATGGAGCAGCTTCAAAATCCTGCGGCTAGACGGAGAGTGAGCGTCTGTCTTATCTACTCTTCTCGAAGAAAACGAAGACGACGAACTGAAAAACGCTGTCGTCTTGTTGCCTGATTGGATAAAGATTCAAACTTTTCCTTCAAATTTTGTCGAAAAATAACAAAAATATAATTTTGTTTGTTTTTTTGACCAGTGTGACTAGTGACACGACTCTGTGACGAAAATGATTTAGAAATTGAGCTTTTTTTCCTCTATTCTTATCCTCTCTCTTTATTTTATTTTCGTTTTGGATATGAATTACAGACAATCAAGTATCCAGAAGACGTAAGCTTTCAGTGTGTATATATAAGTCTAGAGTGAATCGATTCTGAGAGAGTGAGAAGACGAAAATGTTAAGGATTTTGAGAAGGGCAGCTTCAGCTTCTGAAGAGCTTACTAGTATTCATCAATGGCGGACTCGACGAGGAATCGATTCTCGGCCCGATCCTTTTCGACATTTCCGGGGGCTACAGAAGGGTTTCTGCGTGGGCGTTCTCCCGGACGGAGTCGACAGAAATTCAGATGCTTTTTCTAGCAATTCGATCGCCATGGAAGGGATTTTGTCAGAGCTTCGCTCCCATATTAAAAAGGTAAACCATTTACCTCATCTATCGATTGATGACTGTATAAGTATAAGCATTTCACGGTGGAGTGCTATAGGTATTGGCCGAAGGTGGAGAGGAGGCGGTGAAGAGGAACAGAAGCAGAAACAAGCTTTTGCCTAGAGAAAGGATCGATCGGCTGCTTGATCCTGGTTCCTCCTTCTTAGAGCTCTCTCAGGTTTCGTTTTGTTTATCTAATTAAATGTTTCTTGTTTTGATTCAGTTTGCATTTGCAATCTTGAGTTAATTGCTGCTTAATGCTGGAATCAAAGAAGAGTGTAGTTAAAAGATTTAATCTTCTAGTATATAGTTGTGAGCTTGATCTCTAACACAGTTTTATTGATTGCTTCGCTCTGGAACCAAATTTAGCATTTGTGTTTATACGCTCTATCTGGTGTATGATCTTAAAAGGCCTTAAAGCTTGTTTGATGTCTTTGCTTACCGGATATGAATATGCTTGAAGCTTGCAGGACATGAACTGTATGAGGAGCCTTTACCATCGGGTGGCATAATCACAGGGATAGGACCAATCCATGGCCATCTTTGTATGTTTATGGCAAATGATCCTACAGTAAAAGGAGGAACTTACTATCCCATTACTATCAAGAAACATCTCAGGGCACAAGAGATTGCTGCTCGTTGCAGACTCCCTTGCATATACCTTGTTGATAGTGGCGGTGCTTTCCTTCCAAAACAGGCTGAGGTTTTCCCTGACAAGGAGAATTTCGGTAGGGTTTTCTACAACGAATCGGTTATGTCATCAGAAGGAATTCCGCAAATCGCCATTGTGTTAGGCTCTTGCACTGCCGGTGGTGCCTATATTCCTGCTATGGCTGATGAGAGTGTCATGGTGAAAGGGAATGGTACTATATTTTTGGCAGGACCTCCTCTTGTGAAGGTTTGTTTTCACACTCTCTCTCTCTCTCTTTTGTCTTATTTAGTTTCTTGAGAATGTGAAGCCAAATGAAAACGTTTTTGAACAGGCTGCTACAGGAGAGGAAGTCTCAGCTGAAGATTTAGGAGGCGCTACGGTTCACTGTAATGTGTCCGGTGTGTCGGATTATTTTGCTCAAGGTATATACATCTCTTTCTGCAACTTTTTAATATGACACTTTAGAGTTTAGACCTTAAGAAGTTGCTCTAGTCTTGCAGACGAGCTACATGGACTTGCAATTGGAAGGAACATTGTCAAGAATTTACACATGGCTGCCAAAAAAGGGATGGAAGGAACATTTGGAAGCACAAATGTTGAACACAAAGAACCGCTCTATGACGTAAACGAGCTCCGTTCCATTGCTCCTGTAGATCACAAGCAGCAATTTGATGTCCGGTCTATTATTGCTCGGATTGTCGATGGGAGTGAATTTGACGAGTTCAAGAAACTATACGGCACTGTGAGAGAACTTGATTAAGACTTATCCTTTTTGATCCAGTTATTACCTTTTTAAGTTTTCTTATCTTGAACTTGATTTGGCAGACGCTTGTGACCGGGTTTGCTAGAATATATGGTAAGACGGTGGGAATCATCGGGAACAATGGAATACTGTTCAATGAATCTGCACTGAAAGGAGCTCACTTCATCGAATTATGTTCTCAACGTAAAATCCCTCTTGTTTTCCTCCAGAATATCACAGGCTTTATGGTAATCAAAGTGTTTTTGCTGTGTTTTAACATATGTGGATATACAATGGCATATGCTTACTTTCTCTTTATAGGTTGGTTCGAGAGCTGAGGCCAACGGCATTGCAAAATCCGGAGCGAAAATGGTGATGGCAGTATCTTGTGCTAAGGTTCGTTGTTTAGTTCTTGTAGAGATTTCCGAGAGAATATATTAGGACATGCAAGAAGTTAAGCTTGGCTCTGAATTTAGGTACCAAAGATTACGATTATAACGGGTGCAAGCTTTGGTGCTGGAAACTATGCAATGTGTGGGCGTGCATACAGTCCAGATTTCATGTTCATGTGGCCAAACGCAAGAATTGGCATTATGGGTGGCGCTCAGGTAACCATACCGAACCGAAATGTTGAAAATGAAACAAAACTGAATTGTAATGTGTTTATAATCGGATCATCTTGTGGGGGAAACTTTACAGGCTGCAGGTGTTTTAAGTCAGATAGAGAGGGCTACCAAGAAGAGACAAGGAATAAAGGTATTGAATAATAACATTCTCTATACAGAATGAGAGATAGAGATAGAGAGAGAGAGAGAGAGAGAGATGAATGTTGTGTGTTTTGTTGGTGATGCAGTGGACTGAGGGAGAAGAAGAAGCGTTCAAGAAGAAAACAGTGGATGCGTACGAGAGAGAGGCGAATCCTTACTTCTCAACGGCAAGGCTATGGGACGACGGCGTGATTGATCCATCTGATACCAGAAAGGTTTTGGGACTTTGTCTCTCTGCTGCTTCAAACCGTCCTTTAGAAGATACTCGTTTTGGTGTCTTCAGAATGTAAAAACAACTCTGATATCCATTTTCAAATAAAAAATGAATAAATAAAGAAAACTACTTTCGTATTAGCTACCGAAACTAGCAGATTCAAGAGAAACTACTTTCATATTGGCTACCAAAACTAGATTCAAGAGAAACATGGTATACTATTTGTGTTTAGCTGACTGAAAATTTGGTTCGAATCTTGATGTTTACTAAATATAATCTATTCTTCAGTTACAAGAACACAAAGGCGCCCGTGGCCCAATGGATAAGGCGTCTGACTTCTAATCAGACGATTGTGGGTTCGAGTCCCACCGGGCGTGCCATATTATCTCTTTTTTATTACCGACAAGATCAAGAAACATTTTTTTTTTCCTTTGACGACGATGCAAAAAAGAACATAAAGATATTCGTTCAATAATTAATTATGCAATTACCACAAATCACCTGAAAAAATATTTAAGAAACTAGCAATGACATTCAAATCAAACATAACATAGTTGTATCCACAGAATCCATAATGGTAACTAAAATTCCAGTAATGATCTAATAATTCAGAGGATTGAGTTAAAATGACAGTGTTGTTATTATTCTCTTCTCCATGGATTTCTATATAATCTACATGATGCTTCAACAGGATCTTTCATCACACGCCCTGACACTTGTTTTCAACTCTCTTTCTCTCGCCTCTCTAGTTATCATCAATGTATGCAGGTAAGACAGAAACCAAGCTTCACAATCTCTTTTTCTCTTCTTTCTTTCGTTTCAAGGATCAGGAAGAGATTAATGATGAAGGGCGAATGATGAAGGAGCCGTGCTTTCATGTCGACAAAGCCACTGTCTTACAGATCGGGCAGAGATTCTTGAGCATGAGCCATTGCTTCACGCAGGCAGTGTGGAATTCATGGCCACATCCCAATGTTCCTAGATCATCCCCTTCTGCATACTCTTCCTGTAAAAAAAGGCATCAAAGTCTTCACATCAGCTTAAGAGCTCAAAAAGATTAACCTAAGCAACACATGTTACATTACACATATAGACGGTTTATATACCTGGCAGACACAGCAAGGCTCCATGTCCTGGTGGGATTCAGCAGCGGAAGATGTATGTTTGTGCTGTTTCATTGCTTTCAGGATCACCTCTTCGCTTAGCCCCGTGCTCACATCTCCTATGCGTTCCCCAAGTGCCAGTAGCTCCTACAGTTCCCCAAACGAGGGTTGTTGGCAAAAATTGGTAGAGTAGTGATAAAATGAAAAATACAGGAAGGTGAAGACTCACCTCATACGACATGTTGTCAACATCGAGACGCATATCACGATGCCTATCATGCATCTCGGCCATACCATGGTAGATCAGTGGATCAAATACCATATAATCCTATCAGAATCACCAAAGGAAAAATCATTATCCAAAACTTGCACTACATTTCGTTCATACAAATGCCAAAAGAGTTGTTGATAGCAAAATTGCTTGTTCTAACTTTGTTGACTCCAATGTGAGACCAAATAATATTATCAACAAAGATGGTACACCACGTAGATGTTGACAGAGACCACGTGTCTCTAAAACTAACACTTGAAGACAAAAGGTGCAATGTGACTTTACCTACTAGGTGGCATTAGGAAGGATTTAATTGAAATGAGTTGTGTGACAAAATCATACCTCAAACCGTAAATTCTCTCCTCTTCGCATGGCACCTAACACCTGCCGTATCTGCCATTAACAAGAGAGTACCACTCTACCTCGTAAAAGAGTTCACTTAACAGAAAAGTTTCGATAGTGTGAAACAATGAAAGATTAATACAGACCTCAGAAATCAGTCGGTTCCTTCCATCGTTATCAGCAGCTAAGCTTCTTCCTAAGTGACGCAAATGGAGAACATCATTTGGCCTTTCCAGTAACAATCCTGATCTTCTTTGTCGAGAGCGATGACTCCGACTACTGCCAGATCCAGATGGCGCTGCAGCTTCGTTTGAAGAAACAGAAGGAGCTGTGGGTACTAACGGAAGAGAAGCAGGAGGTTCTGCTTCAGTACTGGGAAACAAAGACCAAGGAGCAACTTCTGATATCATTGATTCATCACTGGGAATACCCCACCTGGGACTCGGCTGGAAAGCATTAATCCCTGAACTCGATCCTGCTCGAGGAACAAAAGGAGAATCTCCAGATGCACTACCACGGCTGAAACTCCAATGAAACTGATCCTGCACTGGATTTCTCGTTTCGGTTGCAGATGAGGTAAAGACTGGCTGCTCTGAGCTGGCTCTTGGAGCCTCCCACGGTGGTCCAAGTCCCTCTCCAGGGGTATTGTTTGTTCTTGAACTGGAAGAAGCATTCCAAGCAAAGTGGTGTATGTTTCTGGTCAATGCAGGAAGGTGGATCAAACTTGGCTGACTCTCACCACCGCTTGAGCTACTACTACCGGTGATTGGCATTGCCCTTGCATCCACAGAGTCAGCAAAAGGAGAAGTTGCTGGTGGTTGACGCACTGAATGACCGGATGGTGAAAAGCTGAATGTTGCTGACTCTTGCAGTGGCCCATGATTTAACCGCCTGCCGGGCCTAGATATGGTTTCAGAGCTTCTTGTAGAAGGAAAAGCACTTGCTGCAACTGCTCTTCCACCACCAATTCCATATCTTGGCTCCGGCTGATCAGACTGGTTATGCGAGGGCATAGACAAACTCAGGCTACTTGAAGCATCATAGTGACCAATACCTTCATTCCAAGCACTGCTCTCAGTTTGAAAAAAGCAACCAGGACTTTCACCATGAAGAGAATGGCTAGGAGATCCTTCAAGAGCCTTTCTCTTGCAAGACGAGCCTAAGCCACTGCTTCTCTCCTCTGCGGTTTGACTTGAGCTTCCTAATAAGCTCTCAGAGTTGTTATGGCGAGTAACAACCCCTGAAGTCTGGAGACCACTAGCATTAATGTCCATGTCCTTGCCAAGATTTATTTGCCTCAACATATGATTGGAGCTTGAGCCACGCAAGTAGGAAGGTCCATTAGAGCCTGATTGCCCTTCCTCAAACCCATAGCCGCCGCCGCCTGAAGGAAGCTGGCGATCTGTCTTTGAACTGACCTGATCAGAAGGCCCCAATCTAGAGCTGGACTCACCAAAACTCCACCAGTTGTGATGAGTTTGAACAGCATGCGAGCTCGAGCTTGCGTAAGTTGGTCGTCCTGAAGCAGTACTGTTGTTTGGGAACTGAACATCCACTGGATTCAGCAATGTAGTCGAAGTAGTCTCTGGATTGGTGTTGCAAATGGGTTCTCCATCTGCGTAGTTTATTCCAGTAGATGAATCACCACCAGTGCTTTGCGGCCCTTGCATTGGATCAAATTTGTACCTCTCACCAGAACACAACCACTCTCCAGCCTCTTATTTAGCTCTAGGCTTCGAAATGTAGCATCCGTCTTTGTGTTTCCAGTTGGTACTCCAAGAAAGGAATATCTGAAAAGTTAAGAAAGTAAATCATCAGTTCCAAATATCCGTTGCTTAGCAAACAACTGAATCATTTACAAAACCATGACTTAAGAAGTTAAGCGACTCAGAAGCTAGCTTATGAGCAACTCTACGGAAGAAACCACCACTTCTGCTTAACACAATTATCAAAATCTTGTGAAGATTATAATAGGAGAGAAATGTAGCTACAGACATCAATGAGAGAACAAGGGAAAACTTCAGACTCATACTACACACACACACACACAAATTAAATCTACTAGACACAATTTTGTAAGTTGAGATACTAATTGAAAGGTTGTGAATTTGTAACCTATGAATTGCACATTCCGATTCATCACCCCAAACAAACAAAATACAGCTATTCACTAAAATATCAAGGTTCCGATTTTAAGAACGAAACCAGAAAATGGGAGAGACCCGATCTTCCAGATTCGCGAAGATGTAGCCATGAATCAACGCTAAAACAGAAACCATTTCCACACAAAAACATCGCGAGGATCCAGAAAATGAATTCGATTAAAGACCGATCGTCTTATGGTAGGAAAAGTGAAAAAAGAAGCAATTTTTACCCGCAAAATCCCAGAGATGCAGAGGAAGACAGATGGGTGTCCAAACTCCAAAGTAATCTGCTTAGAACCAGAGAAAATAATTTACTTTTGGATTTTCCGGTTGCTCAATTATCTGGATGCGATTGCCCTATCCTCCATTCTTTTTTATTTGATCTCGATATCTTCTTCCGTTTTGACGATTACCCAGAAAACGGAGAACGGAAATGAAATGGAAAGAGCATAAAGGCGGAAAGAAAGAGATGAAAATGAGGTTAATAAAAAAAATAAAAGAGAGAGAGAGAGGACGAGAAGAAGCAGTGGATGAGGGAAGAGCGGTATTAAGAGGCGTACAGATTACATGTGATATCTCTCTTCGACTCACCGTAATTAACATTTCCCAAAGATTAAGACTTTTTAAGACATAAAGAGAAGATGTTTGGTAATGAATCAGGCAGCCATTAATTTATTGTAAGATATTTTGTTCAGGACGTCGCTCTTGCCCTCAGTGCTGGCTGGTGCTCAGTACTTACTACTCACCTTTATTTTTCACTTCTTCTTTGGGGGTTTGTAATAAATGTGAAAATGGACCGTTTAAAAAACTTTAAGACATTTGATTACTATAAGAGAAAGTTTTTTTTTTGTTTTACATTATTTTTGGTTTCAAATCGAATGAAGACGTGAGTGCTGTGGTACATTGTAAACAGTTGTACACGTAGCTCTCATGCAGTTTCGTGGCCCCATATGGCTTGACTTGTATTCTGTTTTAAACTCCAAGAGACCCCCCTAAAGCACTTCCTATCAATCCATCTAGCTAATAGAAATCGTAAACGTGTCCTATCTTTAAACTCATCATCATCAACTAACACTATTATAATCTAGGTAGTACTATGCGTTACGCATATTATTATATCTCAACAATTTGATATTTTCGGGTGTGTGTGAGACTATTGAGTATTGACTGGCGTAAAAGTTCTTGAATTTTAGGTCCTTGGAAAAGTTTAGTGGAAATGTTCAATGGCACAACTTGCACGCATCTAGAATCCGGACTGTTACGAACCTTGAGGTATTTTGTTTGAACCATTATTATTTGAGGAGGAACCGAGGAAATAGGAGTTTGAACATAACGAATGAGAAAATGGTTGATCGCTTTGTTGATACTAGAGTAACTTGTTTGAACTCCGCAGTTATCGGAACATGCGCTGCTTTTCCCCGAGCTCTCCGAAAATTCACCATCTATGCTGGTGGTAAGTAAGCTAGCTTGATTCAGACAACATGATCGTCGGCCTCATTTCTTGCCTGTGAATATTGAATTCAAGAAACTGGGATGGGCTCTTGATTGGGCCGGATTTAAGTTTGGGCATGTCCAAAACCAATAAACACACAACAGCAATCATGTTAATTTACTGGTTAATGATCAAAACCAATGTGTCATCAAAAAGTGTTATTCTACCAATTCATTTGTTGTTGTTGTGAAGTTCAAAGTATTATTTGTCCACTACCAATACTATATGCAAATAGTTTGCTTTTGTCTTATGAAAAAAGAAAGAAAGGAAGAATGATTAGTAAGGAAGCCATCCACCAACAAGAAGTTCACCTACTACACACCACACACGAGACACTTCACCGCCGAAGCAGAGTTGTTGGATCCACTTTTTATTCCCTTGCTCTCTTCTTTTCCACCAAGTCTCCCCTTTTCTTCTTTCTCTATTATTATATTCAGAAAATACCTCCCTTTTCAATAATTTATTGAATTTTTTAATACACAGAATAATATCCAGTGTAATTTCTCATTACGTCACGTATACCCCATACCCATGCACCATTTTACTAGTATATAAAATCATCTGATTTCAGAATAATATCCCGACATTAATACACAATAATAAATGCAGTATTACTTGGCAGCAACCCAACATTTACTACTGACACGTAGATGGAAATCATGAAAAAACCGAATTCACTTGTCACACACCCACACCACACAAACACATAACCACTTCCCTGAGTTGGTTTTTCAATAATCTGGAAAATTTGATTGCCCGAGGCGTTATCACCCTAAGTGCGTCTCAGGCCCCACAGTGTTTGGGACCCACCTAAGATAGGGACCGACCAATTGCGTGTTAGGAGAGCTTCACCAACCCCGGACCGTGTCTTTTTACAATCAAACCGGGTATAACTAACCCGGTTCCTTCTTTATATAACGCCTCTCATGTCGTCTGTGTGAATCACCCAAAACACAATCGTCAATCTCAACTCAGCCAAACAAAACAAATACACAGAGAGAGAAATGGCGACGACTGCAACTGAGGCTACCAAGACATCATCTCCTAATGGAGAAGACAAGCAATCTCAGAATCTCCGACACCAAGAAGTCGGTCACAAGAGTCTCTTACAGAGCGACGATCTCTACCAGGTCTCTCTCTCTCAATTCCGGTTTCATCCAATTTTTGATTCGATTCAGTAATCTAAATCTTAATTAAAAATTCAATACACATACAGTATATTCTGGAGACGAGTGTGTATCCAAGGGAACCAGAATCAATGAAGGAACTCAGGGAAGTGACAGCGAAGCACCCTTGGTTTGTTTTCCCAATCCTTAATCATCATTTCCTTTTCAAACCAAAATCAGAACTGAAAACTGAAATTGGATTGGATCAAATCAAAACAGGAACATAATGACAACATCAGCAGATGAAGGACAGTTTCTGAACATGCTCATCAAGCTCGTTAACGCCAAGAACACAATGGAGATCGGCGTTTACACTGGCTACTCTCTCCTCGCCACCGCTCTTGCTCTCCCCGAAGACGGCAAAGTATACATCTCTCTCATTCCTCTGTATTTTACAATTTCACTGTAAGCCGAAATTGGAATTGAAAATTTAATCTTTGTACTCTCAGATTCTGGCTATGGACGTCAACAGAGAGAACTACGAATTGGGATTGCCGATCATCGAGAAAGCCGGCGTTGCTCACAAGATCGATTTCAGGGAAGGCCCTGCTCTTCCCGTTCTTGACGACCTCGTTGCTGACGTAAGCATTCATTCCTTCGTTTCGAAATTAATGTCAGGATAATGAGAACAAGAAAAATAAGATATAGTTATTTGGATATTAGTAAAAACTTATGGCCTAATCAGAATGACTTTAATATATTTATGCAGATTCTAATTACACGCATATCTGTTTCTTTTTTCATATAATCAAAAAGATTTGATGAATGATGGAGTAACTTATTATTGTGTGTGGGTGGGTGCAGGAGAAGAACCATGGAACATATGACTTTATATTCGTTGATGCTGACAAGGACAACTACATCAACTACCATAAACGTTTGATCGATCTTGTGAAAGTTGGAGGAGTGATCGGCTACGACAACACTCTGTGGAACGGCTCCGTCGTGGCTGCTCCTGATGCACCAATGAGGAAGTACGTTCGTTACTACAGAGACTTTGTTCTTGAGCTTAACAAGGCTCTCGCTGCTGACCCTCGGATTGAGATCTGTATGCTCCCTGTTGGTGATGGCATCACCATCTGCCGTCGGATCAGTTGATGATTCCTCCCCCCATACTGAGTTTGTCCGCACTGGATTACTTACCTTTCCTCTCAAATGCATTTTCTCACCAACCACCAAATGGACCCTTCATGTATTTTGTTAAGTAATACTCTCCATTGTCCTTGTTTTTTTTTGCTTTCTTCTGAACAAAGAAATAATGTATCCTACCTTCTTTTTTGTTTTTGTTTGTGTTTTTCTATGATATACAAAATCTAAAGAAAATATCAATCATCAAGTTTTCTAAGGAACCTACTGATATTAAAACGTAAATCAGAACTTATGCATACTAATGGATCAAAATGGTTACTAGCCGTAATGCAGATCAATTGTACAAGATTTAAACTTTGAGTAACCTATACAGAACGGGGTTGAACAGAAACTAGAGAGCTCTTCCAGCTCTCCACATGAATGTGAACGATCTTTCTCCCTATAAATGGTGTATTCTGAAGCAACCAATCATCACACACTTAAAACTGTTGAAAGTCGTTGTTGAATTGTCAACATAAATAAGATTACCATATAAATAAATTATATATCTGACGGAAAGAAATAACAAAGTAGGAAGATTTAGGTCAGCCGTCTTTGAAAATTTAATAGGAAATATTAAACACAGTTAGGTAATTTCAGCTAAATAATTTAAGAGATACTACTCTTTGCTTTAAAGATTTCCTTGGTCAAAAAATCAAAATAGAGCAGAAAAATCAATTAAGAAACAAAATCGTAAAAAGGAAACACGTTGCATTTTGTTACATAATTATCCTTCGAATATTTAACATAACAATAACATAGCAGAATATTCCTCCGCCGACTTTCATCGTCTTTTCTTTTCTTCCCTAAACCTTTCTGCCTCTCTCGCCGCAAACTAGCAAAGCCCTCACTCTCAGCTCAGGTGAGCTTTTGATTTTGCTTTGACACAGCTCTCGTTTTATTTTGCTGCTTCTCCTTCTGCGATCGTTCCTCTCAACTCTCAGACTTCAAATTTAGTCATAAGTAAAGTGTTTTTTTTTCTCTAAAATTCTCAGTTTGCAGTAGCTCTGATCCTCCTCTGAAATTTACCTCTGAACGATCTCGAATTTCTGCTTTTGATCTTTTGTTTCGTTCGATTGCACTGATAAATTGCTATTTAGGGATTTCAGTTTTGGCATAGTGGCGTTATTGTTTCCCCGATGAGATTGAGACTCTTTGAAATTTTGATTGAAGTTATCATTTCACTATCATTTGGTTGTGTCAATTGATCAATGTATATATGTTTGTGTATGTGAAAACAAAAATTGATGCAGGAGACAACGATGGAAGATTCAAAGGACTCCGATGAAGCTCCTCTTTCGGTTGTTCTAGGGACACCGATCAAGCCTCAACAGTCTCTCAAATTCTATGTTAGACGTAAATCTCTTAAGCTTTCCAACAAACCACAAGACACCGATCCAGGAGGATTGACCAATGCAGCTTCAGATTCTAACATAGAGAGTATTAGCAACAACGAGCTCGAAGGAAAGTTGTTTTCCCATGGAGATTATGGTTTTGTGATTATGAAAAAGAGTGAAGAATCGGAGGTTCCCAAAGGTAAACATTTCAGTTTAAACTAGGTCGAATTTCAATATATCTATGGCATAACAAATTGGTACTTATTCAAGTTTTACATCATTTGGCGATAGGTGAGGAGAACAAAACTTCAAAAGAAGAATCTGGAGAAAAATGTGATAAGTCAAAGACTCCTCAAGGTAAATCGTTTTGACTAATTTTTTTTTTTCTTCTTCTATCAATGCTTGCTAATCTGCGAATTTATTATGTATCAAATCACAGAGTTTGATTTATTCAGTTTCTTGTCTATTACAGATGAAAAAAGCTCTACATCCACTACAACAAAAGGTAATTAGCTCGTCTCGTTATGTTTATACATTAGTAATGTAAAATTGCTACAAGAGATATTCAAGTCTCGTTTCAGTTTCTTGTAGATATTATAGTCATTATATGGTTACTTAATCTTGCGTGTTTTTTTTTATTGATTTACAAGGCGTTAACGGAAAAGGAAAGACGAAGAACTCCAAAGTGAAACCAAAGAAGGAAAGATTCTGCAGACCACGAATCTTGGAAGAAGGGAGAAAACCAAGGAATCCTACCACTACGAGAATGAGAACTATATCTATGAGGAAGAGGAAGAATGAGAAAGGCAATGAAGAGCAGGAAACTATAGCTGAGCCTAAAACTCCTCAGAAGCAGAGTTTCCCAAAGAGAAGAAAAACCGAGGCCAAACGAAAAAACGTAGCTCGGACGTTGATCTTTGATGATGAAAAGGTTCCCATCTGTCTTAAGCTCAGCAGAAAACCAGGGCCTAATTTTCCAAAAGGGAGAAGGAGGATGGCGGCAGTTCGCAGAACTGATCTCCGTGGTTTGATATCACCGATATCATTTTCAGTGTCCATTTGGAAAAGGCAATCAAGAAGGTCTCATCGTAAGAAAAATGTTGTCAGATGGGCTAGAATTGCTTTGTCCTTTCAATGTCTAGAAGGAACCTTACCTTTGGTAACAATTCTTCCGAAAGACAACAGCATCTCGTCTCAAACAGATGTTTCCTTAAAGACTGAAGGTAATCAAGTCTTTTTGTTTATCCTTTTCTAGTCAAATATTGCTCGACATATACTTTTGATGTACGTAACTAATTTTACTGTCAATGTATATCTTGCAGACAAGAAAATGATAACTGCTAGTAATGTAGCAGCGAAGGTGGATCCAGTGCAGTCTAAAGGCAGAAAAAGAACGAAAGATGTTGTTGAGCATCATAAAGGTAATGGCTTTGTCATCTCACATGTCTTTCTTTATCTTTCTAGGAAGAGTTTGTCTGAGATTATTTCTTCTACTGTTATCTTGTGCAGTCCAAAAACAGCGCATTAAAAAACCTGTTGATGTTGAGAAGCTCTCAATCAAAGATAAAAGTCATGAGAAAAATGAATGTCAATCTGTTGTAGTCCAAAAGCAGCGCATGAAAAAACCTGTTGATGTTGAGAAACTCTCAATCAAAGATAAAAAACCTGTTGATGTTGAGAAGCTCTCAATCAAAGATGTTCCAGTTCAAGTTCAGATCCAAGGTAATCATGTTATTCGTATAGTTTATCGTAATTCCACTGAAAGTTTGATTCTATTATCTCTACGAATTATAATCGTATCATTTGTGTGTTTTATTTTCAGAAACACCAGTGACGGCTTCAAGTAACGTAAACTCAAAGCTACACAAGAAAAGAATGAAGGAGTTTGATGCGCATTTGATCCAACAGTTGAATTATCAAAAAGAACACGGCCTTTCATCTCTAGCTGATGTTCCATTGCACATGGAAGGTAATCACATTTTCTTTTTTCAAATGCTTAGGGAAAAAATCGTAGAAACATCTGAAACACTTACTCAACACTATTTTTTGTTTTTGTTGCAGATACACTTATGAGATCTGTTTGTGACGTAGTCCAAGAACGTCCAGTAAAAAAAGCCAAGGATGTTGCTAAGTTAATCAAAGCGTTGAGCAGATTAAATCTCAACAAAACGAGGGTAACAGCTTTGGGCAAGGCAAAGAAACAACTTGTTACCGCAAAAGTTGATCTTGATCCTGAAACCATTAAGGAGTGGGAGCTATTGATGGAAAATGATAGTCCAAGCAGATCATATGCCGATGAGGAGACAGAGTCCAAGTGGAAAGAGAAAAGGGAGATATTTAAAGCTCATATAGAGCTTTTCATCAACCGGATGCATCAATTGCAAGGTAAATTTATTATCAATTGTATTAATATTTAGAACGAGTTTATACGTATATATACTTTTTTGAAGTAATCCAAGTTTATGTGACCACATATAAGGTATATTGTTCATTATCTTAGCGATAACTATTTTGCAGGGAATAGAAAATTCAAGAAGTGGAAAGGCTCAGTTGTTGATTCAGTGGTTGGAGTTTTTTTGACACAAAACGTGTCTGATTATCTTTCAAGGTAAAATCTGAATTTTAAACCTCTAAAGAAACAAAAAAAAACCCTGAGATTAACATTTTTGCTTTGATTCTGATTTTTTACAGCAATGCTTTTATGAGTGTGGCTGCAAAGTTTCCCATAGATGTAAAAGAAAGTCTGGAAAGCCTAGCATATTCCGTCGAGGAACCTCTAGAGGTTAATGACTCAGTTGTTGATGAGCAAAGACCAATTCATAGTGGGGACGATGATGCTAAAAGTTTGCCGGAGTCTATCTCCTTTCCAGAAAATGTGGAAAAACGTGAAAATGTTGCACAGAGGAAAAACAAAAAAACCGGTATCATGGAAGATGAGAAAGTTGATTGGAAGAATCTGAGAAAAATGTTCACCAAAGAAGGACATCGGGACGTGATGCATGAAGACATTGTTGACTGGGATGCTGTGAGATTAACTGACCAACAAAATCTTGCAAATACCATCAAGAAACGGGGGCAACACAATGAACTTGCCAGGAAAATATTGGTAAGATAAGATACATCATTCTGAATACCTTGTTGATAAATCATTGTAAAGATTTGAAACTATATTTTCTCTTTGGTTTTCTGAAGAAATTCCTCAATGACGAAGCAGAGCAAAATGGAACTGTGGATCTTGAATGGCTCCGTGATGGTCCATCTGATCTAGTAAAGTATGCTTACGTTTGATTCTTATGTTATCCTTGATTTCATTATGTACTGAAAAAGTTTCCTTATCCTTAAAGTTTCATATCATATTATCAGGAGATATCTACTGGAGATTGAAGGGATAGGGTTAAAGAGTGCTGAGTGCGTACGGTTGTTAGGACTGAAACATGCTGCTTTCCCGGTATGAAATAAAGTTATTGTGATTTTTTATTTGACATGTAGTTGTTATCTCTTAACCATTAAAGTCACCCTTTTTGGATGTGTATAGGTTGATACTAACGTCGGACGTATAGCAGTTCGTCTTGGTTGGGTTCCTCTTGAACCTTTATCAAATGGAGTTCAAATGCATCAGTTATTTCAGTTAAGTCATTTTCAATTTTTTTTTATAAAATGTATACAGCAGTTTATTGATAACTAAACCATTTTTTGTTTTTCCTTTTCTTTTTCAGTTACCCTTCAATGGATGCAATTCAGAAGTATCTTTGGACAAGACTATGTAAACTTCCTCTAGAAATTCTGTAAGTTAAAAGATTATTATTCAGCGTACCAGTAATTTGTTATACAACATGAGCATGAATTGCTTATCTAATGCTATTGTTTTTACAGGTACGAGTTGCATTATCAATTGATAACCTTTGGAAAGGTATACACAACAAGAAAGCTTATTTTTTTCTTTAATGTTGTCAATTAACCTACCCATTTGGATCAAATCTTGTTAACCTCAGGTTTTTTGTACAAAAGTTATTCCCAATTGTAATGCGTGTCCCATGAAATCAGAATGCAAATACTTTGCAAGTGCATATGTCAGGTACACTCTTTTTTTCTCTTCTTTTCTTTTTGTAACTTTGTCTTGCATGTATTAGATTTCAAACCCGTTCTAACTTTTTCTAAGATTTGTTTAGTCTAGTTACACAAAACGTATAGAAATGTAGATAAAACAGATAGGTATCACTACAAAGAACAAGGGATTGAACATCTCTTTTGATTAAGTTTAACGTTTTGATTTATTTCAGTTCCAGCACCCTTCTAGAAGGTCCAAAAGAAAAGACACATGAGCCAGATTCCTCTATGCCTTCAGATTATCAGGATGTTGGTGCAAATCTGACATCGAAGATAAATTCCATAGAGGAATATGTTGCTTCCGAATGCAGTAATCAAAATAACTGTTGTGAATCAGTGGTTGAGTTTCCATCTGCTCCAAGCACGGAAATTCCAGAGTTAATTGACATTGAAGATACACCTTGCAGAACTCCTTGTCAGTCTCATGAAGAAACTCCTGAAATCGGCATTGTTGTTGATAAAATTCCTGAAACTGGTTTTGATATGGATGCATTGAAGAAAAATGTAATGGATGCACTTTCAAGAAGTGGAAAGATGCAGGAGAGTATTAGTGACGAGGTATCAAAAGCATTAGTACTTCTAACTCCACAAAATGCATTGATTACAATGGAGCTGCCTCATAAACTAAAGTATTATGACAGGCTAAGAACTGAACATCTGGTGTAAGTATTTATTTTTACATAATTATCATATTCATTAGCCATAGAAATATGTAATCTAATTGTTTGTTTTGCAGTTATGTGCTTCCTGATAACCACGAGCTCCTCAATGGTGTAAGTACAAATACCGAAAATATTGTAACTCTTTTGTATGATTATTACTACTTAGAACGTGTTTTTGTGTTGTTATTTGTATTAGTTTGAGAAACGAGCACATGATGATCCTAGTCCATACCTTCTTGCGCTTTGGCAACCAGGTACGACACAAGGCATAACTTTATCATCATCTTTCACATAGAAGATAAAAGCTAAACTCTTCATTGGACTCTTTGTAGGTGAAACGCTAAACTCGTCGAGTCCACCAAAGCAGAGGTGTGAGTTAACCGGATTGAACTTCTGCAAGTTCAAGAGTTGTTCTCGTTGTTGGTCTTTACGAGAAGAAGAATCAAACATTTACCGTGGAACAATCTTGGTAAACTGAATTTTAAAGATTTAACATTGTTAATATTGTTGAATGTTTGACTTGAACTTATATGGATGTTTGTGGTATCGAAACAGATCCCTTGTAGAACAGCAACGCGAGCTGGTTTCCCTCTCAATGGAACATACTTCCAAACAAATGAGGCGAGTGTATTTTCTGCTTTCTTATATGGGTTTGCATTTTATCAGTAGTAATGAATATGTAAGGTTGCTACTTGTCTTTTCAGGTCTTCGCAGATTACGAGACGAGTGTGAGACCTATTGTCTTTCCAAGAGAATTGTGTGACGGGCTAGAAAAGCGTGCACTATACTGTGGCTCATCGGTGACATCGATTTTCCGATTATTAGACGGAAAAAGAGTTCGATTCTGCTTTTGGGCAGGTAACAAATTTTGGACTTGTTTCGTTTGTTTTTGTTTTTGAAGTATTAACATGAAATCACCAGAACAACTTCGTTTGAGTTTGGAGATATTAACAACACAGAAGTGGAGCAATCCATGGTTTGTGAAGTGAAATGATCTTATCTTTGTTCTTTGTTCCTTACCTTTTATTAACAAGATCGGTTTTGTTCCCAACAAGAACAATGATAACATGACTACCTCTTTCAGCACGAACATCTTCAATCCACTTGGAGGTGTTCAAAAACGATTGCTTATCTGCACACTCACAAATACAAAATTGTGAGTTTTTCTCACACAAGAACACAATTTGAGTACTGAAGAAGAAGAAGAGTTTTTCAAAACGAAAGTCTTACTTGCAACATCAAAGACAATTACAGCAACAGAGGATTCTTTGATATAACTTGGTACCAAGCTTTTAAATCTCTCTTGTCCAGCAGTGTCCCTGTGGAATCGAATACACTAAATCTAACATGGGACACACTTTTTTGCAACAAAAATGTGAAAAGGAAGCAATTGAAATCAAAAAGATGGGATTACCACAACTGCAGACGGAAAGTCCTATCTTCATGGCGCATTGTTTTGGACAAAAAATCAATTCCAATAGTAGCCTGCAAAATTTCCAACAGGTAAAATTGAAAGACATGAAAGAGAGTCACATGGAACATATGCATGAAAATACCCCAAAATTAGGAGAATAAAATTCTAAATTCAAATAACAATCTGATTCCGAGTAAAAGAACATTGTGCAACACAAAGGACTTCCACAAATAATCAAATTTGAACTATTTCTTAAACTGCGATCCTCATTAACTCGTATCAAGAACGCACAATTCTAGGGATCATAATAATAAACGAGACAAACAAACAAACAAAAAGATCATCTGGATGGTCATATACAAATGAACACAAATCACAAATCTCGGGACGTATTGATTTAGTTTTGAAATCTGTGTTCGAATCAAACCAGCCAAATTCAACGTAGATCGGGATGGAATTTTTCGGACCTGATAATTGGCGTCGAAGCTACCGTACATGAAGCAAGTGATGATGCTAGTTTTGCCAACGGATTGATCGCCGAGAAACACAAGCTTGTAATTTGGTAAATGTGAGCCTGTCGCCATTTTTTTTTTGGCTTCCTAGGATTTTGTTTTTCGCCGGATTGAAGTGGAAGATGAAATCGCGTTTATATAAAAACGACGAAGTACCGCCAACTATTATTATTCAAAAGTATTATTTTATTTTCCTTATTAAGAAAATGTTAATTGTTGAAAGTTCTTTTTTTTTTGGTGGAAATTGTTGAAAGTTCTTTACTGTGAGGAAAACAATAAAAGTTACATATATTCTTCTAAAAAATCATGAAAAATGTTAAAAATTTAGATTATAATAAATTTTATTTGTGTAAGTTTTATATTAAAACTGTGATATATATATATATATATATATATAAAAAATTGGAAATAAAGTTAAAAAGAAATGAAAATGTAATCATATGTAGAAGGAAAAAAATTAAGTCAAAAATCCTTATAAAGAAAAATATATAAGGTCGATTTTGGTAATTTGGTGAAAGTGTAACTTTGTGCCTTCAATGCATTGAAATGCTTTGGTAAAGGCTACATTTATTTAATTTTAATTAATGTTATTGGATTGCAATACTGTAGTCATGTGTCATAATCAAATAGATAACGGTGTTAAATGTTTAAAGAAAAAAAAACTAAATTCTAGTCCCTTTTCCATTTTACTGGTGCCAGATTGTTTTACTTTTACCCAGGAAGGATGATGATAATGCCATAATGGGATTTTTCTTGAGTTGCGTAAGCAATGGGTCAAATTCTATAAAGCCCAATTTCAGATAAATGGGCCAGCCCATACGTATCCGCCTTCCCACGATCACACACTACGTAAGAAACGACACCGTATCAAGACCTTAAGATGATTAAACTCAAAAATCGGATTCAGATCACTACAAGACTCATTCCATGATTAACTATCAACGTAAAAATACAGAGTCTTTTGAGTGGTCCATGAAGGAATGAACTACTATCATATCTAGTTAATAATAAGGGCACTCATATATTTCATAGTTGAATTTAGCAGCTACCAAACCTACGAATGGAGAAGACGATGAAAAAGCTTCTTAAACCTTCTTCTTCTTCTTCTTGTCCAAGTGTGGATATTTCTGGTACATTGAGATACTACTGATCACCAGTGGAAGCGCCACGAGGCAATACGACGATGGCGGTTTCCCTTCGAACGCAAATTGAAGTAACGCGGTCACAAGTAACGCCGAGACAATCACAAATCCCTGTAAAACAAACAAAAAAAAAACACGTTATGTATTTCAGCTTTAGCTGAAGAAACTTTGATTGGGACTTTTTTTTGTTTGTTTTTACCTTTCTTACGCCACCGGCATGTGATGTAACTAGGCCAACAAGAATTCCACCAAGAGCATTGCTTATTACTGGGACCTGTAAGAAGAATCACAGTCACATTGAATACAAGCAAGCAGCAAAAAGAGTTTTTCCATCAACAATCAGAATCGTTCAGGGGTTAGAGATAGTTGTTACCCAGGTTAAAGCAGTCCAGCCATGAAAGAAACCATATCTTTTGATGGCTTCACCGTCTGGAGATTTAAGGGTACTTATTAACAAGCAGAGGCTTCCAACGATAGACATTTCGACTGTCATTAAGTATGATGAATGCTTCTTGACCTGTAACAGTGAGAAAGTAAGGCCTATGTATGGATTTGAACTACAGATTCTTTAATGGAATGTGACAATTAAAAACACTGGATGACAGACCTGAGAAGCCCATTGACATAGAGATGAGGCTAAACCGGAGAGCACAGAGGCTGCCAAGACGGGGATAATTCCAGAAAACAGCACTTGATCCGGATTAATACCACTTGAAGTTTTGCTAGAGCCTTCACCAATACTTAGAAGCACTGCTGCCATGATTAACAAACACAATGCTCCTATTTGTTGAATTGATTGCTTCTGCCTACAAGAAATCATTCGAAACAACATCACTGCGTGCGAATTTCATCAAGCTTCTATCAATTAGCAAAAATCTCATCGAAAAACATTCGTGGAAGAGCTTCACAGAAGTGGTAGGCATCAAATTAGAGCAGGTTATTCGGGCAATCACACAGCAAATCTCTAACTCTGCTGCGATGTAGGAACTAGCTCATGAAACACACAAATCCTCGCAAACTAAAAACCAAGCACTAGTTCACACAGGAAAGATCATAAGAAGTAAGAAAAAATAAGGTTACCTTAGTATCATGAATGTAAAGAATGCAGTGAAAAAGATTTTCGTCTGATTCAGAATTGAGAACGTCAGGGAATCAAGACTCCTGTACGAGATCTGCAGCAAGCTGTTCTGCAGTGCGTATATGGCTGCAGGGAGTCCCGATGCAGTCAATGATCCCATCAACGTCCACTCTTTCGACAATCCCTTCAAACTACCATCTCTTGCCATGAGAACCAGAGCGCATACGACCTGAAAAATAAAGGCCATACATCCAAAATTTCAGAAACAGTACTTCATAAATGTAAAATCTCAAAAGTAGAAAGAAAAAACATCAATGTACTACCTTAACAATCTCGCACGTCAAAACAGATGAAGTTACAATAACCTCCCTCCTGCAAAAATTGATCCAAATCGTGATAAGAGGCAATCCATTAACTGAACAAGAAACAAACAAACACATGGAATAGTGACCAAGCCTACTAGGTTCTAACTACCAATGGTGCTAATATAGCTTCGTTATCAGTGTAGCATTGAGCATAAAGTGACTCAATATCAACAACTACAGTAAGCGAAATATAACACAGTACCCTGAAAAATCAACATGAACAACTAAAACACTATGATGAATTAGCTAACTCGATAGGCCAAAACAACATCATAGATTTGCTAAATTTCACAAGAGGCATTTAGTATATTCAAGGTGGTCAGAAATGGCTTAGTATCCACAGTGTTCTTCTCGCAGTAGCAACTAATATCCGTCACAATCGTCGCATCAAATTTCATATAATTTCGAATTGTAGGTTTCCATCACTACTCTTAACCACAATTCACAGATTGAATCGATAAAAGCCTACAAACACTTGCCATGAATCGAATTCCATCTCTACGATAAACGCATACAACCGAATCTCGCATTTCCCGAAATTAAACGGACGAAATTATCACCAGCATCAGAGATTTAGAGGCATAGGTTGTTTCCAGATATCGTACCCGATACAGCGTTTGGAGATCAGCGGCTGGGATCCGTACTGAAGCGTGAGCAACATGGAATAAAACAAAACCTTAGGGCCCATATTCGACGGGGTCTTTGCTCCGTTTGGCGTCGCCATGAATCTCCCGCCACCGAGAATCCAGAAGATCGCCTTCGCTTTAGCCTTTTAGGGTGATCTTCGGTCGAGAAATGGGTTTGTAACGAGAAGAAGAAGAAGGAGAAGGCTTGCTTTTTCTCTTTTCTACTTTATACGTCGTCTTCACGGGAGAGGAACCGCAAACACGACGTCGTATTTGTTTGACAGGGTATAAAATATTATTGTTGATAAGGACTTTTATTTGGAAAATGTTCAAAGTCGTCCATCAACTTTGGAAAATGGAGCAAAAAAACCATCACCTAATTTTGTCAAATTTTCAAAGTTTTCATCACATTTTAATACGGTCGGGCGGTCGGCTGACCAGTCTTCTCACAATCCAAAACTAAAATTAAATTGGACACATGTTCAAAATAAAATTAGCATATAACTCACATAGTCATACACTTCTTAGAAAATAAAAACATTGAGATAATCTTCTTTTAATGTCCTGTTAATAGACTTAGCTCAATAAGAAAGATAATCATTATGTGTAACTGTGTAAGTTGAGAGCAAATGTTAGAAACGTGAAAAATGTCACAACATAATTCCAACATAAGTGAAAACGATTGTTTCCTTTCTCCAACTCCAAAACAAACTGTGGAATGTGGATGCGTGAGATGATGCGATTTCAAACTATTGTAAAGCCATACGAATGAATATTGAGCCTTTGTTGCATTCGTTTAATCCGTGATTTCAGAATATCAAAGGCCAAAACGTAGCATATGGTATGTTGAATTACGATAGTTCCAAGTAATTGACAAAAAAAACGATGGACCTCGTGAAAATGATCCATTGGATAGAGAATCTCTACCAATCACAAAAAAACGAGCAAAACAAAAGAAGGCTAGGGTTAAAAGTATAAGGGAATCAGAATCATAAATTGTAAAAATCAACGGCTGAGATTAAAAGCCACCCTATAAATTCACACTCTCTTCTTCAATCCCATTTCACAGAGAAAGCCATCGTTTTTTTCTTTGACTCGTTGCCTCCACAATGTGTGGGATTCTCGCTGTTCTTGGTTGCATCGACAACACTCAAGCTAAACGTTCTCGTATCATCGAACTCTCTCGCAGGTATGTCCTCACTCTTCCGTCTCACTGAATCAATCAATCACACATTGACTTGTTCAGTTTCTGCCTCCACAATGTTAACTAGAAAATCGTTTATGAATTCAAAAAAGGTCTCAGCTTTACTGCGGGGAATGTGTTCGTTTGATTACCCATTTGAAGTGTCACTGTTTAGTTGCAAAAAGTTTTGATTTTTGTTTGTGGAGAAGATGAAAAACATATAAAGACCTGAATTTGAATTGAGTGAGTGGGGCCATTTTATGTTTAGATCGGTTACTTTTGACTGTGCAGATTGAGGCATAGAGGTCCTGATTGGAGTGGACTCAATTGTTATGAAAACTGTTATCTTGCTCATGAGCGTTTAGCCATCATTGACCCAACTTCTGGAGACCAACCGCTCTACAACGAAGACAAGACCATCGCTGTCACGGTACTGTCAAATAACATCTGAGCAAATGTCAAAATTTTAGACCTTTTTACTTGTGTATCATCTAAAGAGTAAATCAAATGTGCTAATGATTTCAGGTCAATGGAGAGATATACAACCACAAGACTTTGCGTGAAAACCTAAAGTCTCACAAATTCCGTACTGGAAGCGACTGCGAAGTGATTGCACATCTTGTAAGTATGCGTAATTGGGAAGAGACTGAATAGTTTAGTTTCTTTGGCTTGCTTACC